TTCACGGAATACAAAATGAGAAACAGGAATACGGAAGTATCGATTAATAGTCAGACAGTAACGTGGAATCCGCCGTGATGTTGAGCGTGCTACTTTAAATACACATAACTAGTAGTTGCTATATCAAAATACACAGCTGCTCAAAGCAAAAAAGGGAAAAAAAAAAAAAAAAAGAAAAAAAATAAGATCAAGGTCATAGCAACTTTGGTCACTGACCATGGCGTCTTCGACGGTTTAGGAAATCCGGTTTTCAGCTGAACAAAGGGGCAGCCCATAATAATATGTCCAACAGCGACGACGACGACAACAACAACAACACATTGAGAGAATTGTTGTTAGGGGGGTCTCGGTCAGTGTCAGTGGAGAAGCGATTACAGGATGCGGTGGTAGCGAATGAAACCACAAATAAAATACAGCCTAGCCGCAACAGATCTAGCGTGCCTCTGCCGTCCCGGCATAGTTGCAGGGTGGGGATCAATCCCGAATGACACGCCAGGAAGATCTTGAAACCAATCAGATAGCCTTTAGTAAGCCACTGTCCAGTGTGAGCCACTTAGCGCAGTCTAAGGCCAGCAATTTCCCAAACAGACGGGATTGCAGCGAACCACTCGATGAGCATGTTTCAGCATTGCGGGGGCGCGGATGGATGGCGCCAGCCCGAATGGAGAAAGTGTGTACCCATCTTAGCACACATGCACGCTGTTGATGTTTAACTTTACAGACTCTGTACTCCTCTCTGAAGTAGACTGAGTATGCATAGATAATAATGAATTGTTGCCCCTAAATTAAACCACTCCGTGTCGTATGCATCATACTCACCTGCGGGCATGACACTGATGTGACCCACCCTCAATGGCCAATATTTGCTGCAAGCCGCAAAGCCAGCGGGCTGCGGGAGATGCCTTTTAGCACAGTGGAGCCCCGGCATTTATTGGTGATCCCACCGGACCTTATGTACCTAAATGCGCCTCAAGTCTACACCTCATCGACCCCGTGAGGATTCCCTCCTATCTATCTTCCCGTAACTTTGGTGTTGGTGGCAAAAAATGCGTTAGTATTATTACTATATACTATTACATCTTTAGATATCATGTCACATGTCGCCATAAGTCAGCTTCCTTGGTTTCTTTGGTTGACTTTTTGTTGCTACGAAGAGTAAGCCCTTGCTTGTGCACACGTCATGGTTGACCTTCTGGAAGGGTGAGAATGAGAGAAATGTTGATTTATTTCGGACGGAGTACCAATATCCTCCGTAGGGTTGGGGGAAGAAAAACATTCCAGTACGGAGTAGTATTTCCTTGTATGGAGTACGTTGTACGTACTTATTTGATAAAGTGGACCACGAATCCGGGGACCTCCATCTCCCATACCAAGGGACAAAGCGCCTAAAATATTATGCTCCGTGAAAGTTGTTGCGTTTAGTGGATTGCTCGGCCGCCTCAATCCTTTCCATGCCCTGGTGGGCTGATATAGGTTCAAAGCACACCTGGTGGCTTGATGGTGGCTTCATCGGTGCATTTTGACAGGCGAACCACGGAGTACTTTGTATTGGATCGTTATTACTATTTGGAGGTAGGAAAGGAAGAAAAAGAAAATGGAAATTAAAAATAAAAGTTCGCTTAGTTGGTCGAGAAAAAACAAATAAAAAACAAATCAAAATACAGAACACACCAAAATCAACCCTTTTTACTTCTTTTCCTTGGCAGGATTCTTGCATCACCATCATTTGACCGAGGCATAACCATCCTCTATCATATGAATTTCTCACATACTCTTGTTGGAGCGACATCGGTTCCCGAAATCAGGTCTATTATCCACCGTTTTGTTTCGAGATGTCTTACATAGAGTTGCAACTTCCTTATCTACGATGTAAGCAATTTATGGACGGACGCTTCTTCTTCCCGACCAACCATCCGCGATGCACATGACAAGGTCAAGCACTAATGTCATATATTATTAGCTTATGGAAAATGGATTTGACTCAGATTTATGAACCTCAAATGTAACTCCATAGGAAGCTTATATTCTGCATCCAACTGCTCGACGACGTCAGTGAGGTGTGCTAGCGCTTAGTGCGTGCTTACGGAGTACATCATCAACCGAGTCAAAACTTGGGCGTACGTAAATAGAAATTGAGGAGGTGGGCTCCTCCGACGCCTTGCCTACTCGGGCATAATGCACCCCTCAAATCAGCGGCCAAGACGCTACCAAATATAACCTTTTGTGACTTGGCTTGCGGATTACTTTAGTCTTGAGTCTTTAGGTTCCCTGCGGCATCCATCCATGGATATCTTGTACATCTAATCATACATCTTGAGAACCAATACCCTATAATCATTTCAAGGATATTGTATATTTCAGAAACCAAAAAGAGAAAGGAGTACCAACTCTATAAGTCTGGTATCACATCGTACATGGTGTGTCCCTGAAATCCAATCATATTCTGTAATCATGATAAATGTCACGTCTTACATGATAGCCTTCCTATCTAGTCATTCGCTATGAAATCTTATTCTTTAGTATAAGCCGTTGGGGCCAAAAGGCCGATAAGTCAGAAATAAGAAGCCACAACTAAATTAACCATACACCAAGATCTGCCGCCACCATGCAGCCAAATGGGCCTTCAGGACGGCTGAATAGTTACATTATGCATTTCTATCCCACATAAGGAGTAGTCATACATACACATCAGTTGCTATCTGTTATCAGTGAAACAAGTTTCATCCATCTTGTGGGGAAAAAGAAAGCCTACGTGCTTGGCGCTTGCTTGTAAGCTCATGGATGCAAGGAATGTAACTTAGGAACATGTGTCAACGCCAAACTTTTCTTCCGTCGTTACGTACTCTGTACTCCGTTCTGCATTGCATGGCAAGGCATGAATGTGATGACGAGGCATAGCAGCTCCTTACTCGATGCAATTCCGAAAGAATTCTTCGTTCGTTCGTTGTTCGATTCAAGGTTCAGGGAATTTTGCAAGGTGGTATGTATTATTGAATGGCGCTAGCATAAATCGGGGAAGCCGAATTAGATCGAGGACCTGATCTCCCGTCACGGAGAGGGTGTCGACCAATGAGAGTGTTGAAACGTGCCAAGAGTGCTGCACAGTGCAAGGAAAGGGAGGCGTACGTAAGCCGTCTTGGCAGGGATCCACCTCCGCAAATTGGGCAAATCAACGTTGTTGCGGGCACTGCCACGATCTGCCAATTATAGACTCTCTTTTAGGTTTTTGCATTTCGAAATTCTCTCAGTGTGGACTGCGTCCCGGACCTTCAGGACTATAGACGGAGCATATGTACGCAGTACGACTATTAGTTTTGAGTATGTGATGCTACGGTGGCATGTTTGATCGTCGTCCTCGCAGATCACAGCATGTGTTCCTGAAAATCCTCCACTCGACGATCCCTGTCATGGCAGCTGATCTATCTTGATCCGAACTGAGATCTTGATAACATGTACTCCGTACGCTTCAAGAATCTACCGAAGAGTCTAACAATATGTAAAAAATAAATATGATCAATAAGACTGCAAGCTGCACTGCCATGTTCGGGCTCTACTACATAACAATCCAACCTGAAAAAGACAATACACCTTCCGCGTTCCCGCCCTGAATTGAAGATTCAATGATTATAGCTCATGGTCATAGTGCCCACTCTCCGGTCAAGGGAGTGAAAATTCCAAATCGAGAGAAGGAAAAAAAGAAAGAAAGAAAAAGAAAACAAGGTTTGTGGGCGCTACCCTGTTCCGGGTGGGTGGAGATGGCGAACCACGGGCTTGTCTTGATAGAACTTCAGGAGATAGCCCAACTTGGACGCTACTATAACATATGCAATTCTATAGACTGTGTTCTAGGCTAAGTCTAAATTAGCTTGACCAAGTACGTATAAATTTTGCAGTGAGCGTAAGTAGGAGATTTGGGTCTTGACTGAACCAGAACCACCAAAATCAATAGTTGGGCTAATTCAATAACCTCGTTGATGGGTGACTACCGACGAACTAGTCCCATGCACTTAAAGTGGCCATAGTCGAGACCTGAGGAGGGGGAAGAGACAAGTCATCTTCCCTCGCCGCTCACCGCTCTTCCTCGCTGTATGAGATGGTTCATGCATGAGTCGCCACGGAAAATTCATTTTCACACATACATTCATGTGCTTGGTCCGTCACAAAGCTAGTTTGTATGTACACACACAGCTGGTAGGGGGGTGGGGGGAAATTAATACTTCCGTAAGGCTAGCTTCAGATGCCCCTAAACCGCCACGGCAGATCACTAACTCGGCTTACGGAGTCGAACTAACGAAGTCGGAAGCCCTCTTTGCCGGATCGGCTTTTTGCGGAAGCTGCGCTGCTATTGGACGATAAACGCGACACGAGATAGAATCAAGTTATAACTATAAAACCATGAAATATAAGTTCAGTTCTCCGCGGGCGTAATAAAATAGTTCAGAGCAGACGGCAGAGAGGCCCACCGCTCACATCACAGCGATTCCATGGATTCTTGCCTGAGGTACTAATAGCGTGCCTGAAATGGCAGTTACTCTTTTGGGCAACACACTGAGCAGTGGCACCTAATGCCTGTTCAACACGAGAGACCTCAGGAAATGATATGAATATAAATAGAGACCAATCAGTTATAATCATTCTCTCCACTCCGAATCCCGAAACCATCCACATCAGCATTTCGTGATCATATCATCACCCACAAAGCCATGAAGATACTTGAGGCTTGCGTAAACCTGGACCCTTGTTACTCCACCGCTGCCAAGATACTCCATCTACATGAAACACGCCGCTGCGTTTGTCGGACTTCCCACCGTTCACCTCGTCTTCTCCCGTTCTACGGAGTATATACATAGCCTGAACAATGAAGACAATCAAAGAGAACCGCCCCAGCGACTTCTTGACCTCGTTTTGTCATCTAGACTTTCATGGAAAGGGGCTGTTCTAACTTCTAGTAGTGCTACTCCGTAAGGAGTTAGTAGTTAATAGTCACTGTTGTACGTACTTTTTTTTTTGGTTGGTTGGCTGCGATCCCTCCATAATGGCTGACTGCTTACTTTCCATCTACCTAGTATCTAGTGCTTTCTGCCAATAAAATGCCGAGTTGTTTACATCCAAATCATCGCAGAGAAAGCACTTCAAAGCACATGAATCGATACATGTGAGACTCTCGGAATGGCCGGTCTTGGCATGACATCATATGCTTGAGTCGTAGCATTTATATTCAAGCCATGCAGTATGGCTATGCGCTATGTGCATGTCGTATTACTCTGCAGCCCGCACAATGCATGCTACAGAGTAGTGGTGGTATTACATTTGGTCAATGCGGGTTGGGTATACAGAGTACAAGCACGGAAGTACAGTCTTTACCAATGAATAAAAGTCCATACTATGAGTATGACGCAATACATCTAACTGGGGCTAACTATTATGTTATGTTTTGTTGTCAATGTATTTCTTACTGCGTATTACTATGCAGTAACTCACTCACTATTCCTTGAATCTGCGTATGACGAAAAGCCAGTCTATTATTAGCTTGACCTAAATGGGGGGCGGCGCATGCAACGTACTACTTTTGATTCTACTGGATAAACGATGATTGTGACATCTTAAATCGAGCAGAATCCTTAGAAATCATGAGATCGATCGGCCTCTGGTCTGATCTCTTGTGTGCCACTGCGCACATCCAGATTCCTTTATCAGGATGAACCTTGGTTGATCAGTACTACTAGTGAGCCACGCGATCTCTTCCCCAGACCTGTGACATCATATTGTATACGAAGCATTCCTGAAACTAATATACCGAGAAGAAACAGATGCAAGGATAGTTTCTGAAATGGGTAGAGTTCGGAATGGCATACGTAATCGCCTAGGAACTTGTTTGGAATCCGGAATGGCCATTCTAAAAAGCTTTCTTTGTTGGGAGCTGACATCTTTAACGACCAGACATTGTTTAGCTGATAGATCAGGACGTACCTAGAGAAAACAAACAGTCTCAGTAGGAATGTGCTTCATGTAAAAGGCCTACTACCTATCCGTGTCGACGTCGACATTGTTCGTGAACATCTAATTCCTAAGTATTGATGTCAATATTGATTAATATTGAATTATGATACTATCTACCGATCTAACCCGAGGGCGACGAACGACGGAAGTATCAATGGACTTGTAAAATATTCGATATGCCTAGCTAGGAATAAATATACAGCGCCGAAATCAAGAAGAATTAGAACTACCAATCAATCGCCGAAACACCAAATACGTTGCCATTACCAAGTATTATCCTCCCCGTAAGAATAGAAGAAAACTAGATCACTATTGCGAGCTCAGCCCTCGACACCCCATCATCGTCCAAGTCCGGATAATAAGGTACCATGGCATCCGCACTCTGCACGTATGCATTGTTATACAACCTCCAGTACGGCGTACGCACTTTGCGCGCTGGATGGAAAAGGCCTGCCCACACATAGTTCATGACCACACCAGTGCCAACCGCCATGCGGATTGCATCAATGGCCTCGATGATACGGTCAATAACGTGTGGGCTAGTCTCGAAAATGTTAGGATACAGGAGATTGAGCAGGTGCACCATCGCGTCTTCACATCCAAGACCAACAACGCCAAGTGCAATGTGCTTGACAACACTAGCCGCTGTTTGACGGTGGACTTGGTCACGGTCGATCAATGCGTCTTCGAGAAGAGGAGTCACTGCATAAACATAGTCCTTGGCCATTTCTCCGATATATTCAAATAAGAATGACATGGCTTTGAGGACGCCGTTCTGCACGTTGAGTTCTGGAACTCGGTATTCATTCATCAAAGCAGGAAGCACAGTAAACGGAGCGCAGGTCTCCGCAACAATACCGATAGCAACAGCTGTACAAACTCGCGACTGACGTTCCTGTACTCGCAAGTTGTTAAGCAACGTTGCAAGCACGTCTTGAGGTCCGATTGCCTTGGCAATGAAACCAAATGTGTTGTTGGCAGCACGGCGAATGCCCTTCTTGTGTGCTTTCAACATGTCCAGCAGCTCGAAGCAAATGCGCATCCATTCTCGAGCATTGACGGATTCAGGCCCACGATCGGCAATACGACCGACTAGATCAATAGTATTCTCTTGTACCTTTTCGTGTCGATTGCGAAGAATAGGGGTGAGCCGAGGAAGGAGATCGCGGATCGGAGGCTGCATCTGATTGATACCTACGACAGTAACAATGGATCGTAAAGCACCAAGGATTGAGCCAAGAACTTCAGGATACTCTTCACCTAGATACTCATACAGCAAGACACTGAGTTTGCCCATAAGCGCATCCTCGCCGCACTGCTTCATTACCATAGTGATTCGAGAAACGAGGTCGGCAGCTTGTTGGCGGACCGTGGCTGACTTGTGATTCAATCGCCAGAGAATGGTGCTGACAATCTGTGGAAGATATGGCTTGCATCTGGTACCTAGAGCGTTGACGGCTGTGCCAAATCCGTTGAGAATCACAATATCCTCGATACTTTGTTCCTGGAAAGCAAGCAGGACACCGTCAATGAGTCGCTCCTCCAGTCTTTCCGAGATGTCGGCTGCTCCCAAGGAAGCTATCAGCTTCTCTACTGTCTCCACAGTCATTTTGCGATAAGCTTCGCTTTCATCCTTGAGATTGTTAACGATACGCTCCAATATCTCTCCAACTCCGACTTTCTGGCCAAGGTCAACTGTAGTCTCAACAACCTGGCGATAGTTCCGCTTATCCAATGCCATGCGCCTGACCCAGAAACTCTTGAAGAAATCCTGAAGAACATGCTCTTTCAGATATTGTGCGGTGACACCATCTGTCTGAGCACACTGCGACACAACCTTCAAAACAACTTTTTTCATTTCTTCATCTGGAGAGGAAAATTCTCGAAGCAAAATCTCCATGATCTGGCTAGTGTAGTAATTGGCATATTCTTCATCCATAAGAGGGATGATATACCCAACAGCCTTCAAGAACCCAGCAAGACCTTTTCCACGTTGCTTCCGGGCACCTGTCCAGAGCGGGTTAAGAATGTCATCGAAACTTTCAATACCATATGGATTGGCCGCTTCGGCCAATGCAGCAATAGCCAAACTAGTGACTGTTCTCACTTTAGCTTGTTCATCGCTGAGGTTATCTGCAATGCAGTCCACTAGCCCTTTTAAATGAGGCAGGATGGCACATCCCATAAGAATAGGAATTTGTTGAACGATTTTCACTCCTGTGTGTCGAGCTTGCCACGACTTTTTACTACGACAGACTGCACGCAGGAAGGGAAGGAGGGCCGGTATACCCAAGGCTGATGCGACAACAGCAAATGCCCTGGCAGTAGTGTTTCTCACATATTCATCAACGTGATCGATATCTGGGCGCATCGTACTAATCATATGCGCAAGGCCTGCGGCTTTGGCCAGATTTGAAATAATTTCACGACCTTCCACTCGAGCATAGTAATCTTGGTCGATGAGTAAGGGTTCGATAACGACAAGAATCTTATGAGTATATGGACGAACAAGATCATCGAGTTTATAGAGGACACGGTCAATGACTTTGACCAGCAAGTGGCGTTCTTGATCCTCCAGTGATTTCTCCATCAGAAGCGGAAGAATCTGGTTGAAAAGGGCACCAGCACCAAATTGACGAGCATTGTCGGTGAGCTGACGAAGTGCGGTTTTACGCATAGGGGGTGTTCCGTTCTTGACTTTCAACAGCAACCTCATAATCTTCCTCTCTTTTAATTCCTCCACTGACAGGCTGTTTTCATCCGCGCCATCAACCAGTTTCCCAAAGTATGCCATATCTTCTGCTTTGAAAAATTGGAGATCTCCTACTCCGGGGATATCTGTCGGGAGTTGCTTACCAAGAGCGCGAGCATTCTCTGGTTCTTGCATCATGAAGCCACCATATCCACCTGCACTAGGTACGGCAGCTGGGGTACTCATAAGCTTCCGCGCGGGGTTCCTAATCGGTTCGTACCCAGGAGGAGGCTCCAGGATTTGATAGCCTTCGGAAGGAAGCATCAAATCCAGTTCCTCGTCTGACCACACACCGTTACGCCCGGAAACATCTGTCCCAAAAGCTGCTACAGGACCCGCGGACGGATGGGCCGGTGTTGCGAGTCCTGGTTGGCCAACAGGAGTGGCCCCGATTGCTGGAGCAACTGGTGCTTGATCCCAACGGGAACGTCGCTTTGGGGCTTGTTCGTCTGGCGTAGGCACAGCTGGGGTCTGATCCCATCGTGACTTTTTGGCTTTGACTTTGGTGGTTTCGTCCTCGGCAGGTGCGGCGGCTTCCTCTGAAGTTACGTCCCATCGCTGTTTTCTCTTGCGTCCAGCGGCGACGGTGACAGTTGAACCAGCATCAACGTTCTCTTTGTCAGCTTCATCTTTCAAAGTGGCCTGGTATTCAACTCCTTCACCTTCGGCCTGCTTCTCACTGATGAGTTTCCTAATACGTTCCTCTTCTTTTTCAAGTTCTCGGAGGGCCATGACTTCTCGATAAGTCTGGCCCTCGGACTCGATGTTGGCATGTGCGTTCGCGGCGAAGGGGTCGGCTCGAGTCGGAGTGAGAGGGCCACGGTTGAATCGGCGTTTTTGGTAGTCGCTCTCCCGGTCGGCAATCCTTGCGGACTTTTCACGTCCAAGCAGAATGTCCTCCTCTTCGACCCCGTTACCACTTGCCATCTCATTGATTAGATCCTTGCTGGCAGTGTATTGACCCACCAGACGATGTCCGGTATCTGCATCCTCCATATCCTCATCCCCATCGATCGGAATAGAGGTATTATAACCAGCATACTTATCCACGCCATTCCGTTCATAAAGATCGGTGTCAAACGATTCAGTCAGGGAGGCCTTGGTGGAAAAGTCAGTGCGCTGACTGGATGGATCAAAGGTTTTTGAACCTTTTTTGGCGGCAGCAGCAGCATTGCGCTCGGCTTGCAGCCGCCTGACCTGCTCGAAATCGGCTATGTCCAGAGTTAGCAAAGATGGTCGCATTGAGAGAGGGCGGGAAACATGTACAGTCAGACATGTCAGTGTTGGCAACTAAACAGCTCAAGCGATGTCCAGACGAAAGAATAGGTTTAAGAAGGCTACATCCAGGGTAGCAACGCCGACAATAAGCATGCGACGTTGGGAGGAGTCGATGTGGTGGATGGAACGATGGTGAGAAGTGATGTGATGTCCAGCGCGCAATTTTTGTCTGTTGCCGCCGCGCCTGTCAAGAGTCCGCTTTAGGCTGTGGCTGACTAACATGGTCACATGATTTGTAGATAAGATAAGCATCGACGCCAAGATATTTTTGCTAGCCATTTACCTTATACTTCGATTAGAAGAAATAGGCAAATTCTTGCGATCTACCAATGGCTAATACAGTAGCACTCTTGGCGCGAAATTTATGTATTGTAACCGAATGTTTATACAAGGTAGCTTGGGTCATAGCTCATACAAGCATCATCGATGGAGCTATCTGCTTGAAACAACAGTCCTGCTATCTACATCTTGTCCTGCATCCTCACGCTGACCTCAGACTCATACTAGTATCAACACCGTAAGAGACACCAGAAGCGCCGAATGTCATCGGCAACTTCAGTGTGGTATATGCACCCAAGAAGGATGCAAGTCAGAGGTTGGAGAAGTTACCACAAATACTGATAACCGCTAGGTATTCAGGCCAAGTTGTTCAAAGTAGCCCGTCAGATAGGACACGGTGCACTGAAAGCTGGATAAGGTCGCACAGCAAAAGGATAATACATTGTTAAACACGTCAGTGGCTGTTTCTATAAAACGTAAAGGCTAACATTTCGCATTAGTACGTACTAAGATTTGAGCTCACAACACCTAAACAGATATATTAGCATTATCTAGTCTTCGCCCTCTGCTGATGATTTACTATATCGCCCCTGCGGGGGTAAAATCATGTTTTCGAGAACCAGTCATTGGCCGTATAACCTCTCTCTCGGCACGGAGCTGGCTGCCCCAAATAGCAAGGATACTGCAAGCCTGAATGAACCACATATATGCTCATAAGGCAGACCAAGGCATGGGATGCTGGGCACATGCTTGAGGTATATCATACTTAATCAACTATCCCGGGGCCTGTGTGTTCCTTCCACCGTAACTACGCATACAATCATTCCACCACAGTTCAGCTAGACAAATCATAAAACTCTAGCCAGGGCAGCTAGTCAACAATAAACGCCCTGAATGCGTCGAATATGTTGTTTAGACTAATCAGGCATACTATGACTATTTAGTTTATTAGGGCTAGGCTCATGTAACGTATTCATGCATTTGATTTGCATGGATAATCCCGGCCAAGTTGAAGCTTACAATGCATGAATATCTCATGTTGTTGAATAGTACTCCTTCTACGCTCTCTACTTAACAGGTTGTATATTTGACTACCTAGGTAGTACGTGCTAAAGAAATGATTGATTGACGAAAATTAAACTAACCGCAAGGTTGCTTACTGCTTGCTCAGAAGTTAATGCACGCTTTTAAATATTGATAATGCCTGGCTCATCAGATCATCTCTAGACTCCTTTGGTATTAGTACGTAGTGTACTGAGTTACATGCTAAATCACCATCAGGAGTAGCTAGTAGCGCTGTTAATATGAATAAACCTCGAAGTCATCAACTAAAAAGTACTGGTCTCTTTTGATTTATCTTTGAACTGCACTATATACATGATTATCCCGAGGAGAAACCTTCCTCATTTGCCATCATCATCAAGTCCTTTTCCTTCATCAGCAAAGCAATGTCCTTGCAGTAGTCTGCAGGCACAAGGGGCGATTTATTCGATGTGACTTTCTATCACTCGAAGCCGGACGCGGGTGGTGATAAAATGGATGATGTGAACCGAGTCTGAAATCTGGAGGGTTTGTATTTCTTTTTGACTTATTACAAGACCTCAGGAACTGGTCCCCCATCGTCGATCGTCGCGCGACATCTTCACATGGTGACCGTAGTACTCGTCTTTATTCTCAATAGGAGTGACACAATACACAGTAGGCGTGTTTTGAAAATGGATTGCCTTGCCACTCGAGCGTGCTGAAGACGAGGAGTTGGTGCCCTTCTTGAGGATACTCTTAGCTGAGCTCGAGTTTGTGTATGAGTACATCTGAGAGACCTGATGACCAAACTCGCGTGTATAAGCTGGGCTCAGAGGTGATGGGGAGACGGGTGTCCGGGGCATGGGTCCCGGTGATCGCAGAGACAGAGTCGGACGAGAAGGATTTGTCGCAGCAGAGATGCTGAGAGACAGCTTAGGCTTGGCTGCACGGGCATACATTTTCGTTCTTCCTTTTCCTTTGTTGCGATGGTCGATTATGGATTCTTCGTCAAGGAATGAGGCGAGGTGATTATTTTGGTGGGCTCTGAGTATCCGCCAGGGAATGCCAGACAGAAGTGTCGTGCAGTGAAAGATATTTTGGCCTAGAAATACGATTTGATCAACAAATGTATTTCTTCAAGGAAAGAGAGCACACAGCTATCTCTTTAACACAGTCAGAAAAAGACGGGCAGTTGTTTTATTATTTGGTGGGGTTTTCTTTTCTTTTGGATATATTTGTATGATAGTGATATAAACGGGGAGCGACTGGACCAGCCAATCTATGAATTAGAATAGAAGTAAAGAGACGAAAATAGGAAAACAAAAAGACTAAACGGGAAAAAAAAATAGTAACTGATGAAACAGTTGCCATGCAAGTAGCAGTAAAGGTGGATGCTGCCAGCGGCTATATAGTAGACAGAGAGCAAGGGCTGGAGGAGCGGGGTAGGAGTGCCTGTCTCCAGCACATTTCTATTTTGAGTTATACCACAGCATCCTCACAAGTTATTGGTGTGAGCTGCTGCAGCGTGATAGGTGATGAAATGTGATATTGGCTGGTGTGGTTGCTAAGCGCCGGCCAGCTGCAACCAACGCTGCTTTATCACACTCACTCCAGCCAATCATTGCAAGATAAACCACTGCACAGCATAACATTGCAGCCAAGAAAAAATATTAGCATTGCAATATCGCCCGCAGATGCTGCTGCAAAGTCACCTCTGACAATAGTAGATCGAGTGTCTGCATGTGCACCTTTTTTGGCACATTTTCATCACGCATCATGACACAACTAAGGTGAACTGTCCCTTTAATGAGGCATTTTTCTCCTTCTTCAATATCATTGATACTATGCACCGCGCTACTCCACACCGCATTCTCGACCGAGGTCTTGAAGAAAATCCTTGGTACACACTGCAAATGACTACGGTTATGCGGAAAAGTTTGATAATAATATTTGCTTACTGACCCCCCGGCGAAACCGAACAGTTATGCATGCCTCGTGGATCGGGGCTCGATATCTAGATTTTCATTCCACTCTGTGGGAAAGGGCTCCGACTCCTGAGAGAACCGAATGCTCTCCGATTTTCGCCACATGAAGGAAAAATATGAAGGGTCACAAAATAACCGTAATGCCTTTTTTCTGTGGCCCACTCAGGCCAGTGATCTCAGTACATAGTGCACTGTGCATGCTAAGACAAAACCTCCAAGGAGTTTGTGCTCGCCTCGGCATAAGATATGGTGAAAGCCACCCCCGGCTTGATTGTCTGTTTTGGGTAAGTTTTTCTCTCCGCACCTTCATCTACGATGCAATCCCCGGCTAAATGTCGCCGTGTAGTTAGAAATGGGGAAAGGTATATGTGAACAAACTATGCATTGATGCTCCTAAAGCCAATAATTAAGAGTATGAGTAACATGCTGAGCGTGCTTTTCCATACTGATAAGCATGCACCGAGGGCAACAGAACATTACACTCATTATGTACTTGACACGACCTCTTGCTTTGTCGGCAGCATAACTGCGAAAACAAAATTTGTGGCCGTGTCGCCGAAAATTAGGATAAGAACAAAGATGGTGCATATTAGTCACATCAAGCCCTTGGTTCAAAGTCCGATATAAATGACCCGATTCACAAAATCAATCGAGATGTTGTCGTTATGGGCTAGGACAGTTTTTTATCCTAGTGATAATGATGATGATGACAACGAAATAAAGCAACTCGATGTTCTTCCGGCGTTTAAATAGCCAGGGTTCTTGTATCACTTGGGGGAAGATTCTTCGATGCTCTTGGCGTACTGCTTGACCATCGCCAAAATCTCGGATCGTGGAAGGCCACTCTGCGTGGCTGCAAAGAGCGATTGAAGCTGTTCTTTATCTGCCCTTCGCATGACATCCAGGAGCTGCTCCAGAGATTCGTAGGCGACGAGAAGCTCCTTCTGGGCGTATCGCAATGCAATTGTATCTTCGTCCTGGGTGTCCTTGGTGCTCAGCTGAGTAGGTTCGGCATTCTCCTTGTAGATCTCGGCACCATGTTCGGCAGAAGGATTTGATTGAGCCATTGGTGCAGTACGATAGGGTTCAAAAACCCTAATCTCTCTGCGTATTCTTCCTGCTCTGTTGGGAGCGGTCTGGTCAGAAGATTCTGAGAGTGGACTGAAGAAGCCTAGTAGGAAACGGGGTGGACGAGGAATTGAGAATAAATACGGAGCAGGATGGGAGGAACCGGCGGATCATGGATGGGTCGATTCGCCAGATCCCGAAAACAGCTCAGGCGCCAGACGTTGGAAGAAGAAACAAACATTGGTTCATCAAGTCTGGTTGATTTACCCAGGGTAGAACGAGACAAACGCTTGTAGCCATTGGCTGGAACTCTAGGCTATCTCGCGGCTAGACAAGGAGTCCAACGTAGGTAGTCTTAGCAGGGTCGTCGCTTCGTCGTCGCGGGGCCGTCACGGATTTATTTTCCGTAACAGAGGAGTGGGGCCATATCACGCCTTGACGAATCACACTTGGCCTGTGTGCTGGCAAACTGGGTCAAGTATGCGGAAATAGCTTTTCCGAGCCTCTCTCCGTATGTAATTTACCGGCTGTAAGTTCTCTCAAAGCGGCTTAGTTAGGGCTTAGGGCTGGGTCAGGCATCTCGATCTGCCCTTGCGCATTGATCCGAGCTTTGCTGTCCTTGGGCTGCAACAGGATACGGTTATGTTACTGAATGCTACCAGTCCCAGTATCTATGATGCTAGCTAATGAATGGAAGAAGCCTGCGTATCATATTCTATGGTTCTGGTGGCCTGTGAGAGCAGGTAGCTAGGGCACGACTTACTGTACATTGTAGCTATATGAGTAGTTGACCTAAGAATAATTATATGTAACTATTTATACTCAACTACGTCAGCGGCTTCCGCCGTTCGCGGGGCATCCACGTGGCTTGCTCAGTCATTGTTAATGTTGAGCATCCACAAAGCTAATTCCATCTTCTCCAACACCCTGTTCGTACTTGCACATCCCAGCACAGCGCTACACTGGCGTGCCCCTACGAGCAAGGCCACCAGAACTTCTCTCTCAATGTTCTCAGCGTGATATTTCCCAACGACTCACAGGGAGGCCTTCGTCCTCGATTTTTTGATTGTACAACGTGCTGGTTAAAATCCTACACTTGAAAAAGTCAGTGACCCTTCCACTGACGCCAATGGAGGAATACCCGATCAATAAGGTCCATCAATTGCTAGAGTCTGGCCCGGTTATTTTCATTACCACGAGGGACAAAGACGGCGATGCGAACGTGATGACATGTGGCTTCCACATGGTTGTCCAACACGAACCGCCTCTGTTGGCAGTTATTGTAGGGCCGTGGGATCATAGCTTCAAGACCTTGCGCACGACCAAAGAATGCGTCATCGCCGTGCCCACAGTGGAACAGGCTAGTACTGTAGTTGATATTGGAAACTGCTCGGGAGCAGACATAAATAAGTTCGAGCAATACGGCCTGACAATTGCCTCCGGTAACGAGGTTGGGGCTCCCCTTATCCATGAATGCAGAGCGAATATTGAATGCCGAGTTTTCGATACTCGGATGATATCGAGATACAATATGTTCGTCCTGGAAGCGGTTCAAGCATGGCATAGCCCTAAGCTCAAAGATCGCAAGACGATACACCATCGAGGTGATGGGACTTTTATAGTGGATGGCGAAATTATTAATTTGCAGGATCGCATGGTCAAGTGGCAGGAATATGTAGATGAGTGACGAAGAAATTTCGGGTAAATAAAATAACCTACAAACTTGATACCGACTATGTACGAAGCTCGTATCCCCTAGTTACCTGGGCACATATTTTAATGTTTCTTCTGTCTGTTTGTTTTTTATTCTTTCTTACCCTCGTTGAAGGAGACTGTTCAAAATCTTTATGCAGTACCTAATTGATATGGCTAGTACGTTAGATAAATCCTAGTTGCAATGTTGTATTATCACTCAATAACGAATAGTAATGTAAAGCCGTTACAGCGTATCGTAAGGGCCGTGACATAACAGACGCCGTACCGGCTGGCTAGACCATCACAGCCAGCCACCGCATTTTGGCTCCCGAAGCAATCAAGCCCAGTTCGTTAATTTTTTCCTTCAACCAAGAGCTAGAATGCGGATCACTCCACCTTTTATTTAGTTCTTTTGCTTTTGCTTGCACCTTAAAGAAATGTCATAAGGGAGTCAAATATAAAGAAGCATCATCTCCTGGAATCCATTTCTGAAGAAAACGCACGCCGAAAATGCGAAACTCCAGACCAACTTCTTACTTCTGAGAGTTCCTGCCTGACTTTCCATCATCGGTGGAACGCCAACAAAAAAGCCCAATGGCTCCATTACTTCAGAGTCTTTTTGCACGTCGCGAGTTCGACCCTGGCGCTCCAGCCCATGCGTTCGCCGAGGAATGGTCTAATCCGTCAAACTATGCATTCACCATCCTGCTCTTACTCGGCGGTGATTTGATAAATCGCGCTCTAGCACAGCTAGCAGGTGGCATGATTACCCCTGTAGCTTTTTCATTTGGTACGTTAAGACAGTGAGTCGACGGTTATTCATAGTTTTGCTGACCTTGCTTTTGAAGGCTGGGTTTCTTACGCGACTGCATCTGTCTGCTCAGCGCTCGGCGAGTACAAGCTCATGCCCGATGCCGATACTGGATGTTGCATCATCAATGGCAAAAATGGCTTTGTGCGCGGAAACAATTCATGGGTCCTTGGACGCATGATGCGAGACTATGAGTATTGGATGGGAAAGCCCGTCGAGGATAAAACAGACTCTCTCATTGAAGCCCGATGGAAATTTGACCAACAGAAAGAAGCACAAGAATACCCCGGCTCAGGCATCCAAGTACCTCGTCCCTCTCAAGCTGGTCTGGTTGTAAGCTTCTGGAAGCCCAGCACAACAATCCCCCATGGAGAACCCGGCCACGATATACTCCATTGGTCCGGCTTGGTTGTCACTGTCGTTCAGCTAGGAATTGCTGCCATACCACTGGGTCTGACGGGTGACTGGGGAGTCTTGATGATTACCGGTGCTGCCAACATTCTCTGCTATTTTACCGGGGCCCTTTCGCAATGGAAAATCGAAAAATGGGCCTGTCGGCGCTTGGATCATCGAAGCAACAAAAATTTTGTACTTACGCGCGGGAACGGAGCCCAACATGCGATTGCCATTATCAGCAATGGGCATGGCTTGGATCTGGAGGATCTTGCCACTGGGTTTGCTAACATTGACTCGCCAACCATCACAGTATTTGCACAGCTCAGCGTCATCGTCCTCGGGGTCTTGTGGGTTGCACTGCTGATCACTGCATCAGGTCTGCTGGATGACTCGTGGTATCTAATTGCCGTGGGAGGTATAGGAATGCTACAAAACATTTTCGTCGCTGGCTGGAAGCGGACCCCACAGGCATATGGTGTGCCGCTTGAATTCATTGATGTTGTAGGTGATGTAAAGGTTATGAAAACGCTCATGGAGGTCGAGCGAAGATACGAAAAGCTAGGTAAAAGCATGTTGGGCACGTTCTTCCCTGGTGACCTGAGAGAAAACGAAGTGAACGAGTGGGCTGCTATTGCAGCAGAATGGAAGGAGAAAAAGGCTCAAGCTGCTAACTGACACTGGAATATTTGAAGAGGGTGAAGACATATCTTGCTAGCTAGTTTCTATTGTTAATTCTGTCCATGTCAGCTTATGAGGCATAAGATCATGATTAAAATGCTTTCTGTTTTTGGGGCAACACCACAGTACACTGCCCCGGCCCTGGATATTACCTAGGTATCTAACGCTGTAAATCACACAGGTCATTTACTGGTGATATGTTCTTGAACTCCTTAAAGCCCGGGTTGATGGTATTTAGTTAAAACAACGAGGCCAATTAGGGAGGAAACCTCAAATCATTTGGATGGAATATAGATATACATTATCAATGCCTACAATGTACTCTCTCCAGTATACTACACCGTCCCTACATAGTTTTGTTGCAAGGCGAGGCATTAGCGAAATAAACATATCTACTCGCATTCAGAAAGTTACGTAACGTGACAGGATTGTGAAAGTACAATTCAGACGCAGAACGCGTATTTTCGTGTAAGGTAAGATTCATATCGTATTTATCTGCATGGGCCGTAATATATGACTATAAAAATATTTCATTTTACCTCCTGGCGTATAACCTGTAGGGTATAGATTACATTTTACAAGCGATGGTTACACAATTTATACACATTGAGCTGTGTTACATAACTGAACAGAGCAATTTTTCCCGAGCTTGTCGAATCATTTGTCTGCAGGCACGCCACCACGGATTTTAAACAGCGCATCACTTTACCAGGTTGACTGTCCAGTGAGCTTCGCTATGATAATATCATCCTTGGGATTACTTGTAATATATGCAATCGAACGTCGAACCACCAATTTTTTATCTACCATAGAATTAGGTTTGATCAACAGTACTCCTTATTCCTTAATAGTTTAACAATACTAAAACTGATATAGTCGTTCATACTTCGACAATCATTAGTCCACGATTTGAACTCTTTCAGCTGTTATTTCATTGGCTCTTTTTTAGCTACGTCAAAGTCTTACTCTAACTTCGTTGTTGCTTTTATTATATGCGCGTATATCTGTATTCGAACAGAATCCGGACATCAAAGTTGCTTACCTAGGTATCATAATCTAGCCCGACTGGCCCATGGTCGGCAGGATCATTGTTTGGTTATCGAGATCGGCGTGTGTGGAGAGAAAAACTGAAAAGCATCAATTAAAAAAATGCGTACGAAGACCAATCCAATCATTAAGTTGAAAGTGCTACAGACTGCATATTCAATAGAGCAACTACAGAATAGTTACGACACATAGTCGCGCTTGCATATAAGCTTCATTGTCGGCAACATTAGAACAACACAGCGCATACCTTGGTATTGATATGCACTTACCTGCTGCCATGACAGTACAATGTTCCTACCGCAATGAAGGTGCAAATTATTCAGGCCTTCAATACACCGTATAATCTCGAGGATATTTCATACCAGGATCCTGAAAAATAAAGAACTTCTTGTCGAAGTCGGCGCGGCGAGTTATTGTCACGCAGACGCCATATTTACACCAGGAAAGCTTGTGGGCAATTTACCTATGATGGGCTCACACGAAATTGTCGGCACTATTGTTGTCATTGGCCCCAACGATGTCAATTCCAATGGTAACGACAATGTTATCAGCTTGAAATTGGGACCAAAGTCGGCGTGGCCCTTCGCCCATTCAATCTCGGAAATTACAGGGGATGTCGTAATGTCCCTGATGACCAAAAAGGAGAAGATGATGGAATAATATTCTCATTGCGCTGTCCTCATGCTTTCACGCTCGGGTTTATGTTTATGGAGGGTTTGGTGGATACGCCTTGGTTGACTGTCGACAAGCAGTAGTCTTGCCGGAAAGTATCTCCTTTGTTGACGCTGCACCTCTCATGTGTGCCAGTTATATGATAAATTCTGCTTTTAAGTAATGTGACTTCAACAAAGGTGCGCGAATAGGAACTGTCGGATGCGGGGGAGGACTCGGGCATGTAAGACTACATACAGTTCGGCGTCCCCATGAGTTATGAAATGATCGGAATTGATGCACAGAACGGCGCTTTAAACTAACAAAGAGCCTTGAAACAGGGACAAAAATATTCGATCCAATAATGTCTCACCCCAAAGATTGTTCTTAAGGCAATCGATGATGAAGCGATGAAGGACCCACGTGAGCGTGGTATAGACGCAGTCATGACCTTGCCTGAAACCCAAAATATATTTGATTATGGAAGGAAGATTTTGCGTTATCATGCCCCTTACATGATGATCTCAATGCCCGCAGAAGGCTTCTCCGTGTCGACATTGAATGTGGTCCTTCGAGATATCAACATTATGTGAGCCCTGCCAGGTTCTCGCGCTTGGTTGCAAGATATGTTCCAAGTAGTAGCGTAAAATATCAGAAATACTCCCTTGCGCAAGTGAATGAACTTGTCAATAAATGTGAAAAAGGGAAAGGTGGAAAGAAGCCGTCCATACGAATCCACGATAGGGAGGATCTCTTATTGTTTGATACTCTTATACTAATTTGTAGAGATAGCTACTTTTAGGTATTAATTGATACGAAGATGTACATATCCTGTTTAAATGCAGGTATTTCCAAGTACCATTTGCTTGTTCTTTAAACTCTTCAGCGTGCTTCCAGAACCTCCGAAGACACCCTAGATGATAAAAGAGTGCGGATTTCTAAAATGTGCACTCCTTATACTATGTACTCCTATCATATGTCAAAAGGACGTGCCTAGAACCTTATGAGGTGCTAAAAAAATCTGATCGCTGACCTCACGTCTCGGTACGTACACCCTCATTCTATGTGGATCGGGTGGGCCCATATTTGATCTTGCCGGTGAACTTAAATAGTCTAATTTAACCTCGTTAGCCTTGCATTTCATAAAAAAAAACTGCGTTTTCCCTTTATTCGTCGCTCCCTTTCTTTTCTGTTCTTTAATATCATATTTGGGATTGTCCTAATGTTTAGTCTGATTTCATCGCGAGTTACGATCAACACTGCTCAGGCCTTCAGGCGTCCCCCTGTCCCACCATCGATCTCGAAATATTTCCCATCTAATAGCATAGCACGCCGGAGTTTGCTCACGCTTGCTATTGAAAGCTCCTGGTAAATATTATTCTTCACTTTCCGCAGGCGAAATCAAAACCAATCAAATTCAATGAAGAGCAAATAACTCTGACAAATGGTTTGCACTACAGTGATGACACCTCCGTCGCAATTGTCGAGAAAGACACCTCCCACAACCTCCCCGGCAGCTCCGGCCATTCTGGATACGCACCCGCGAAGGTACATTTTCTTCAGAAGGTGACCGCCGATACACGAAAATACCGAGGCATCCACCCTATTGAAGCACTGCAATCGCACCAAGAAAACTTAGCAAAACTAGTTCAGAAGGCGCTATGTTCTCTTCCACTGAATGGAGGAAGCTCTTCGATGAACGATGATGTTACCACACCGCGCGTGTGGGTTAATAATATGCAAAGCTCTACGCGACACCGCCTGCCTGACTTCGTTTCCGTGACAAGGGGCCCCGGCATGCGCTCCAATCTGTCGGTCGGATTAGATACCGCGAAGGGCTTGGCAGTTGCGTGGCAGATCCCTCTGGTAGGGGTACATCATATGCAAGCACATCTCTTAACGCCTCGATTAGTCTCAGCTCTGAACGATACCGCACCCGACAATACTCCGCAGCCCGATTTCCCTTTTCTTTCCATACTTGCTTCAGGGGGCCATTCCATGTTGGTCCATTCTAAGTCGCTGCTTGATCATGAGGCTCTTGCCACAACCGTTGACATCGCCATTGGTGAGACTCTTGACAAGTCAGCTAGGCTCATACTCCCAGAGTCTGTCATGGAGTCAGCCAATACAACTATGTATGGCAAACTGTTGGAACAGTTTGCGTTTCCCAGCGGACCCACGGATTATGCTGACTATCAGCCATTGAGGACTCGTGGGGAAGAGACTGTCAAACGTGACAATGCCGATTGGGGATGGTCATTCACCACACCATTTGCTAACACCAAGGATTTGAAATTTAGCTTCTCGTGTGTCGCTAGCACAGTGGGCAAAATTATGTCAGACAAGGAGAAGAAAAACGTTCAAATAACTGAAGACGAAAGAATTGCTCTTGCACGGGAGTCGATGCGTGTTTGCTTTGAGCACTTGGCATCTAGGACTATCATCGCACTGGAGCTATTACGAAAACGGTATGCCTTTAGTGGGGGCAATGAACAGGTCAAAACTCTAGTGGTTAGTGGTGGAGTTGCCGCTAATCAGTTTCTCATGAAAGTCCTAAGGGATTTCTTGGATGTGCGCGGATTTGAAGATGTCCAGGTTATTGCGCCGCCTCCTTACCTGTGCACTGATAACGCGGCCATGATTGGTTGGGCTGGCATTGAAATGTTTGAAGCAGGCTGGTCTACAGATTTAAGCTGCAAAGCCGTGAGGAGGTGGACTCTTGATCCGAACGCTGATGATGGTGGTATCTTAGGACCTGATTGTTGGATCCGAGGAGAAAATAGCAAGTCATAGAAGTTGCAGCGACATAGAAGCATGTACAATAGTGATACCCTTTCATTGCTTAATGATACCCTGGGCAGGATGAATCCAACAAAGACACATAACAAATCTATAAAGACCCTTTAACACGCCCGTCTTGCTCTCTATTAGGCATTTAGCAATGAAACCGATCCGAAACAACCCAGAAAACAGTTTAGAAAATCATGAGCAATCAACACTCAATAAATCAAGTTACAGGATGAAAATGAGCCAGTATGGAGATGAAAAGTAGAGAAGAGAACTGAATGTGAAATGAGAAGAAAATAAAAGTAAAAACAAAATAAAATAGCGAAACGGTCTCATGAAGAAAGCGACAATTCAAAATTCCCAGTCCGTTGCCCAGCACCAAATGCTTAGTTCAAAATTATAATCGGGTCAAGAAGATTTCCATCACGTCGTAAATCGTAAGCCCTCGCGGGATAAAGAACATTCGGAAAACGCAGAGATAGGTATTGCAGAACGAGGAAAAGTTGTATCGCAATGGATGATCCAAATGCAAAATCAAAACAACTGAATAAGTCAAAACGATCCGATGCCCGATGCGACCCCTGTTATAACGACAAATATGCATTGAGCAAAGAGAGTATAATAGTAAGAATGTTTTGTAAACCGAAAATAAAGGGAAGAGGATGTTCAATCCAGAATGTCTTTGAGAGCCAACGCGCTAGCCCGACGGGGGTACACATCATCATTGGATCTAGATATTTCGCTGGGCTGGACGTGCTTGTGAGTAATGTCTCTTCTAATGTGAGGGCGAGCTGGCGTTGTTAGAGATTTTAGCCCCTTCTCGAAGCACTGTGTCGCAAGTCAGCACCATCATTAAGTAACAAGGAAAGCGGGCGGTGTAATCTTACTGCTTTTTCAACATCCTGCCATTTCTCGCCCACAGCATGCGCTAGTGGTTGCCAGATTTGCTCTCGGATTTTACTATATTCAGTGGATAGCTTTTCGAGCATCTCCTGATTCCATTCTAGACCTCTTCGCTTGGCAATAAGACGCTCGTGCCTTTTTCGACAGGCGTTTGCTGTTTTGTTTCGGAAATTCTCTCTTTGAATTTGACTCCATCCTTGTCCACGAGACCGGGAACTGAGTAATACTGCGTCATCGTGAGAAGACCAATTTGACGAATGGTTGGCGGTTACTTGGTCGGATAAAGAGCGTTGTTGTCCGTCAGATTTTGAGGGTTTTGTGCTATCGATAGTGTGGGTATTCTCCAATGGAAAATTCATTTCCACAGAGGACGTGTCTTTCCGAAAGCCCCGCACAAAGTTTGGAGAGTGGGATATGTCCAGAGGTCCGCCGTGAGTGAAGCCGTTTGTGATCTCCGTCAAATCACAATCGTGGCCACCAAGGGTCAGTGAGGGCGAACCTTCTTGTGATGATGGAGAAAAATATCGCATGGGGCCAAAATAACTGCGGCTAGGAAATTTCTGATAATGGGACGATATTCTAGTGATGGCAACTATCTTGTCGCAGGAGAACACGTGCCGAACTCCACTTGTGACATAGACTAGGCCCAGTGAAACGAGAAGCGTAGCCCAAGCGAGGCTTAGATATGAGGCTGAGAAAGCTTTGACTGAACTAAACTGTCAGGAGAAGGTATATGAAATCAACCGAAGGAACGATGTAGGTGAGGGGCGTCTGTGCCTGTTTATACTCAGGTTATCGAATGAGCTAGCCAATGGCCTAAGTAGATAAATCAAGTGTGTTGGATGACGGTGCATTTCAAAGTATTCAAGTCCGTCATGGAAGGCCGCCACAGCCTCCTTTTGAATATGGTGCATCTTTATAGAAACGTGGGTCGTATGAGTGTGAGTGGGCCCTTTCTGAGATATGCACATTTCGGAACTGAGGGTCATGTAAATCACGCTGCGCCGTTGAAGCAACAATGGCTACTAGGCGCAGGACCCAAAAGAATGATTGAGGCTTCGGGGTGAATGCTTCTAGCGCATTTGAGCTGACCAAATTTGGAACTAGAGCTGAATTGAGTTTTGAAACGTGAGAGAACCCGGGGCTGCGCATGAGGAATTCATTGAGTCGGCCACTCTGGCGTGAGTTTAGCCGCAGTTTCAAAGTTATTTTGGCCGGTAAATGCGCACTACTGTAGGAAAGGTTCGGTTGGGGGCGATGCATCGAGGATGCAGGTCCGCATGGTGTTGTTCTCCGGCCGTCTGGAAGGCCCATTGCGGCAGCTGACTAAACTGGTGATCTAATTTGGGGGCATCCATGATTCGTGGGGCCGCCAGAAGCTCATTGGCGGTTACCGGATAATATTAGAAATCGGACCCAGCGTGGTTGGCGCTTTCCCTTGTACAGACTAGCTCGTTGCTATATTTAGGGTTTCACTCCGATCTATCTTTAACTATGGAAAGCCTCACAACGTCCGATGCGCATATAGAGCTTACGGACTAGATAGTAAATGTTTTCTTCCTATAGCTATAACTGCCATTCATGGCGTTGATGAAATTCCACTAGCCTTGTTGTTGCAGTTCGTGTGGTGGTATCGGCCAGCGATTTATTTGCGGCACAGTTATGCAATCTACATAATCTTGAATTTCTGGAATTTTCCAAGGACCTTAGATTAAAAGTGACGTCAAAGGTCACAACTTGAACATAGTTTAGGATCTGTGGAATTTGAATCGTTCTGGGTGTTTCCGCAAGGATCAAGACCATGCGGGGCCTCTCCTTCGAGAACCGAAACTTCCATGACGTTTACCTCTAGGCTTAGTCGATTTACCAATTTCATGGCACTACTGGTTGCTAGATTGACAACTTTAATCATGCTTAACACTTTTAAGTTTTGCAATTAGGGTCATCTCTAGCCAGTCATTTCCTCGTCTGACACAATTGGTGCAGCCACAAGACTTGAACGGGGTTAGCTAGTGGCTGATAACAATTGTAGGATAATTAGCAACTCTGCATAATGCCGTAGTAAGTATATAGGTTGTGTGGCACGGTTTTTACTCTTTTTAGATCTCCCCCAACTACCGACAGCCCTTACATGGATACGATATAGTGTCTCTTTTATCCATCTGCCATGTTTTCTCTGATTTGACTTGGCGTCTCCAAGACATACTCAGTCCAGTTATCAGGTTGTAGCTAGTTACATGGAGAATGTCCAACTCATTCTCTGCTTCTTTACACAATCCAACTACTTAGGCACAAATCAAGATTCTGTCGAGCTAGATGTGTAAACTTTCCATGTGGAATGACTCAAAAACAACAAATCGGCGCTGAGTCATGTATACATGGTCTGAACACTTGCGATGACGCGTTCAAAACTTCGACGCATATGCAGCTAGATTCTCGAACATTGCAGGTGCAGTCTCCCACGTTATCACCGGGCGCTTAGAATCTTGACACTATTGGCAGATGCATAAAGACGAGAGATGAAATGGCTTATCAGCTAAGTATTTTGAAACCTCGACGATGCAAAGGAAGACTTACTTTACATAACAGGCTAGTCGTATGTATCTAATTTCTTGACATGCATGTGCAAAACGGCGAGAACTAATTTAGTTCCCTTTATGAAAGCCCTAAGCCACCCAACAGACAGGTTTTGTAGTTTCCAATGGGGGATTTTTTTTTTCTATATCTGGGACAACGTGCATCCCCCGCGAAGATGAGTAGCGCCGGGTAGTTCTCCATGTGGTTCTAATTATAGACAACAATACCGGATGTTACCCAAGTAGGTAACTACGTGCTGTAAACACTGCACATAAGCACCTAACTCAGCGGACGAGCTCTGTTACTATGTACGTCTTCGTTGATGTATCAGATGCTCTTCTATATCCTATTGTTTTTGTTTGATGCCTGGCTGAGAGTTGGAGGGTTGGTTAAAAGAGCAAATATTGACTAAATCTCAAGTGGGATATCAAGTACGATTTCGCACTCTAGATCTCGGATCAAGGGCTTATATGCTTCTCAGTAGTCATTCAACCCTTAGGCATTTATCCAAACTACATGGTGTATGCACAGCGGCAACAAATGAGGTCACTTACCGTATCCCGCGAAATACTCCAAGATCACTGCTGCAACATGCTAGTTACCTGGAAGCGATCGAGACGTGAAAGTTATATTTCGATCTAAAAAGAATTAAAACCTTACGCTTTTTTTTGGTTGTATAGACCCTTTGGGAAAGTCTGCTTTGTGACACAGAAAGATAACAAAACATATAATGAACACACAATGATCAGAAACTTGCGTCAGATCTGTACACGTCCCAACACGCCCGTACCGCCAGCAAGATGGTGCAATTACATACACGCCTGAGTCCCCATAATCTCCTGTCTGGCAAAATGCTCATCTAGTAACAAGTAGAACTTTCACTCTTCGCTATGCGCCCATACAATATATACTCAAAAGACCATAAAACGCGACTTTGACTACAAAGATGATTCATCGCCGTAATCATCCGATAATACTACAGGTTCCTAGCTCAACAGGCAGTCGCTGGTCAAGGCGAGGGCGGAGGAGTAAAACCGATATTAACTGGTAGAAATGGCCCTTTTTTGCGCTAAGGCCTCAGGCCAGATTGTAACAAGCCACTGTCTAACATAAATTTATGGATCTGAGATTTGACTTCACTCTAGACTAGTCTTCCTCCACCCCCGCCTTGTAATATCGATCCAGGTGGGCAGATCGAGAATTTCGACGGAGAGAATCATGGCAGACTTATGAAGATCTAATATTTAACTTTCTCCCACAAAGCCGGCCATGTACGCCATCTTTTCTTCCATGCTTCCATTGCGGCTCAAAAATGAATGGGTTAGGGTTTGGAAAGTATTGGAAGAATTGCTTTCAAGCTTTTGGTGCCTCAGGAAGGAGCGAATTGAACCTTTCCTTATTAGGCTAGTGCAGATATTACATATTCCAACGCTAACCTCTTTAGGTTAGTCGCTGCTCCCCGAGCTTCGAGACTCCAAGAAGTTGGATGCCGACGTCGCAGCCTCGCGTCTCGTGAAGACCCGTTGCGACAAAAGAGCCACTGCTTCAACTGACGAGACAGCTTACTTTGGGAGAAAATCTCCAGAACTTTCCAGGGATGTGCTTCGGGCAGTGCATCCTTTGATCGCGTGTCCCCCCTTGATATTTGAGTCTTCAGAGCCAGGAAACAGTAACGCAGCCCCTGGACTTCGCTCCAGCAAACAGTCACCAAGTGCGCTTGCATAACAGACGGCACGACTCTTTGAAGATCGTATTTAGATTATGGCTCCACTTCCAAGAAGACGCACATCGTCGTCTCGCTCGATGGCGCCACTGCGGAACTCACGAAATGGTAACGCAACCCCGAGCGACGGGCCTCCGCAGAAGAAGCGCAAATATATCCCTGGTGGACCTGGGGGCGGTGGCAGATTTGTGGAAATCGATGTTGTTCCTGAAAGAAAACCACCCGCTCCTGTTCAAGAACCTATCGCCCCAGTTCAGAACCATTCTTCCCCGCGTCCTCGACGAGAGACATTACCTGCTATCATTAGCACCCCGCTTCCTATTGCCACACCGCCATCTACTCGCCCTCGAAGGGAACGCACCCAAAGCCGAGGCCGTTACAGTTCCGCTACGGCTGCTGCTTTGGCACTCCAACAAGGCGATGGGTATAAGCCTCGCGAAGAACGCGGTTGGGAAGAGTTTCACCCCGATCTAGATATCGAAGCCAAGTTTGCAGTTTTTAGCGCTGAAGAAGTAGACGGCGCCAACAAACCACAGCAATCTGCTTCAAATTCTCTTTTAACAAACGGTTCACCCTTGACTCCCGACGGCTACAATGTCCCTGCTATCGCGGCGCCTACGATTCCTCAAACACCTCCCAAACGAAGGCCAGGTCGTCCTCCACGGCGTCCAGATGCAATGCTTAGTGCAATCATTACTCCAGAACAACCAAAAATTGTTCCACCTCCTGGACCAAACCCTCGCGAGCGGCTTACGCTGCCCAAGCCGAATTTCCACCTTCGAGATCCCTTCGTTCCTTTTGAGCAAAAAGGCGTTAGTCAGCAAAATTACGTTGATCGGACAATGGCTAGCGTTGGCTATCAAGAGAGTGATTTGTTTGTGCGCCATGATCGTCGACTTTTCCGTATGGCCGAAGGCGCCATTGAAGAAGATCTAGATCTAGACCCGCCTGTCACAGATGGTGATACTAATGCGGCCATTGGTTCACTGGGTGTTGGCAGGGTAGAATATGATATGGATGAGCAAGATGAAAAGTGGCTAGAAGATTACAACGCCAAACGAAGGATTGATCAGTTGGAGGCAATAAAACCAGCCATATTCGAAATCACCATGACTAAAATCGAGAAGGAATGGTATGCCCTAGAAAAGAAGATCCCGAAGCCAAACCCCAAGCCACCTCAAACACAACGCCCGCGCTCAAGCTCTGCTGCTGCTGTCAATGGCGAGCCCATCGGAGCCGGTGAAGAACAAGACAGTAAATGTGCTGTTTGCGACGATGGGGACTGTGAAAATTCCAATGCCATCGTATTCTGTGATGGATGCGATCTTGCTGTCCATCAGGAGTGTTATGGCGTTCCGTATATTCCAGAAGGCCAATGGCTCTGTCGCAAATGCCAGCTGATTGGAAGAGGGTCACCGAATTGTATTTTTTGTCCAAATACAGAAGGCGCATTCAAACAAACAAACACGTCAAAATGGTCACATTTGCTCTGTGCTATCTGGATCCCAGAGGTTGGTATTGGTAACCAGTCCCTCATGGAACCAGTCACGGACGTTGAAAAAGTACCCAAAAGCCGATGGAAGCTCCAGTGTTATATATGCAAACAGCGAATGGGTGCGTCAATTCAGTGCAGTAACAAAAACTGTTTTGTGGCCTTCCATGTCACCTGCGCAAGGCGATCTCAGCTGTATTTGAAGATGAAGACTGGCCATGGGAATTCAGCAATCATGGATTCTCACATGCTAAAAGCTTTTTGCCATAAGCATGTCCCCCCTGATTGGCGAAAGGAACATGGAACTGATATCGCATATGCTGAAGCAGTTGAATATTACAAGAATACAATGCATGGGAAAAGATGGGGCGACAGTCAAGCCGCTGCTCTCGCTCTCGGCCCGTCACAGCCGGATGGAAGCGAGGCCCCAGAAGGCCGTGGACATCAGAGTCCCAGCATACACTTGACGTTCAATGCGGGTAACAACAAACGAAAACGCACTACCCCTCAGAAACCTGCGTGGAGGCTAGCATCAGGGGCACCTGTCATTCCACAGACAGTACTGAATTCAGTCGTAGCTTCATTGCAACGTTTTTCCGTGCGCCAACGAAAACAATATGCAGAGGATGCTTGTAAGTACTGGACTTTGAAGCGGGAAGCTCGCCGGGGAGCTGCCTTGTTAAAGCGTCTCCAGCTTCAGCTGGAGACATTTTCTTCTATGGAGATGACCAGGCGTAATTTTGCTGGCATGGGTCCCATTGGCCTCTCCCGTCTTCAGCGCCGTATTGATTTTGCAGAGCGACTGTCTTCAGATGTGGAAAGAGTTCGCACACTATGCAATGATGTGAAACGACGCGAGAGCGCCAAGCTCGAAGACGCCGAAACGCTCCGTGACATCGTCGATACTGTCTACTTTCCCATACCTCCTTTATTATGGCCGATCTTCGAGAAGATTCAAGCGTGAGTGTCAAATCAGTCCGTTCATTTGATTGGCATTTTGCTAACTTGGTGCTAGTCTTGATCCCAAAGGTGTTTTTCATTCAAAACTACAAGCCGTGCGTGCCCGCTTGGAAGCACGGTTTTACACCACCGTGGCCATATTCTCGGCTGATTTAGCCCATATATTTACCACCGAGATTGGAGCGCAGCCAGCTGAAGACACAGCAGAGCTTCAGGTACAGATGAGTGGCCGAGCAACAGAGCTTTCGCTTGAACAGCGTGAGAAAAGGAAACTAGCAAAGAGAATAATAAAATCCATCCAGCCTTTTCTCGAGGATGCTATTCGCAAGGAGACCGAACTTAGTGGCTTGCCTTTCGAGAAAGAGCTCAAAGAGCTTGATGCCATATTCGAGAGCGGTATTCTGTCACGGAGAACATCTGTTGTCGAAACTGCCGACGCTTCATCTGTTCATGGTGTGGTGACGAATGGCCTACTCGAAGCCGAAGCCGACGACCATTCAAAGACCATAGAAACAGAAATGGCAGAACATATGTCAGTGACTGAAGCGAACGGAGTTACTGAAATACCAGCTAGTGATAGTAACGGTCGAAACGTAAAGGAAAATATTATCACAGCACCTTCCAGTGAACAGGCAGCGGATGAGCCGATCGGCGCTTCAGAGATCGCTGTCCAAGACACGGTCGGTGGCATGGACAGAAAGGAGGATGATGGCATCGTCTCTCAATCCGATGGTCATGCTGTTATGGCACCCACACGTGGCCCACTGACACCGCCGCTTAGCTCTCAGGGTGACCAACAACAAGGGCCACTTGCTCAGGGAGGTATACAATGGTATATGCAGCCTTTCGACCCAATTGGAACTACTATACATGAAGAACGATGGACTGGTCGTGATGTGATGCGGTGTATGAGTGAGGAACTAAGTGAACTGGATGAAGAGGAGCTAGATGGTTTGATAAGCAATGAAGAAAAAGATGGGGTAAATCAGTCGAATGGGGATTCGAATAAAGCCAATGGCGCAGCACCTGAACCCGTCAAGGTTCATCGAACACGACGGCGTTGGCGGGTGTTCAAATAGGGCGGTTACAAAAGTATCCAAGGGCTTGAATTCACAGCGTGTCGTGCTATGAGTATGAAAGGACTGATATGGCTTGGTGGAAGGAATCTTCGGCGTTATGGACGGGTTTGCTTTGATGTTTTTTGCGTATAGTATAGGTTGCTGCGATCTCTAGCGTCACTCATTAGTAGCATAGCTTAGCAACGCAATTATATCCACTTATCACTTCCCTAGGAAGGTATACAATATGCAGTCTGTTGGCCGTAGTATGAGAACAGAGCGTCTCGCTGATTGGTTGACTGTGGGTAATGATGACTCAGCAAGATGGACCAATGGCGTCAAGACTTCTGAAGGCGAGTCTTCAACGAGAGGTGAGGCGAACGGTTAGGCCTTGCTTTCCCATCACCACTCCTCCTTTTTCGTCTGCATTCTGCTCAATCTCCCAGAAGTTGGATCTGTCACTTGCACATAGCTTTGGAAAGCTTCAGTTTTGTCAGCGAGATCTCATTTGTTGACAGCTTTTGCTTGTCTCCCGACAGACGCCGCCAAGACTAGGCCTTAGCGCGAGTTCTTTTCACAGCGATCTCGACCAGCTCCTTCTTCTCTTCTTTATCAATTACTCCATCCAACTCATCACCAAAATGTCAGCCATGGAGTACGAAAACGAGAACGGTCGCTATGACGGTGAGTCTCCAGACTCGTATCCACATATTACCGGCTTCATCACCAGTTTGACTAATCACTCGCTGCCTAGACGACCGTCGCTATGATCGCGACCGTAGCGCTTCTCCTCGAGGAGATTCACGCGTCGACCGTGATCGCAGCCTGTCTCCAAATGGCCGTGAAGATGATAGGTAAGGATACTCAGTGGCTTCAGAAAGCGCCGCGAAATTAACGATGGACAGAGTACCAGCAGGTGACTCTAGGAAGAGCTTGCCTGAAAACGATGATGAAGGGGCTGTCAACCCCGGCTCCAACCTATTCGTCACCGGAATTCACCCTCGTCTTACCGAAGCAGACATCTCCCGACTGTTTGAAAAATACGGCGACGTAGAGAGCTGTTCTATTATGCTTGATCCTCACACCAAAGAGTCACGTGGATTCGGCTTCGTGAAGATGGTTACAGCTGAACAAGCAGATGCCGCCAAGGAAGGTTTGCAAGGTGAAGTCATCGATGGACTCACTCTCAGTATCGAGAAAGCTCGTCGTAGCCGTCCCCGTACACCTACACCGGGCAAATACTTTGGCCCACCTAAACGAGGTAAGCTGACTAATTTTTCAAATTTCGGACATTATTGACGAATTCCTTTCGATTCAGAATTCGGACGCCGTGGTCCTCCTCGTGGAGGCCGTGATCGCTATGATGACCGTCGTGGCTATGGCGGTGGTTCTCGTCGCTATGATGACTACCGATATGGTCGTTACGATTCTTATGGCCGTCGAGGTGGTGATTACCGCGATGACTACGGATACCGTGGAGGTGGTGGACGTGACTACGGTCGAGACTATGGTCGCCGTGATGACTACCGCGATGATCATGGTTATCGTGGTGGTGCCGGTGCTGGCGGTAGCGGTGATCGTTATGCTTCTCGTGAGGAACGCTATCCTCGTGGAGAAGATCGCCGTGGTGGTGGTGAGGACCGCCGTGGCGGCTACTATGACCGTGATGCAAACCCTCCCAGCTATGACCAGGCTCCTCCACGTGAAAGCCGCGATCCCTACAACGGCGGTGGTCGGTCTTATGAAGGCCGCGGAGACGAGAGATACACTAGGTAGGTGGTTCGCAAGGCCCTGTAAACGGCACTTGATCTGGACTTGACAGACGAGCCTGGAATGGTTTGTTTTGGCTCTCACCCTTTTCTTTCTCGAGTTTCAATTCTTCTTTGTATTCCTCGGTATTTTCATTTTGTTTCGTGCTGGGTCCAGGCGCGAAGGGTTACGGTCAGCACACGCCTTAAATTATCCATGTTTCATCATCTCTGTGCGTTGGAGAACCTCCAAAAGGAAAGTAACGGCTTTGGCACGTCTACCGTGTTTCGCGAAAACATCGCCAGGCATCTTTCACCATCGACCTGTATCAACTATTACACAGTCTTGTCGTCAGTTTGAGCTCCGCCATGATGTTTTTATTTACTTGTTCTACTCTCAAGGTTACGGCATGTTTGGCGACGGGAGAGGGGAAACAAAAAAGTCAGCTTTCTTAAAAATACTGCGTTGTAATTTGACCGTGGTCGTCCTGGACAGCACTGCTACGTTGCAACTTTCCGGTACGATCCTAAATCGATAGCCAGCTTATGTGCGCCGTATTCGAAACTTTTTTTACACGTAACGACTGGATCATTTGCAACTTCGCAGAAAGAAAGAGACAGCTCGAGTTCTTGCCTTATATCACTTAGATTTGCACCAAGTCACAATCTCGCCATCCCCATTACAATCACGATATATTTCTATATCAACCTGACCTCGCTCTGGATTTCTTGTGCGGCATTTTATCTCACCCTGCTCGTCTTTAGTGGTTCTGACAACAGCGACGTATTGCCGCCAAATTTTGCGTTACTTTCTATCTCCAGCCGATGCAGCTGTCAATATACGTCTAGGTAGGTCAGGTTCCAAGGAGTTCAGTTGCTAACGTTGATCGTAGGATAAGCGGCTTGCCCATATTCACCTGTCGAAATACTATTGATCCTGGTAGATTTAAACTCCTCCCTCTTCCCAGTCGCAATATAAGATACTTTGACCTCGATGAAGATCCTTTTCTATTTCAATTCAGTTTGAATTTCTGTAATCGTTATCCCTAGCTGCTTACATCTAGGCAAAAACAAGACATACACTGTATATGTTGTCATTCTCAACGCGTAGAATATTTCTATCACCGGTAACCGGCCTGGGGAAAGGTATAAAAGTTTGTTGCAAAAATACTCCTTATGTTATTGAACCTCGATGCACCCTTAAAACCCAACGAATAACAGCCAAAGCTCCGAGTTATGGTATGATACACTTGTTGCGCCGTACTCCATAGATGCAATTGTTCCAAGTTGAGAAACGCCGAAAAGGCGTTCATTTCTCGACCTAATGACCAATATCCTGATCCTGCTCAATTTCATTACTCTTCTGAATGAGGAATTCCCCAAGGACTTTCAATGGCTTCGACGGTCTTGTGATGGAGCACGAACAAGTCAGTCAAATTGAATCAATGAATGGACGAGGAGCGTCGAGATTTAAATTCATACTGTTCCCTTGCAATGTTCTTCATTCCTTCTAGTAGATAGGGTACGATCTTCTCATTCAAGTATATTCGCGCAGGTGCGCCGCCCGCCGCCTTGGGAAGAACGCTATCGAGCCCTGCTCCTTGATGTCCTGCTGTTGTTCCGGGAATCGTTGCGTTTTGGCTTTCGGCATGGTTGCCGATGGGGGTTGTGCTGGAGCTCATGGCTACTTTGCTATGCTCAATACACGCGAGGCGAGGCGGCGGATCGTTGCAGTGTGAGCTGCATATTGAAGGTTCAGTAGTATCAGTACAGTACGCCGTGAAAAAAAAAAAAAAAAGATTGGGCTGAGGGATGTGGATGGCAGCGCAGCTAGACATACGACTCAAATATGACTTAAAGTAATAAGGCGAATAAATACTTTGATTCAAGCTAAGCGAGTACTATTTCAATGCTTGAAGCAGAGCAACTTAACGGTGACGCGGGTGTCCGAAGAAGAGCTCGGGATCGACTAACTGCAAAGGGACTAGTTGGTATCCAGGGGTCGATATCGAAATATCGATAGATCACTTTAACAAGACACACAGAAATGTGTCATACAGACCCTTTTCCCTGCAACTATCCCACTTCTCTTCTACAGGGAATGCTCGTTGAAGTCAAAAGAACTTAGTGCCAAGGAAAAAGTAGAATCTCTGAACCTTTCTACCGTCAATATAATATTTGGCAAGGCCTTCATGGCTCTTTTCCTGGAATATGGAAGATAATTGTGACTCGCCTGTGGCTAGTTCATTGGAGCCATCGTAGAACTCCTCTAGTGACCACATCAAGCACGGAGAAATGAAGACCTCGGCAATGGACACTGTTTGGATGCATTACCGGTCGATGATCCCGACGGTATCGAAGGACTCATTAACCAGAATGTGATCACCTTTTTCGTCAGGGTGCTTAAGGGAGAATTGTCCAGATCGTGAATTCTCCTAGAGATCACCAATAATTCCCCAGGAGAAATCGATAGATGAAGAGAGGTGTCCACTGGAAAAGGGCATCAATCTCACTACTGGCAATCATTGCAAGGTGAACTCAAGTATAGCCTTTGACCCATCTAGCGATGAAGAGAACGGTCCCCGTGGACCACTTCCTACTTTGAACGTTGATCGACGTGCGAAACCCTTAATGTCTATTGCATATCCCGCTAAGAAGATAAGTAATCCCAATTTTTCGAAGACGTGGTTCCTCAATTTCGAGAAGAATGTCAGTTACCTAGCTGTTGCATCACCTTCTTTCTCTGCTTAGAAGTCGCCTCTTTCCAACCTAGGGGCTTTCCTTTCAATTTTTCCATTAAAATATAGCTCGCTCCAATTACGTTTGTAGAATCGAATTCGCATGCCCTGTGAAGACTTTGGGTTTCGGGATATGAGTATGCTCTTGAAGATAGCTCATAGGGTAGATTCGCTTTGAATAATCCAGTCTCAGACTTCCTGTAGTGGTGATGGGGTCTTGGCTAGGCAAAATCTCGCTAGCCATTAAACATCGTCTTCAACGGTTATCTCGGCATGGCAATTCTGATCATCCATTAGGGCTGTCAGGTTCTTGGCGAGGAAACTCCACGGTGCAAGATATGCCTCCCCTAATGATGGATGCGTGAGCACACAAATTAGAAGGATCTATCCGACGGCATAAGTCGTCTATACAACGAGCCTTTGTCACTTCATATTGAGCACAACAGGTTTCCCAGTCTTCCTAGATTCAATGCCATAAAAAGAGTTTCCGCAGCTTATCATGACCATGGGATTTGTGATGGGTTTTTGGCGATGTCTGCGACAGCAGGGATGTCTATCACACAGCAAGCTGTCTCCTGCAATTCGTGCAGCTGGTTTCTCACAATTTGTGAAGGCCCATGAGTTGAATTAAAATACTATTGTTGTCATTAATCGATGCATGCGCATGTGTCTTTTCAATATCAACATGTTATTGAAATATTTGATTGGCATCAAAAACATGGAATCAATATGAACCGTGGTTGCAGTTGAACACGTGAGACGTGTCGCCCAGACCCGTAGCAGCGGCCAGACCTCCAAAGTTCTTCACTCCACGACCCACTACGATTTCATTTGGTACGTTCATATCCTCGACATGATCGGAAACTGTCAGTCATCGAGTAGGAGATGTCTTCTCTTTTAGACTTCTTCGAGACTCGTCGTCCCACTGCAAAGCGGCGAAAACTTTCGCCTGAGGACTCGGGATCGTCAACACCGTCTAGAAGCGCAGATCTGGATGTCTCTGATGGATTGCACGTTAACCTGAATTTCCCAGTCTATCCAAGAAAGGCGATCGATGCATCCGATAGTGGAAATATTCCAATCGGCAACGAATATGCTGAATATGCTGACGTTCCTAGAGGCAGTCAGACAGACTTAGAAGTGTCTCTCCCGCCAGTCAAGACAGACCAGGATGCGATTGAAGAATACGAGAAGTCCAAGGCTGTTGAAGCTGGAGGCGGAGAAGAGGAAAATCTTCCACTGCAACAAAGGCTTGGAGAGATGCAATGGCGCAAGGGGAAGAGTTCAATATATGTGGACGCGTTCAACCTCGCGCTGGAAACGGTGCTGGAAGAAGAGGCTCATCTATTTGATAAAGCAGAGTTGGGCGTCTTTCGTATATGGAATTCTTTGACTTATGAGGCGCAATATCTGTTAGTTATTCTCCGCTACCCTAGAGAACATTTTAGAGCGAAAAGGAAAGAGAAAATTAATTCTACATTCACCAAGATATGTACGACTTTTTCTCCGCAAAACAGCCGCCTGGCATCGCATAAATCGACTAGGATACTACCAGGAGATTGTCGATATGGACCAGGCTGTGGCAGACCTTCGAGAGGTCCATGCTCTTCCATCATCAACGTCGCTTTCCGGAGGTATTACGTTAACCGACCCCGAAGTCCCTGAAGACACCAACTTTCTAGGCGATTCCTTCAGGTTTGCAGAGGGGATTGATGAAATAACCACGTTAGAAGAAGCCTCTTCCTTACTTCTATTCGATGAGCTCAAAGAAATGGCCAAAGAAGCCAAAGTTCAGGGGAAGAATAAGAAGGAGCTCCTAGCAGCACTCCTTCAAACGAGCCAGACTCAAAGCAGTCTAAGGTGGAAAGAAGAAACGTTCAGCAACCGAGACTGCCATTTTCTCAAAAAGATTTTGGGATATACAGGTGACTGCATCAGGCTCGCTCCTGCGCCATTAAAACTGTTCGAACGGGTCCACCTGGTCTTTTACCGCTCGACTGAGTGGACAGAGAAATCTCTTACCACAATTATCCTAGCAAAGGTCTCGCGGAAGAACTTTCCTGATTATGTCGTCTCGCGATCTACAGTAATCTTTCCGTCTCGAGCATATTTGATTGAGTTCGAAACAGCTTTAAGAACACAGTTCCAGATCGACAATATATTGGAATTCAATGGAACACCAACAGTGCAACGTCTAGAGACAATCAAAGACCTAAGCGAAAAGATCTACCCCAGATGGAGATTTCTATCGGAACAAGAACAGCAAAAGGAAAACAATATTTATAGTAGTGGCGAAGGTGCTTACCTACGTCGCTTTTCGCCGGCTTGGGTGTATACGAGAATCATACACAAAGGCCTTTATCCTCTTGGTCGATTCAAAGAACATAAGCGTGAACATGAGATACTGACCGAACTCCTTAATCAAAAGCTCTTTCACACTGCACGACGCGGCGCTTGGTATCAAAGGAAAGCTCTGTTGGAGGAACACTATCTCTGGGCCTTGATGCCAAATGGCGGCAGAAGCGAAGAAGCACAGAAGAAATATTGGAAGAGAATCTCGCTGGAGACTTGTGAAGCCGGACTTCAAGATCCAGATTGTCATGTCATCTATCATTATGATCTTCAAAAAAGAATTATCAAGCTTGAAAAATCGCTAAAGGTGGTGAAGCGAGAGCAGCACGACTTTGGACACGTTCTTCTTGTCAAACCCCAAGAAAGAACCATAGAGGGCATCCGCGTTGAGAAAGAAGACTTGCTAAATAAACCCGATTCAATCAAGCCCGGTAGTGACATACAAATATCATCAACGCGGAGGGGACTCCCTACTGTTTGGATCGACGAACGAGAAGGTGGCGAAGAATGCAGAGTCGAAAATATGTGTCTCAGCTGGTATCGAGCAAATGGATGGAAGGGTTATCACTCTGAAGGAGGGATTGTCCGGACACTTGTGCGTTATTTCTACACCTGCCTCCCACCGTATGTCAACTCTAAAAGAGGATTCGGTTAATTATTTAATTCCTGCAGTTCGGCTATCTTTTCTATGATATTTTATTCACCTACGTTCCCAATGTCTTCCAGACGCCATTTCAAACTTGTCCGTTGGACCTCCATACAGATGCTTTCTACCCGGCTCGCGCTTCAGAAATCAACCACCGACTTGTCCAGCTTGCTAACGGCGAGGCCGAGAAAATTATTCGTAGCGTCCACGAGAGCGAATTCCCTAAACAGACCTGTATCGTTGGCGTTGATTGGACATTCGCAATTGACGACCTCGTTGAGATTGTTCAATGTTTCAAAGGTTCGGCGTTGGGAACTGTGTGCAAAGTTATGGCACAAGAATATCAGCAGCGGGGAGGTGGGATCCCCGACCTTTTCCTCTGGAGTCCAGAGAAGAAGGAGGTCATGTTCGCTGAGGTCAAGTCAGAGAACGATCGGTTAAGTGATACACAGAGATTGTGGATACATGTTTTGGCGGGTGCCGGGGTTGCGGTCGAGTTGTGTAATGCCGTGGCAAAGGAGGTTAGATATACATGACCGTTTCACATGGTAGATTTAGATATAGGCTGTAAGATCTGAGGGGCGTCGTGAAAATTAAGCGTTGTCAATCAGCTCCAGGCCACGCCTATCTACAAGAATGATCCAATGAGTTAAGGCCATAAAAACTTTTTAAATTCTCCGACCCAGGAATGGGCTGTCTGGCTACATAGAAATCATAAACTTCATTGTCTCCAACAGAGAATTCGGCGAATCCCGAATACTCAGTTATAAACTGCTTGCCCCTTATTTCCATAAGATACGAATCCATCGGTCCGAGGAGGGTATGGCTTTGGGAAGAAAGCCCGAATGTGCATCTTTTCGGGACTCAGACGGTACCCCAAAATAACACAGAGAGATACGGTCCATTTTCTTTAAGCAACCAGGGTGCTGGCAGTGGCGCTCTCGTATCTCCAGGTAGGAGGGAGGACACCGACGGTCTTGTAGTAGCGGGACAGACGGTGGATACGGGACTCGATGAGAATGAGGCGGAACTTGCCATCCTTGTCCTTGCGGTTGCGCTCAAGGTGCTTGCGGACGGAGACAGCCTTCTTGATGAGGAAGTAGAGATCCTCAGGAATCTCAGGAGCGAGGCCTACAAAAGTCACTCCGTCAGCCATAAATTTGACCAAGCAGAGGCAGATATATTCTTTTGCACATGGCACAGAACATTGACAGTCGGAATGTCAGAGCACGGAGAGTAGAAGCCAGAATATTGTGATTCTTTCAACAAGAAAACCTTCTTTTGAAACCAGCAAGACTGCCGATAGCTTGACTCTCCGGCTCGTTCGATTCCATTTCTCAATCTACGGGGGTATGATAACGAGGGAAGGGAAACGCGGGATTTCGTACCGTTCGACTTCAAGATACGGAGGATCTTGTTACCTATTGAACAGAGCAGTCAGTCTTCGTCTCAAATGTTACCATGTCCAGTTAATAGTTAAACTTACCAGTGACGTTGCGGACCTGGGCAATACCATGGCTGTCTCGGAGGACAACACCAATCTGACTGGGGGTGGCACTATATCGAGATGTTAGTTCACATTTACCTTTCAAGGTATCTTGACGGAAGTCACTTACCCCTTCTTGGCAAGCTTGCAGATCTGGTCAGTGACCTGGTCTGGGGTGGTCTTGAGCCAGGCAGGAGGAGTCCTGGAGTAAGGAATGGCCGAAGAGGCGATACCCTTTCCCTTGGAGTGAAGACTAGAAAGCGTTAGAAATTGAAGGATGCGTTCATAGCCATGAAGACTCTAATGCTGGCGGGAGCATTGTAGAAAGAATATCGAAGATAATAGTGATGATGATGATATACATACCGACCCATTTTGAATGTTAGTTTGTGCCGGAAAAACTTGTCTGAGGCGTTGGGCGATTGTCGACTGCGGAATAAAAAGTCGCAAAAATTATCGCGAAGCTTCCTGCTTTTGGTGTTGAATTACAGTAGAGTGTGGATCATGTGACCACCTTGTCTTGGCTCGCTAATGGAACTTTGTTTTTCCCGGATGTCGGTCCCACTCGTGTTTGCACTTCGTCCGACTTGAATTTTTTCCTTATTTCTTCTTCTCAACACTCAGAGGGCACTCGAGCTTGGCGAGTTGCAGTATATTATGTGATTGAATATGGCAGAATCAGCACTCTGACACTCCGCGTCTTATTATTATCCGAGATCCTGCAGAAGGACGAATGTCATTGCATAACGAAACTGGTACGTATTTTGCTCTGTTCACCTTCAACACGAGTATTCTGATGATACACTCCATTACATTTTATTTTTCTGGTACCTCTTGTGTCAGAGGTGCATTGGCTTCTGGCCGGTGTGCCTCGATGATCGAAACGGACTTCTGATTTTACTTCTCACTCGATTGTTTATTCCTTTTCATTTGGTGCAGTGAGCGTTTTACTGACTTGCTTTGAAGATGTTACAGGATTACTATAGAACACAGGTGTCGATATACGGCCGAGTAACTGTTCGGTGCGTTGTTTCGTTAGAGTTATACAGCATAGTGGAATATGAAGCCTTGCGTTCGGTATATTCTTTCGTATGACCTACAAATATTTTGTAATTGGTAATCTGCCGGCTGAGTTCAGCGTACTGGATGCTTCTCGCATCGAGCTTGCTTGTTTATATAAATGAAAAGGCCGGTTACAGCGTACTCCTAGCATGTGCATTGCGTACAATACCGACTTTTTATTAGAGTGTAGAAAAAGAACTTATCTAGTACCTGAGACCGTGAAGTATTCGAAATTCGAAATTCGTCTTGCATGTCGCTGCAGCCAGCTTCGTGATAGTGTCTCGGTGAATCTTCCCTGTAGCGTTCTCCCCTTCCGTCTTTTGCCTAGTTAGGTGCATATCCTCGTTAGTCAAATCGTGGACCGACACAATAGAATATTATCCAGTAACTTCATATTGTCCGTTCATGGAAAATCCAAATCTTCGGCGGTGGTGCAGTCCGTGACACCTCGGATTCACTCGGACTTGGACAAGATATCAAACAATCACGCTATTGGATTGGTAGGAAGCAAAGCAAGATGATTCTTTCGTATCTCGCTGATAATTGCTGAGGAATATTTCCTCGGAGAATGACTCAAAGGGATCTCCGTTCTTCACTATCTGACTCTGTACCGCTAGTTATTGGTTAAGAGAGTAACCACCGGCGCCACGAGCAATTTCTGGGTAAAATCTAGACGATCAGATCACCGCTTCCTCGCGGTTTTCCATATCTTGATAGCTAGCCTCTTTTGATGTGTGGGTTATTAGCGCTCGCGCCTAGGTTGACATACACCAATACACTTCATGATCAAGGAGGCGTTGTTGAGCGCGGCTACGATTGGATAGTATGCTGAACAGACGCCGCAGCCAAGGAGACTGGGAGTCATCCACTCACGGCGGAGGATTTTTTGTATTCAGCTGGCGCTGTCTCTTTTGATCAACAAAATCCTTTGTGTTGACATATTCCAAGAAGTTAGCATTCTTATTGGTGAATGGCTAAATCGTAGTGCACCTTGAATCGACGAATAGCGATGCGGGATCCTCGAATCGCATTTTTATTTGAAGTATCAATATTACATCTGGAAAATAACATTTTATGAAAATGAAATACAAAAACTCGATTGTAAAATTCGATGTAAATAATGTATATGTGTCTATATAACAAAGTAAGTCATACAAGACGTTTTGGCCTGTCAGTGCACTTAAGCACGGCAGTCTGCCGTGTGCCCTTGGGTTACTAACGACCACATGGAAGAAAATTTGTATAACTCTTTGTATCCCTAGTTTTGGTTTCATAAGAGGCATACACGTCGAGTGTTATCTTTCACAATGCCACATGAACGTTGCCTTCCTAGGTAGGTAGTAGGGCTTTATCGTAGCAAAGTGCTGCGCCAATCCGACGACAAACGTCGGCAGATAAAGTAGTTTCGCGGTGTTGCATTGATGAGATTAGTTTTTCTTTTATGACGAATTTCATAATATGTATTTAACGAAGTTTTTTATAATGTTTATACTACTCTGATGAGATCAACGAGATCTGTTTCCGTGGAACGGGTACGGGCCGAACGAGTTAAATCCTAAAAGAGGAATTCTTAACTTAACACGTTGGATGACTGATCTTGGGGCTTTGTTCGTCCCAAAGAAATCAGGATAGGAGTTTTGTTTCAGAATCCTGTGAGAAGTAAGAGAAGGAAGGGAAAACAAGTCACAGGGACTAGGCAAAATGTCAAGCACATGGCGTCGCACCGGCGACGTTCCATCGCTCCGAACTGTTTACCACCATGGATATAAAACGACTGCTTCATACTAACAGAGCCATTGCCATTACAGACATACTCCGCCGGTGCGGAAGTAATAAGTGGCAGGGAATTTTATGCAGCGTATGCGGCTGCGGCACAGCAAGTTACCATTGCGTAAGTCAGCTAGTAGTTATGGACTGGGTAGCTACAAGCATGAAAAAGCGCACATACAAATAATCCTGGAAGAAACGCCTGAGCTTGAGGAGGTTAGTCCTTTCCCACTTTTTATCCTGCCTGTTGTTTAATCCCAGCCTTTATAGCCGTTGACGTTCAGAATTTTCATGGCACTTTCCAGCCTTGCGCCAGTCCAGCCGCAGACTACTTGAAATACGGGGAAGTTGTGTACAAAGTTTAATAAAGTGAACCACAATTCCTACTTGGTACGGAGTGTTAATGAGAATTAGGCAGAAAATCAGGTGGGTATAACTATAACTCAGGGCAAAAACTAGCCGTCCGATGTAAATTTTAATCAACAATCCATAATCCAAGGATCAATTACCTGCCTAAGTAGGACTAGGGATATGCATATATGCAGGGTTTACAACAATAGAGCCTAGGCTACGTAGGTATATGTCACAGAGAGAATGAAAGGTGATGGGTGTGCAGGACAGCCGTCTGTTTTTCAAGATTAGTTTTCAGCATCCATGTCTATCTCATCATTGTTATTGCGTCTTGTATGGACTACGGAGAGACCGTATTCGTAATGCGTACGCCGTCTAGTATGAAACCGTTTTATTGGCCAGTGTACTCGGTGGGGCGGGTTGCGGCAGAGGCCCGTTCGCGCACGAGAGTCGTAAGTAACGGCGTAATTAACGATGTACCGTAACGTGACTTACAGGTATTGCGGTATGGCAACGTAGTACGTACCCGTGCCGCACTTTTCCCGCCGGCGCCTATTGGCGAGAGCCTTTTTGCCCTAAGCTCCCCGCTTATCAGGTACCGCTGCAAAAGAGAGGGTCAGACAGGGTTTATTTTCGCTCTCTTACAGCCCAGACTCAGGAAATCACTAATCAGTGTTAGTTATACATATTACATACACAAATCAAAATACTAGTTACGGATATACCATGGCTTCTCCCCTCAGCCCCTCAGGGGACCTTGTCCGTCTGTCCAATGATCCATGCTCTACAGCCCTGGGAAAAAGCACCAACCACACCGATGCGAATCGAGCCCTCGATCCATGGTCGCTGCATGTAGATTGGAGTGTACGGCGAAGTTAAAACACCCGTGTGGATCCGGGCTCCAGACTGTGGCCATTCTGTGCCGGCCTACCAGTTGTCCCCAGTCCTTGCGCGTTGACCTGGTTCAGTTCCTTTGCAGGAAGGGATTGGCAACTATATAATACTTTTTCCCCGCGCGCCGTCGACTGCGCTTTCTTTTTTCTTTTTGTTCCCGCCAATTGCATCATTGTCGCGCGAAGAGACAGCCTCTCTTTTGGAGCTGACGGCCATTCTTTGACTGCCTGGATGCAGTCTTTCCTCAATCCTCGAACATGAGGCAGTCTCTCGTTTCTAGCATCAGCACTGTTAATTCATAAAGCGGAGTCAACTGCCGTCCAAGGATGACGACCTCGTCTAAAACGGGCTTATGCCCAGCACCATTCTTGCAAGCGAGTCTCTTTTCGAATTCATCCGGATGTGAGCCACTTGCCTGAACCTGTTATTGTTGTTGTTTCCCTCGGTATAGTGTGCTAATCATGAACCACCATACGCAGTTATTGACGGCCGATTCTGTGATACCCTCGAGGGCATTTCGTGTTGCTTACCATGTCCGTTGACAGATTGGAGATATCCTGATGGTGAGTCATGATCAGCTTCGGCTCGGAAGACTTGAACATATATCATATGGGGGAATCTGTGTTGGGCCATGGCTGATACGAGCCTCACCAGGGGTGGAATCTGAAACGAAGGCAGTGGAGTGGCTTGCTGTAGCCTTGTTGCCGTTGACTGCCTTCCTACTGATCAGCTGGGGAGTCCTCCCCGTCAAATTCACCAACCGTAACTACATCACGGTCTGCTTCACCTTGGCTGTTGTATGTATGCAGATAGCGCTTATTATTCCATTGGGTACAAAACCACAACAATGTTATGATGCAATCACTCCGAATGACATGCATACCAGTTGGTCGTGTGCATTCACGGGGGCTATATTGTTGTTCGGCGGTATCGCTACCGTCACATGGAGTCTCCTTCGCACAATCGCTCTTCATCTTCAGGTCTGTTGGGAGGTTGTAATCGGACCGGCGTTCATGTGGGCATCATTCGCCGCAGGGCTTGCGGTGCCTGTGCTTATCCTGACCGTGATGCTGGTCTTTACAGGCGTTTCGTACCGGTTCGGAGACGTATGCCATATCAACAGTAACGACAGCTACGATTACTGGATTCCAGTGTTGGTATTTGGTGGACTCGGGCTTATTTTACAATTTGTGACTATGGCCTACTGCATTCACGTTTACATTCGCGCACTTTTCAATCCATCTGACCCGACAAACACCACCAGCTCGGGTCTTCCATCCTACTCATCCAGTGTCCGTACAGTGACAGCCCGCCAGGCCTACAAGCGCGTAAAACGAGTTATCAAACTACAATGGCGGTCGATGGCCCTTGTGTTGGTCATTCTTGCCAATGTCATCTATTTCGCCGTAGTCTTCCTGGAGCTCGACAGCGCAATGGCACCAACTGCCAGTAACCTCGATAAAGCCGAGCCGTGGCTGAAATGTTTGGCGGAATTTCAAGATCCCAAAAAATGTACGTCGCAAGCGTCTGCCGTTGGTCTTCCCGAGGCCGCGTTGGACGCAGCATTGGTGTTGCTCTGCCTAGCTGGCTTTTGGAATTTCATCTTTACCATACGCTGGACAATGATTCGAGGCTGGCTTGACTTCTGGCAAGGACTGTTTGTCAAAAACGTGGAGTTTGTGTCAGTAGATGCACGATCTCGCTTTGCAGACAATCGCGATTATGAGATGCTCAGCCGTCAGAAAGCTTTGAAGACGCCTGAGCCGGCACAGTATGAGGTACGAACACCCAGCCCGGCATACTTCAATGGATACGAAGACGACAGTGCCGATGGGAAAGACATCGAAATCCATAATCATTCCCGGCAGGCCAGTTATACCCGGCCTGCAATAAACTTCTCCTCGCCACGTCCTCAGGCGTCACAGAGAACTCCTACCTATACATGGGATGCCACTAGCACTTTTGCGCGGTCAAATTCCCAAATCAGTCATCATAATCATGTATCCAAATAAATTTATTTACACACTCTTTCTCACTCACGCTCGCTGTATTCTCTTATCTACTCACTTCTGTACACTGAACATGTTCGTTTAACATCCTATTCCAGCATGGCGTTGCCGGCCGGTGTTATGTTGTACTACTATATCACGATTTCGTTTTTCCTAACTATGGTTTTGGTTTATATGAGCGGCCGCCGGCTAAGGGCGCCGAACGCACATATTGGCAGAACTCCGATACTAGATTTATTCTTGAACTTAAGTGGGAAACATGATACGCAAGTAAGGTCCTTTTCTAGTCAAAACTCCGTTGGAAAAGAATTAGGGCATGGATTTTCAAGGTTTTGATCACGCACAAAACTATGGTACCTAGGTAAGTTAGGGTTTCGTGCCTTGGCCCGAAAAAATGGAGCAAATGCCTAAAGTTAAAAGCAAAAGCCAAAGCTCGTTCCATGGTCTTTTCAGAACTCAATTAGTTGACTAAACTATAGGAGAACCGTGAACAATAGTCCGTATAATAGTCCGTATTGTGGATATAGTTACGTAGGCTAGCACTTTGCAGAACGTAGATGGACATATTTCATCTACGAACTTCCAGGGTTCAGCAGGGTGCAGCACTGCAAGCATATGTCACTTCGCTTGCTAGTAATTCTATATACCTAGGTACTTAGTGGACCAAGCAAAGTATATCACGAAAACGCCGCCTGGGACATGCCGATCTTTCTTTTTGGGCCATGCCCCTTTCCTGCCGAGAACGTGATCGATAACGTATTAAATAATAAACTACTCCGCATGTATGTATATCTATGTATATATTCGCTTACTCATTCCCCAATCAGAGTGACTATCGGCGTTTGCTTTATTCGCCGTTTACTAGCTTTGGCCTACGTAGGCACAGTGTATTTGGTAGTTGCTACATAGTTGCGAGAAAGATCAATATCCATAAAGGTCTCTGCAATTAGAAATCTAGGTGAGTCTTCCTCATTAGATTATCCTAGACATGATTCATGCAAAGTAACCAACAAGGACTTTGAGTATGTACGATGCAGTTGGGAGTTTGCTAGTTCACTTACACGGATTGATTTATAAAGGAATTTTGTATATGATTGGTCGGCTACAGCAAAGTGCGGAGTAAGTCCACGCTAGTCTTATTATGGCTAATTGAAGCAAAATTCTCCATGCCAATTGGACGATAATCCCAACCCTCGTTTATTCCCAAGATTGGGTTAAGCTGTTAAAAACTTAAATATTTGCCTTTGCTTGGACTGCTCCGGAGGGAATTTCACCGTAATCGTCCTAGCACGAGCGTCAATGCAGGGGTCATACATGCTGCATATGTATGTAGTCCATTCCGGTTCCTGAAGGACCGGCAAATTTCAACGTGGCTGGGCCGAGTGTGGAAATGCAAACTTGGCGCAGCATTGAATGAATAGGATAGAATCACATTGTACGGAGTCCCCCGTGTAACGCGTGATGTACGACTTGGGCTATATCAACCACGCACTAAGTCAGTCTTCCGTACTCTGTGCTTTTACTTTTACTATTTTAGTGACCTTCTGGAACAGCGATAGAAAGGAATGTAGATTAGCCTGGGTCTAAGCAGTGCCACCGCATCTTTTGTACTCCGTTGATTCTAAGGTGGCGTTGTTAGCAACAGCCTGCCGACATAACGGAGTCCTCCGTGTATGTCGTGATATGCAGAGTAGCTAGGAGAAATTCAGATGGATAAGCTGCATTAGCCTCACTAGCGGCGGGGTCTGGTGGAGTTCTCGAGGCCTTAATTCCCGGCTTTATTGGACGACAACCCAATCCTGCGCCAAGCGGAAGACCTTGAAACGGCCTTGTGTCTCAACTAGGACTAGCGGGCCAGGGGGAACACGGGCCTTGCCATGCCGAAGACCCACTGGTAACCGTTTGTTCTCGTATTGTACTGACGGCCGTATGGTAGGTAATCTAGCAATGTGAGAACCAGATCGATCTTTTTCAGTAACCTCCCCACGCATTTACAAAGTAATTGCCTATTCTGATCTAATATCCGACAATATTTGAAGTAGCGATCGGCAGTAGTCAGATATCCATTCATTGGTCATATTTTCAAAAGAGCGAAGCAAGGCTTGCCGGATGGCACATATCGGACGGGCAAAGAGCAGTGTAAACAACTAATACGTACCCTACAGGCAAGTAGATTCATTAGTTCTGTCTCAATTGAATGTCCGCATCCCTCGTGTGTCAAGGATGTAAAGCCTCCAGGTTACATCGTCATCCAAACTGTACCACGGCATCTACTATCGCGTAACTACGCTCCTTATCTATATTATCTGAACGTAGTTCGACTGGATGATACGTCTAACGTGACATATCCACTCTGTATCCACCATCAGAATCCTACAGAACCCACGTGTGTATCAGGGTGAAACAAATCTGAGGGGAAAAGCCACAATGTGTACGTAACTACCAGTTACGTACTATCTTTCGTAGGAAGAATTTCGAAGGATCGATATACTATTTCCGATTTGAGGTACCTAGGACACTTTTGTGATTTGTGGTCTTTGTTTTCTAATAATAGGAAGTATCCTGCGCAGGCATCCATAGGCAAGAAAAAAAAAGCGCCGAACAAAGACAAGTTCGTGTACGCTTTTATACAACTATCATTTTGCACAAGACCGTAAGACCACGGGTTTTAATAACTAGGCAATTCCAAGGTTGCATACCTTGGTATCTTGTCACCGCGCGTTCGTTGCACAACATGATCAATTTGATATAGGGATGATACCTACTACCTAGGTACCAGATGTGTGCAGTACAACCTATATGGCTTATCCGCATTTAGAATGTATACCTATGTAGCCACCTTGATCCATTGGTTAGATAACTATATCCTGCCGTATACTCAGGTAATACACCACATCCGAAGACATCCCATAAAATACTAGTATCATATTTCTTCTTAACTTTGGATAAGGCAACATGAATTGGTTGCATGGGCAAGGTAATCCTCCCAACGTCTGTAAACATCGGATTTGAACTGTCGAATGGATTGCCTTATACCACATAGGCAGCAGCAGTATCATAGAAATTTAATCGAAATCACTCTCAATGATTTGGATAATAAATCTTCTGTTTATTGATTTAGTTCTGGCCGAGGAGATAGAAACTATTAACATCTGACCTTGGCTGGGTTGGTCTAAACTTACCTGTCTCCAGACTTCCCGACTGAAGATCATGGTATAACTTGCACAAATAGAGATTGATCAATAATATTTTCCCCACTCAAGTATGGCCACCATAACTCACAATGCCAGGCAATGAAAACATCAAAAGCGGGTAGAAGGAAAAAAATAGCTATGGTACATAACACCACTCGGCTGAATCTCAATTAGACCACACGATTGTTTATTGAAAACAGAACAATAAGATTCTCCATCCCAAAATTGCCAGCTAGTGTCCTTTGAAAACAGAAGACAATGGAAACCTGGGTGCCTCCATCCGTGGTAATACATTATAACAGCAAGACAGAAGTACTTGATAGAGCCAAAAGAAAGGAAACTTCTTATCAAGAAATGGAAATACAGTGCAGCGTAGTGAATATACGCGCACCTGGTATGGATCTGAGATTTGAGCTCCCATGTCCTGTAACCGCACGACTCTGAAGCATCCCATAACAGCTGTCGATTACTTGATGTATTGGGCTGATGCATCGATATGCATTACCAAGCATCTACTTCGAAACTCTCCTGTTGCATTGTCAGCACAAATCACCAGATCAAATATCAACATGGACAACACCGACTCACCTCTGGAAAATAGGTCGTAACAACTGTACGATCAGAGAATTTTCGTCCCGCAAGCGCTTTCAAGGCGCGGTTCGCCGATTCAACGCTGTCGAACTTGACAAATATCTTGCCCACACCTGCCGACTGTCGACTGCCGCTAGTTGGTCGCGGAATCTTGAGGTCGAGGATTTGACCGTATTTACTACACTCATCTTGCACATCTTCAAGAATCTCTGTAGCACATATTAGTATACTCACATATATCATATAGATGAGTAACGAGAGTTTGCCACATACCTTCGTAATCGTCGTTGTTTATCAGTTCGTCGGCAGTCACCATGTTGAGCAATTGAAGAACGCGACTGGTTTCGAGATCTGCAGATGTGGTCTTCGCAAACATGGACATCGCATTGACGCCCATGTCAAGGCCAGCTGCTTGGGTGGCTCCAATACTAGCATGTGTGACTTTCAGGTGTTTGTCACCCAACTCCATGCCATTCAGACTTTCCACAGCAATAGCAGTTGCTGCAGCATCGGCATATTCGCAGAATGCAATACCCTGAGTGAACATTAGTATTTAACTGACATTCATCAATCCCACATATGACTTACCCTAGATTCTTCTGTTCCACTATCCTTCAACAACACAAAAGCCTTGAGCTCTCCAATCGACTTCAGGAGCATGGTTACAGGCTCTTCGGGAATATACAACGGAATATTCGTCACGCATAATTTGTGTGGGGAATCAGGAACTTGGTTTGAAATTACGCCTTCTTGGTAATGCTGATCTTCGGGGTGAGATGGGACAATGTAGTCTTTAGGACGTCGAAGCTCGAGACCCTTGGGCCCACCGTTGGAAGTGCCTGCTGCTTCGTGTTCTTCCATCGTGATGCCATCAAAAGCAAGTGCCACGGTAGCCTCATCAGGGCCCCTGAACTCCAAGAGCGCGAAAGAACGATCCTTCGAGATCTGAGCTGACAAGCAGGGGTCGATTCCTTGAATAACATTGAGTCCGTTGAGTTGCAAATTGAAGAATGAGGCGAGAGCGGCATCGGTTATGTTTGGAGGAATATTATGAGCGAATAAACGTTTGGCTTGTCTTGAATTGGCAGGCCTGAGCGCAGCATTGTCGGTAGATGTTGCTGAAGGTTGATTCATGAAAGCTTGAAGACGGGTTGGGTCGACTGCCTGCTGGCGAGGGGCACCTGGAAGTGGGAACATGCCTGACAGCTTTGCTTGCTCAGAAGTGACATTATCGTATCCCGGAGGTTTGATGTCCCACTGTGTGAGACGACGTTTCCGCTCCAATATAGACACAACATCCGTCAAATCAGGAGTAGGCTCCTTCTTTCTTGGTGGAGACGTGCTACGCCGTCGTTCTCGTTCCCTGTCTCTTCCCTCACGTTCTCTACGGCGTGGCCGCTCCTCAAAAAGATCCCCTCGATCGCCCCGTTCCCGTCGTGACGGCCGTTCTTCATAATCATGGCGTCGACGATCACCCCGGTCTCTATCCCACTCTCGATCATCTCTCCGACTCGACGAATACCGATCTTCGCGTTCTCTAGCCCTGTAGTCGCGACTTGATGAGTACGAATCCGCTTCTGGTTCCCGTCGCGAACCTCGACCAGAACCATAATGTGGAGATCGCGAGCGTCGCCGTTCGCCTCTGTCACGATCCCCGCGATCCCTCCGCTCGTCTCTCTATTTAAGAGAATAATCAGCAACATGAACGACTAAAGGGCGCTCGATGAATAAATGAATCGGCAGAGCTCTTACAAAATAATCCCTTGATCGACCAGAGTCTGCAAGTATACGCATCAGCTATCTGCCAATTTCTGAGTTTCGCGCGCGCGTAGCCTTACCTTTGGAAGAATATGTGTCGCCGTTCATTTTGGCTTCAATTCGGCGTGGCGAGATCGACAAAGAGAGCTTGACACCAAAAACGACCCGAAAATACCACTAAGCCCAATGAATAAGATAACCAGAGAAAAATAGTGTATAAGTAGTTATAGCTCCTTTGAGAGAAGCAGAAGAACGGTGGCTGGATGCTGCTCTTCCCTGCAAATCTTTTTGTCTGGCACGGCTGGGCAGGCGGTCCCGACAAATTCTAAGTTGAGCTTCGAGACTGCGCCTAGCGCGGGACTTGCCGCGTCGCGCCTATCCCGCCTATCGGAGCTCGGCTTGAAGAGCTTCCAGATCGGTTACTGAAGTGAACTTGTCGTTAAAGAGCTCCTCATCCCTGTCACTGAGAGGATGGGTTGAATGCAAGCATTTCGCCTTTCCTTACATGATGTCTTCCCAATTTACGGAATGGCGCAAACTGCCCATCAGCTTGAATGAGCTGTGCATCGCCACCACATTGAGGTGTGGTCAATCTTTTAGGTGCGTTCCTGTCAAAATACCCGCCTCATTGAAGTAATTTCCGGCCAATTGACCTCAAACCAGATGGCAGAAACTTCCGGAAAGCGATGAATGGAGATGTGTCCTCCGCGGTCGGCTTATCTCGCTGAGACAGGACCCGTCGCACTTGTATTATCAGTCATATGCTCCTCCTAATTCGTTTGCGACACCCCCGAGATCTACTCCTTCGTCGCAATTTGAGGCTGCCGCCATTTCCAAGCATGATTCCTCATTGCTAGACGAGACACGTGCGATCATTACACATTATCTTAACCTGACCTCCAATCTTACCGATCTATACGAGCAGTGGAGCGATTCCGACCCCAATTTCAAGAAAAAAGCGCCGAATTTTACAGGTATACGCATTCTGCGGCAGGATGCTTGGGAGGCTTTGGTTTCGTTTATATGCAGTAGTAATAATAACATTGCTCGGATTTCGCAAATGGTGGAGAAGCTATGCACAAACTACGGCGACCTGATAGCCACCATCGACGAACGACCTTACCATGATTTCCCGACCCCAGAAGCATTGACCGGAAAAGATGTTGAGGCTCGCCTCAGGGAACTGGGATTTGGTTATAGGGCCAAGTACATATATCAAACTGCTCTTATGGTTGCAAATGAAAGAGAAAGGGGTTGGTTAGACTCGCTACGCAACCCCGAGAGCCCTGCTTTTGGCATGGCGCCGTCTCCGGGTGGCATTATGCGGCCGGAAGGCAGAGAAGGCTATCGCGTTGCACACGAGAAGCTTCTAGAACTCCAAGGGGTCGGTCCGAAGGTCGCTGACTGCGTTTGTTTAATGGGCCTTGGCTGGGGAGAATCAGTGCCAGTTGACACACATGGTTTGTGACCTTGTTTGCGGAATATTCACTATCATCAGCTAACAGATGTATGTAGTCTGGCAAATTGCGCAGAGAGACTATAAGTTCGGCAGGAGCGGGAACAAGTCTCTGACCAAAGCTACGTACGATGCTGTCGGAAACCATTTTCGAAAGCTTTGGGGCAAAGAAGCCGGGTGGGCTCACAGTGTTTTATTCACTGCAGATCTAAAAAATTTCTCAGACAGACTTGCTTCAGAAATTGATGTCAAAGTCAAGCAGGAGGCCGATTTGCCGGTGGAGACAGTTGTCACGTCCACGGTAGCTACTAAACGACCGCTCGACGAAGATGGCACTGAAGCCGACACAAAGCAGGAGCTCATAGTGCAGGCTGCCGAGACCAAAGTCACTCGCAGGAGAACGAAGCGGCAACGCAGGTGATCCATGGTATCATGGTAACATGAGCGGCGTGTTAGATTCACGCGTCACACGCCTCTGAGGCTGGCCAGGAACATCTGTAGATGTTTGACGTGCATTTGCCTTCCAGTCCACTTCGATTGTACGGCAATGCTCCTTATCAAATCCAAAGAAAAAACAACTCACAGGATTGTTCATTGACATCAACTTGTCCCAATATACATGGTGGACAGACAGATCGTTTGGTATCAAGCCTGCTCGGGTCAACGTAGAGGTTTGGAGTGCGAAGAGTAGTACATATCCAATACCAGAGGTTGCACCGGTAATTACGATTACCCTGTCGATGAATCTTCCTCTAGGTTCCCATCGCAAATACTTTCAAGACTGGTAGACTGTTGTGTCTCCAGGGCCCAGACGGTTGGCATGGGTTGCAGCGAAACGACTCATTTTGGGAAGCTCAAAGAAGGATAAATAAATTTGATTAAATTGTCGTAAAAGAAGCGAGGTAGATTGATATATCTATATTTCCACACGAAGGCGACACAATCATTATCCAGTACTTTTCTTCCGACACTCAACCCATTTGGAGAGAGTTAGGGTTAAGCAGTGCCTTTTCCTCCAATCACATATATCTTCCTCTTGCTAAAAGTTATCTTAAAATTCATGTCAATAGTAAACGTCTTAAGCTCCACGAATTAATCCGTTCGGTAGAAGAAATGTTTTTTCGACGCCTTACACGTAACTTGCGAAGTCGGATCATTTAACAACGCCCTTATTGAGAAAGGTATCTGTAGCCCAAGGACTGCCAAGCTGCATAAACCCTCGTGATAGACCGAGTCCCCGGGCATAAGGAAGAGGCTGTTGAAGCCGAGAAAAGCAGGGGCTCACGGTACCATGAGCAGCTTATAAGATTCGCGGACCTTATAGGATCTTTGACGTGCATTTGCCCTTCAGCCCACTTCCGGTGTCTGTATGGCACGCTGCCATGCGTACTGAATCTGAAGAAATGTTCGGTGATACCGAAGATCAATGTCGAGCATACGCGGATCAACGCTGAGACTTGGAGCAAGCTAGTGTGGGCTGTGGGGTGTGATGCATGTCATTATCAACGTCCATTGGGGCTGGGCGCTTTGGATCAAAACGGAGCTCGGTGAAAGGAACAAAGGGCCCGCACATCATCAATCATATGTCGGATGTCAGAAACAAGCTAGAAAACGAGCGTCGTCGAAGGACCGCCGGACCATCTCCGAGGGTTCCGCTCGTTTAATATGAAGAACGTGACCAGGCAGCGGCCGGTTAAATGCCTCAACCTCCTTGCTCCGCCCGCACAGCGCACAGAAGTAAGATTTAGGACTGATATAAACGAGAGCTCTGACAAGCGAGTGGTTGAGTGATGAATGACAGTTAGTAATGATGACAATGTAAAGATCGAAGTCTCTGTAAACAACAGCTGGCCAACGACAACGGGAACAAGTCCGAGTCAGGAACAGGACAGGACAGCAAAGGCGGTGAGGAGCGTGCCGGGCAAAACTTTTTGACCTCCGGGTTGACCCTGCCGTGCCTGCTTTTTCTGCGGAGACACTCACTCGGTCTATCTCCAGATTTGTTTGTAGCTACGTTGGAGTAGCCTCTCGCAACCATTGTTTTATTTTTTTACCCCCCTGGTTGCTTTCTTTCTAATTCCTAAACTCCTAGCCCAACTCACCAAGAGGTGTCGTTTGTTGTGACTCAGATTCTTCCCGGACTTAATTAGTCAATCCATACAAACCGCCCCAACCCAACCTCGACGACCACACCCCCCAAACTGTGAATACTCAATTTCCTCGCGCGAGGTCGAATTTTGTGCGCTCGCCATCATGTCAAAGGTCTCTGCAGCCGTCAAGGCCTCCCTCGTCGGGACACAGGAGGAGGAGCTCGTAGTGTCGCAACAGATTAAAGCCAATTTTATACAGCACGCGCGCAAGGACGAGAGCTCTGGAGAGCTGTACATGACTGAGGATGAATTTATCGATGCTATTGCGCCCAAGCATCAAGACTATGTGAGTCCTTGCCCAGTCTCGCGGCTCGGAATTGCCCTTCGCAGGCTTGAGTTAGTGCCTGTGGATACTGACTGACTGGCCTGGTTATCCGCAGCACAAAATTCGACGTGACCAATACGGTATTCTATTTCGAGTCGCTGATCGCAGGAGGGTCGGGCGAATTAACATGACCGACTGGGCTGCATTCGAGCACCTTTTAGCAAAGCCCGATGCGGAATACGAGATCGCTTTCCGTTTGTTCGACGTGGAAGGAACCGGTGCCGTCAAATTTGAATCATTTAAACAATTGTACGATCAGAACAAGGGCGCTGAAACCATTCCTTTCGACTGGAATTCCGAGTGGGCCTCGCTGTATATTGGAAGAAAGAAAACACGGCATGACATGACTTACCCACAGTTCGCCCAAATGCTTCGCGGGTTGCAAGGAGAACGCATTCGCCAGGCATTCCATCTCTTTGACAAGGACGGCGATGGATATATTGCTCCAGAGGATTTCCAGCGCATCATTCTCGAGACTTCGAAACACAAACTCTCCGACTACCTGTTAGACCATTTACCTACCTTGTGCAATATCTCAACAGGAAGCAAGATTTCGTATGCCAACGTCCGTGCTTTCCAGAATATCATTCAAGAGATAGACATGATTGATATCATCATTCGGGAAGCCACTAAAAAGAGCGCCGACGGAAAAATAACTCGCGCTGAATTCCTAAACGAAGCCGCTCGCATTACACGCTTCTCACAGTTCACGCCCATGGAAGCAGACATTCTCTTTCATTTTGCAGGATTAGAGGCTCCGAGTGGGAGACTCTCCCTGAAAGATTTCGCAAAGGTGATTGATGCCTCGTGGCAAACGGCAGATCACGCGCTTGGCTCGTTGGCTGAAGGGGTCGCCAAAGCGGAAAAGAGCACCACCTCGTTTTTGTACGGCTTGCTTGAGTCCGCCCACCACTTTGCTCTTGGAAGTATTGCTGGTGCTTTTGGTGCATTTATGGTCTACCCCATTGATTTGGTTAAGACGCGTATGCAGAATCAACGTAGCGTCCGTCCAGGGGAAAGACTATACAATAACTCTCTAGATTGTGCAAGGAAGGTCATCCGCAACGAGGGTATTCGTGGCCTTTATTCCGGTGTTATCCCGCAACTAATTGGGGTTGCCCCTGAAAAGGCCATTAAACTTACTGTCAACGACTTGGTTCGCGGTTATGCCACGGACCAAGAAACGGGTAAAATCAAAGTTCCCTGGGAGATCCTTGCTGGAGCCTCTGCTGGTGGTTGCCAAGTTGTACGTTCTAGTTTCCCTGAGTTTTGATTGCGCACTCTTATTGACTTTACTCGTTGTCTCAAGGTCTTTACAAACCCGTTAGAGATTGTCAAGATTCGACTCCAGGTCCAGGGCGAGCTTGCCAACAGTGTTGAAGGAACTCCTAAACGCTCTGCAATGTGGATTGTGAGGAATTTGGGTCTTGTTGGACTTTATAAGGGTGCAAGTGCTTGTCTTCTTCGTGACGGTGAGTGAATACTTATCCTGACTGTATGTGTGACAAGTTACAATACTAATATTGACTTCTTCGCTAGTTCCGTTCTCCGCGATCTACTTCCCTACCTATGCCCATTTGAAATCAGACTTTTTCGGAGAGTCACCCACGAAAAAGCTTGGTGTATTGCAGCTTCTCACAGCTGGTGCCATCGCCGGTATGCCTGCAGCCTACCTTACAACACCATGTGATGTGATCAAGACACGTCTACAAGTGGAAGCTCGCAAGGGTGAGACGAAATACACTTCTTTGCGCCAATGTGCCTCCTCCATCTGGAAAGAAGAAGGCTTTAAGGCTTTCTTCAAGGGCGGCCCCGCTCGTATCCTGCGTTCGTCCCCGCAATTTGGGTTCACTCTAGCAGCCTATGAGGTTTTGCAAAAGGCTTTGCCCTTGCCTGGATCTGAAGACCACGCCCCGTCTCTCTCGACTGTCGAGACGTCCTCAGTGCCATCAACAAGTGCTCCACTCCCCTATCTTCGCTCGCGAAATGCTTTGAAACTCATTCTCGACCTTGACGAGAACTTCGGCCGCGTCCGAATTCCCGATGGTGTTTCGCTTCCCAAAATTTTCGGTGGATCAAAGCAATGAGTGTGTTACACGAATCCACGCATTCAATTTCCCTCATAAAGAGGACGAACGCATGGTTCTTGACCTTGTCCTTCTATCCCTAGTACATTGAGTACAAATTTGCATGGACACATCCACAATGGACTTCACGAAAGACAACAGGCAACTACCCTGGGCTGTTAATATTGGTTCTCTAGTTTTTCTTTTGTGTGATGATCTTATTATTCCCCCTTGATATCTCCATCTACTACCTCTTTCATGTCAATGCATCTGTCAAGTCTCTCGTCCTCTGATCTAAGGATTGAATAGAATATGAATTAGAATTCTTTTGCGATATTACTTACACCGGTTTTGTTTTAGCACGTTTGTCATTATATTTATTCTTCGTCTCTCTCTCTCTCTCTTTTTGCCTCCTTCTCAGTGCTTTATGCCTCTTTCAGAAAAGACTTTCTTTCCTGTACTAAAGAACACTAACAATGAATGTAGTCTAGTTTCAAGGGGATGGATGATATTGATTGTTTGCTTCTCCCCTTATCGAAAGGCTGAGACGGTATTTCGTGTTTGGATAAGAATGACCTTTTGTACATGTTCACATATTAGATGCAACCGAGCAACTTTTCCATTCTTGCGTTTCATCAAAGCTGTCTGTTCAGGTCTTCTACATGAGCTAGAGAACATTTTCTAAATACCTAGGTAGACTCCAAAGCCCAGCCCATCGATTCCTCGATCAGACTTCGCGAAGCCCTATTTTCGTCCAACTCCCCAATAACCCGACACAACATCCTCGTCGCCATCCCCCTCAAAAACCAACAATCTCGCTCCGCTCGCGCAACCAACAACTGCCACTGCGCAAACACGATGAGCGTAGCCGGGTGTTTCTCGATGGTAAGCATCTGCGTAAATCGACCAGATACCCTCTTCAACCATTCCTGCATAGCCATCCAGAGAGTTTCTGGGTCGTTTGCTTCATAGAATTGGGGACAGCACTCGATCAATGCGCTAATGGCGGACATTATGGCCATGAAGTCGGTGGGTACGCTGGGTTTTCCTAATTTTTCGGCCATGCGATAGGGCAGGTTATAGAAGTGTTCTAGAAGTGCAGCCTTGGGGATATCGGTGCGTATTGAATTATTTGAACTTAGCAGTTGGTTTGTTGTGGGCGTATCGCTAGGGGTGTCATTGGATTTCATTGATATGGAGTTTGGGTCGGTATAGCCATTGATGGTCGTCACAAAGGACTGTAGTGGAATCGATGTAGACGTCCACATACAACATCGTTGAATAGATGTGACGCGAACACCCATTCCTAACACATCAGTATCGTCGCCCGCAGTTGACCCAGTCCATCCAGCTAAGAAGCCTTGACGATACTGTGCCGAACGCTCTCGATGGGTGCGTTTGACTGTCTCATCCCCCGAAAGCACAGCCAGATGACTCGCGGAGATGGAAAGCAAGCCAAACATCAACCAACGCAGATGTAGAGCTCGTGATATAACATCCGTCTGCCAGTAGTTCGTTAAATTTGAGATTCCAACAGGTAGCGTTAGACTCGTCGTGGACGTAAAATGGTGGAAATATCTCAGCTTCTCCAAGTCTATATCCAGTCCAGGATTTGAACTGAACATAGCGCAAGAAGGCATAGAGACCAAGCCTTTCTGCTGCTGCGGTTGATTCTCAACCAATGACGCCTCTCTCGTTACTTCAAAATACCGAAGCTTCGTGCCCCGAAAAAAAGTCTGCAAGTCAACAGCGCAGGCAAAGCCCTCCGGCAGATTATTGCCCAGCCCATGACTCTCAGTCCAATGACCCCTCATCCGCTTAAAACTCGCATACAGACTCCCACAGCCAATGGCTGTACATCTATAGCCCTTGATAACGGGCAACCCTTTCACCGGTTCGCGCCGCGTAGATGGGAATTGCACATCATCCGGCTCTGCAAGCTCTAACGTAGAGATTGCTGATAATAGCCGCTGTCGCTCTCCGCGGTAGATTTTGTGGCGTAGTAGATGGCTGCGCACGGCGTTTTTTTGAATGGCGTATTTGCATTCAAGGCATATTAGAAGTTTGTACTGTGCGTTGTAATGCAAGAAATCACCCGTGCCGAAGGTGGCGTTCATACTGGCGCGGATGCAGGGGACACATATGGGGCTGGAGGTTAGTTGGCAATCTGTTGTCTGTCGAAATATGGAATGTTATATGTGAATCCATCAAGAAAATGCTGCTGACTAATTTTGAAGTTGCCCGATCCGGAACGGCATATGCGGTTCCTGCATTGTATCTCTAACTTCAAAATGAAATAAGCCAATGCGTTAATAATGTTCTTGGTCTGTGTAAGAATGCGCTTACGAATTGATATCCATGGTTTTGTGATGGCTTTGAAATCTAAGTTATGGCGCTATGGATAGACAACTATAAATGCATAGGTGAACACCACGGTCTGTCGTGCGGTACCATTGCTTTATTCCAACAAGAGCATCTTCTTTCAGGTTTAGTTCTTTGAAACTCGAGAATGGCATTGAATAAGGCTGCATGGCTTCACAAAGCCGGCACTCCATTGGAAGTTGGTGACGCGCCCATGCCGATTCCTGGCCCCAACGAAATCATTGTTCAAAACTCCGCGATTGCCATCAATCCACTAGACACCCATATGCAGGATGTTGGAGTCTTCGTGCAGCAATGGCCCGCCATCTTTGGCTGCGATGTGGCTGGCACAGTGTACGAAGTGGGATCGGAAGTACAGCACTTCAAAAAGGGGGATCGCGTTATTGGGTATCTATCACTGTCTTTGTTCCAATCATCATTTGACCGGCGTACTAATCTTGAGTTACACAGGCATGCAGTCAACCTAGTCACTGGAAAGCCTCAGGACGGCGCATTTGCTCTTTACACAGCTGTACCGGCGGACAAAAGTGCTATTCTTCCTGACACCATCCCGTTCACTCAAGGAGTTGTAGTAGCTTTTGCTCTTGAAGCCGCCGTTTGTGCGCTCTCAGTCAGGCAGCCGGGCATCGCAATGCCTGGTGTATCCACCCCTGCTCTCGGCCTGCCGTATCCATCACTGGAAACCGCGTCTTCAAACAAAGTTCTCATTGTTTACGGTGGTTCTTCCTCTGCCGGTTCGATGACCACGCAGTTAGCAACAGCGGCCGGCATCACTGTTATTTCCATCGCCAGTGAGCAAAACTTTGGCCTCTGCAAGAGCTGTGGCGCGGCCGAGGTTTTCGATTACCACGAGCCATCTTTCGTTGAGAAAGTTATTGCGGCAGCTTCGAAATACAAGGGAGAATTCGTGGGCATCTTTGATGCTATTTCCACCCCGGAAACGTATGCAAACGACCTTGTCATTCTCAATGAACTGGGAGGAGTCCATTTGGCCTGTGTACACCCTCCACCCGAGAATGTCCCCGAAAATATTAAAGCGGGAATGATCTTTGCGGTCAACGATGTCGCTACCCCAGTTTGGAGAGACTATGTAACGCCAGCATTGCAGGCGGGCAAACTCAAATGCCTTCCTCCTCCGACCGTTGTCGGAAAGGGGTTGGAAAATGTCGATGAGGCGCTCAAGAAGTGTAAAGCGGGTGTCAGCGGAACGAAGTTGGTGGTGGAACTTTAGATTGTTCTTTATTATACACTCGGCCAGGCAGCCAGGGGCTGATTTCTCAACTGATTGTCTGTGGGACTACCAGGAATATATAGCAAAGCGTCTGCAGACATGCAAATGCAGTACCAATACATGACTATAATCAAGTTAGTCGAGCAGCCTCATATACTTCTATAGCTGAACATACGTTCTCTCAGTGTTGCTAAACCTGCCCATACTCCCCCAAAGTTAAATTTTCATATACCCCTGCTCATAAATATTCATCCAGAGAGCGGTGTTAGATAGTACTTCTTCCTCGCTAGAAAGATGAACTAACTCTCTGCACCGAACCCCCGACGTCGTTGGTATACATCACAGGCTAAACCGGAACAGGTAACCAGCTGGTTTCCCCGGCCATAACCGGACTTAACGAGTTACAAGACACGTAGGGATGAAACGACGATGCCTATGAGAATAGGTGAGTTTTACGTGGTTCAATTGTCGTCAGAAGGCTACAAATAGGCTGACGTTGGCAGCACAAAGCCATAAGATTTTCAATTCCTCTTCACAACGTTCCATAAGAGCTTCATTGCATATCGCATTGACTTCTTTGCTCACGATCTTTTCACGATGCAATATCTTACAGGAAAAGTGATCTCTCAGAATGGACTGGGTCTTGCGGGTATGCAACTGAAACATCGTATCTTCGTCTATGGAAAAAACAGCCCTTGTATCTGACCACGTCGCTTTCATATACAGGATTCACCAATCTGAGCCCTCAGATACCTGATGAGCAAGCATTTAAAGTCCTCAAAGCTGCTCTTACAGCCGGGGTCACTCTGTGGAACGCCGCCGACTTTTATGGGCCTCCAGAGGCTACCTCTCTCCATTTGATGAATCGCTACTTCACCGCATATCCGGAGGACGCAGACAAAGTCGTACTATGTGTCAAGAGCGGAGTAAGACAAATGAGCACATTTTTAATGGATTGTTCAGCTCCAGCGCTTCGAGACTTCGTTGACAATGCCCTCAAAATCCTAGACGGAAAGAAAAAGATAGATATCTTTGGATGTGCACGAGTCGACCCCGCCGTTCCAGTAGAAGAAAGCATCAGAGCATTGGCCAAGTTGAAAATGGAAGGCAAGATAGGAGGAATCCAATTGAGTGAAGTGAAAGCCGATACGATCCGGAGGGCTGCAGTAGTAGAAAAGATTGATATGGTCGAGGCCGAAATCAGTTTGTGGGCTACTGATGTCTTCAAGAATGGTGTGGCCGAAGTTTGTGCGGAACTGGGTATTGTTCTCGTCGCACATTCGCCTCTCGCAGGGGGGATGCTCACCGGAAAGATCAAGAGTCTAGATGATATGTCGCCAAATGACCATCATCGTCGCTTCCCACGGTGGCATCCCGAGAATTTTGCGAAGAACATGCTCCTTGTGGAAGCATTGGAAAGATTTGCAGAACAAAAGGGATGCACTATGCCTCAACTAGCTTTGACATGGATCAAGATTCAAAGCGGAAAACCGGCCATGCCGTATATCGTTCCTATCGCTGGTACCAAATCGGAAGCAAGGCTGCAGGATAATCTACATGGGGTAGACCTGACGGATGAGGATCTTGAAGAATTGGACGCCGTCTTGGAAAAGCATCCAGTTGTGGGCGCTAGATATCCTCCTGGTGGAGCAAAGCTGGCTGAGTACTAGGCAGCACTAACAGGCTTGTTGAGAGGAGTATTTTTTTTTGGCTTTAGATTATAATCAAATTGAGAAGCTTTCTTTCCCTAGTCGGAGCCACGCTTTCCAAATGTTTTGCTGTCCACCACCTGTCTCTTGCAATAAATGAGCCATAAGTCTCTGGATACCAGAGAATTGCCCTTTGCCAAGGGATTGTAGGCGTTTTTGTATCAATTGTCTTAGCTGGTCGGGAATCACTTTAGAAGCGTTTGCAGCGTAGAGATGGAAGAAGATCGTGCTTGTCTGCACGGCGGAGGTATTTTCAGAGGTAGATATTGCGACACTACTACCCAAGGTAGAGTAGTAGATATCCGAGCAAAGAGAGTTAATAGTACGCGTCGAATCATGGAGTTTCTCTATGATGTTCGTAGTTCTCGTTGTTTCGGACGTACCGAGTGATTTAGCGCACTGTTCGCGTATGATATCTGCTAAGAGTATGCGGACTATACGGAGGTTGTTCCAACTTCTTCTAGAGTTGTGGCCTGTATATCTGATTGATAATTCAACACCGGAAGTATGTAAGTGCTGCTCGGTCTGTCTCCTAGGAGTGACAGGGACTAGGTGCTGCGATAAGTTCTCCAACTTATACCCAAGATTTTCAGCCCAGGAAATCGCTACGTCAGAAGAAATCCCATGTCTCAGCATTTCTTTAAGCTGGGCGTATTCGAGCAATACTCTCAAAAACTGCCATTTGGGAATGGGCACCACCACATTATCAAATATCTTGCTGCTCAGCACCAACAGTTCATTTGGAATGTCTAATTCGTGTGCAAGACACTCGAGGATGACTAGTTCCAGAAGTCCTAGAAGAATATTCATCCTGAGCGGGTCGTTGAACTGACTGTCATCTCGATATAACACGAGACCTAATGCGCCTCGCAAATGAGCGTTTGAAGGGGGTATATTTCGTTCTCCGCAGTTGATGAGTCTCTCGTATATCGTCAGAAGTAACAATGACATCAAGGTCCTATTTTCGTTAACTTCCAGTGGTGATTGAATGGCACTGGTGGTGAGCATCAACGCTGAGCCATAACTGACACGTGCACTGTGGAGAGCCACAGGCGATTGGTGAGAAAATGAAAAGAACGCCAGCCATACGGCACGGATGACTGTCGTTAGAAGGGGGGATTCTCCTTTTCCTGGAGGATAAAAGACTCGCATATAGGAAAATAGGTTTTCTTTGTCCGAGTCCGCGACGTATTGCGAGATGAAGAAAGTCTTTGCCTGGACTTCCCATGACGGAAGAAGTACGGTTGTTAGAGGATCTGGCATGGGAGGTGGACTTCTCAGAGCAACCTCGCCCCGTCGCTTTTTGTTGATTGTTGCTTTTGTTTCATCGTAGATGATTAATTGTGTGGGATCAGGATATCCTGAGCATTTGATGTTCGCCCGCGCGCATTGTGAGCAACCATTCGCCTTCTTGTCGCACTGTTACGTCTGATGAGTATCGTGACAATGACATTAGGCCAGAAACACTTGCCTTAATATCTCGCCTACGACATTCTCGGCAAGACTTGGATGGCCTACCGCGGTAAACCATGCTGATGGAGGTTGTTGGAACTTGTGCCAGTCTGGAGGCTAATCAATAGGTCGACGACGTCTTCAAGAGAAGGCTGGATAAATCCGCTAACTCCGACAAATTCCTAGGGCCGCCATGTACTGTAAAATTATTTTCACATTCAGCGATTCACATAAACAGTGTCTTTTGATGGCGACTGTGTTTAGGTAATTTTTCTATTCGTCATAGCTTATTCGTGCTCGACGAACGACCTGTGGGTTGACTCGGTACAAATTCCCGACACGACACTGGGCCATTTGCATAGATGTCGTAAAATACTTTTAGCAGAAATATAGAAGGAGGAATATTTACAGATTTATTATACATAAATGCCCTTGTGAACAAACACTGGGGCCACCATTCAGTCGCCAAAATACATGCATGCATGGGGTATCACTTTTTATCCTAGTCGAAACGACAGGCTCGAAACCTAGTAGAACCTAGCATTCCTTGGACTTTCAACTGACGATGGTTCTGGGGCTTTCAGAGATTTCTCTGGATTCAAAAGGCGCTCCTTCTCAATTGCCACACTTTTTTGACGTTTGTCGTCTTCTGCGGATTCAGCAGAATTGCTGTCTCGTTTTCTCCCAGACTTCTGGCGCCAGAGGGAGTCTTCGTCTTCAATCTCTCGAAGAACTAGAAACAAACGACATCAAATGAATCAGTGTATGTCGTTCATGCTACCAATGCCCGAGCAGGCAAAACTGACCTTCTTCCCATTCTCGTTCCTTCGTCTCATCATCCGTGCCTAATAGCCTTTCAACATCGACGTTCTCTCCGTTTTTCACCTTCTGAATGACCTCTGCCAATAACCTTAATTTTGCGTCGGATCTTCGGGTGTAATTTTCGAGTTCTTTTCGTAGGACTAGCATTTGAATGGCCTGCGACCCTATAAGCGTGAAAATCACGATGTAGAAGGTTGCAGGATTCCATTCTTTCGATTTTGCTTGCGCTGATGTGGCTGTTCGTAGACTGCGATCTCGAAGAAACTTAGGAATGATCGACGTCCATGTCGATGCCTGAGCAATCTTTGGCATTGTCTCTGTGGTTGAGCGTAACCGCACCTGGAGCGAATTGCTCTTCGGCAGACCGTGCTTGGAGTCCCGTAAGGCTCGCCATAGCGACCTATAAGAGTTATGGGCGGCGACACGCTTGCTTGTTATCGCGAGGGCATTCATGTTGAGGAAAAGGCTGAGTTCTTTGATGTAATCTATAATGTGCAATAGTTAGACTTAGCCGCAATAAAATACTGCCGGCGGCGCCAAGCCATGGGCCTGATATGGTTTAGTGTCACCGCTTCCTTCCTGGTTGTCCCGGTAACCGCCCGTTTTGGCAAGGTCGGCCTTCCCTCGCGAGTTTCAATGAGCGCATCTGCAAATCCGTCGTTATCCAACGCTGCCATTGAAGCTTCTCACGCAGCCTCGTACCGGCCGTCAAATTACGAGGATGGTGGTGCACCAAGAATTGTCTGACTCGCGACTGGAGTCAGTCAAAGAAGCCGTCAAATCTACCACAACTTGTACAGCGTCAACACTTTCGTCTTTGCAATTGTTGCTGCAAGCTACGACGTTGACTGCCGATAACGCAGGTCCGAATAGCAGGCCAGCCAAAAAGATACAGTCGACTACTACTGCGATGTCCGTTGCACGCACAAAATCGACCCGATCAGCAAAGTATCAAAGTGAAGCCAAGGTGGAATCGTTACAAACGGCGGCCAACAGTCAAGATACAGCGGGATTAACTGCGCAGCAAAGACTTGTACTGGCAACCGAGATTTTTAATACAGCATCCAAGGCTCTAGTGGACGCTCTACAACGAAACAATTCACAAAAATCCCCTTTGCAGCCAACTTCTCCCAATCGAGTCGTGTCCTCGACCAAGCAACAGTCAACTAAGCCGCTCAAGACGGCTTCCACTGGAAAAGGGTCTTCTGCGGACGGAATAAAGTCAACGGCAGAATGCGCAATTTTCGCCCTTGCAACTCTGCGAAATGCGAAGTCTGAAAATGCTCCAAATACCGGTCACCAAAATCTGCAGCTGGAACAAGGTGTTTGTATTCTTGCAGGAAGGCTTACAGCACTGGGACTCAGTGACCTTGCCTACAAAGAACTAAAAGCTTTGAAAAAGAGGTTGCAAGAATATATGCTACCTGTATCCGCGAAAAACTCAAAGAAGTCCACAGCTCGCTCGGCTCAAGACGCGAAAACGGAACCTGAAAAAGAAATAGCCGCAGAATTGCTAACATTTTCAGATATGGCAAGTGCGGCGCCCATCCTTTCCGTACTTCTGCAATTTCAGATAAATGTTTTGAAACTGGCTATGTCAGACAAGCGAATCCTGATCACACATAAGACATGCAAGGCTCTAGCTACTTGTAACCCAAGCAGCCCTGCTAACCTCGTCTTACAATCTCTTGATTCTGGAGGCCTCGGAAAGGACAAGGCTGCACTGCAACTGCTATCTATCTCCAACACCATTTTGTCTTTATCAAATACGCTACACAAGACGCTCACTGCGGTATCTGAAACCACAACGAACCGAGGCGAACGAGCTTTTTCTACCCTCACCTTGCAACTGTTGTCAATGGAATATCGTGTTATGTCATGGGAATTATCCGGCCACCAGGGTGACTCGAAACGAGAGTATTGGGACCCTTTATCGCGCTTTCTGGACCTTTTTTCTAATTACGGCTCAAAGATGAAGTCATCTGACTTTGCAGAATTAAGCACGACTTTACAGCGGTTACACTCTAGGATGGCCAAAAGCCAAATGAGAGGGGCTGGGAACTCGTGGAAAATTTCGTATAGTCTTGGAAAGATTGCTCAAGACGCGTCATGCTTGCAAGAAGCCTTGAAACACTTTCTCACTGCGACAGAAATAGTTACGGCAGAGTATCCCATGGCGTCCAGTTTAATCAAATGCAGAATTGCTTTTACTCATCTATGTCTTCTCAAGGGCAACAAAGCCTATGGTTATGATTTGGTGGTCGAATCACTTGCTACTGCGGCACTAGGAATCAAGTCGGCCAACAAGGGTAACGCCAATGACCTGGAAGCATTGCTAGTTGAATCAGCTAAATTGAAAAAGCTAGCAATGGCGAGCCTTGGAGAGTCAGTTTCTTCAGAAAAAGCTCTCCCCGACAAGATGGTAATGGCTATTGTCGAATTTTTGCATGCGTTTATCCGCTTTTTGAGACGATACATTAGTCGTCTGCCACAAAGCCAAGCCGAAAGCGAAGCAAATGAACAGTTGCAAAGCCTAACCGGCGTTAAAAACATCATAATGACAGCAGCGGAGTCAGCAGTGGCATTAGGAAAAATGTCTCTTCTAAACCAAGTGCCAGCGTGGGAGCTACTACAGCCGGTTTTCTCAGACTGTGCACGGCTATTAAACAGTTTCGAGGACTTTGACGCTGATGCCTTTAACGAGGGATTTAATTGGCGTGCATCCATTGTCAAGCTATCCAATTTGTTTTGGTCTCGTTATCTTAAGAGGCGGGAAGCAGGTCAAGGATATGAAGAGCTAATTCCACTACTCGACCAGTCTGTTGGTCTGTTGAAAGGCTGTCCTGCTGCTGAAAGAATAGCGGGGTTTGCCGCCCTTAAATTGGAGAGACTCGCTCACCTATACCTAGATGCGAGAATGGGAGCAAAGTCCATTGTATGTTTTGAAAGATCTATCCAAGAACATATCGATGCGGGAGTACTTCAGGAACATATTGCGTTCCTTTCAGGCAGGCCGCCTCACACTTGCCTCCATGATCTCAATAGCCCTGGTTATAATCTTACACGGCTTCTTTCTTCATACCTCAAAATGCAATTGCGCAGACCATCGAATGACGACCACAGTGTATTCGATAACAAAACATTAGACATCCTTGCGCGAGGAACACTTCTTGAATGGCAACTAGGGTTACTAACGGAATTTTACAGTCACGATGCGGACACTGAGAAGTTCAAAGAACTTCTCCAGAAACTGCTCTCTGAAGTGTTATCTCTTTACACTGGAAACCAATATCCATCCCGGCGATTACGTGTCATCCGATTGGCACTCCGCTTTGTCCTTGATCATCCAAACTCGTTGGACAATGCAATCACGGAGTCTCTGACTGAAGATGCCGCCTCGCACCTATCAAACCAACAAACGACCTTAGACGACGTGGAGCTCGAGAATTATGCACCAAACATCCGGACTTCGCTCAGTCTAATCATATCATTACGAGATGGTAATGTGAAAATTGACAGCTTTCGCGAGATTATTACATTTTGGGCTTCGACAATACGGACTTGTACGAGTTGGGATTATCTACAATCCGTGATTGACGACTGTGATCTTTTGGTTGCCCAGCTTAACGCAGTCTGGGATTATCTAGAAGCGCGTGGATATTGGAAGCTGCATTTAGCAGTGGGCGAAGTCCTCCTTCGCATTTTTGAACTGCAAAGGGATCAAAGCAACTCGTCCCTGCTCCTGGTTCTATCACGATGCGCCTTGCAGTATTGCCGCCTTGGAGACCAGAAGGCAGCATCGAGTCTTCTTGAACGCGCCAAACAGTACCTCAATAGCGGAAATATGTCGTGTTATGCATTAATGACTTATCAGCTAGCAGTGACGGAATATAACTTGGAGATTGGCAACATAGACCATGCGGAAAACGCCATGCTGTTCGCTCAGAAGCTCTACCAGAGCAAAGAGGCTAGAAAAGAAATGTCTGAAACCCGCAGCCAATCAAAGATTGCATGGGAACGTTTGATCGTCGACGGGGCTTTACTATACTCTCGCATCGCTGATCAAAGGGGTTGTCTGAAGAAAGCATTGTACTATGGCAAATTGTCCGTGCGACTGACGACACGACTATGGGCCAAGTTGGAACGCTCAGCTGGGAAGAAAAGAGAATCCGAGCAGTTGACAGAAAAGTTATCTGATGTGGATCTTGTTATTGATGGCGTTGCAAACATTAACCTCTCTGAAGCTACTGCACCCTCGGCATGGAGCTATGCAGAGGGCGCAGTCTTTTGGAGGCATATAGCCTCTCATAACGCATGTTTCCTAAATCTTATGCGTCTCTCTGCTCATAACGGTTTATTTCAGGATGCAATATACTATGGTGAACAAGCCTTGAAGGTCAACAAAACGCTAGGTGCTTCATTCCGCCTGCTTGCCTGTCAAGCTGAACTCGGCCTTGAGTGGATTAGGGGCAACCACATTTCGGAAGCCAAGCATGTTCTCGACGCCGCAACGAAGCTATCAGAGGAACTCATCAACAGTGTGGAAATGGTCAAGTTGAAAATTAGTTTGGCGGCTCTGAGTAGGACTCGAGAGGACTATGAAGGGGTCCTGCGTCTCTTACGAGAGGCTGAGACCATGCTCGGTCGCATCACTGAGGTCAGGCTTGATCCTTCACTTGGGGTCAAATCATCCGATACTGGCATTGAAGGAAAGCTAGCGGATATGAGAATACGCCAGGCTTCCATTCAGAAGGAAAGCCAATTAGTCACCTCTCGTCAGACCCGAAGAACCAAGGCGACTTCCAAAATCACATCCAAGGAGGAGGAAGATGAGTCGATATCATCGAACGTTCAGATGCCATCGCAGTCTCTTATCATGCTAAGGAACGAAATTTTTCGACAACAAATTCATACCTTGTTGGCAATCGAAGACCTCGATGGGGCATCACGTGTATTGGATGTTGTTAGGGAATGCTCCCCTTCAGCGGCATCGCAGATCTCTTTACAGATCGAGGAAACAGAGCATTTGCTCGCAGATGCCATGAAGAGTATTACCACACATGCCATATATTGTGTCTTGCCCGAATCCACTCTGTCAATGCCTTCCATAGAGGGTGCCGTCTCAATTGCCAACCCGCCGGTTTTAAAGAGTAAGACACCGGCTACGAGAAAAGGAAAGTCAACTTTCAAAGAACCACGCAGTCGTACAACGAAGGTTGCGAAGAAGGAAGTTGATATTACAAACATCATGTCTCATGCAAGGAATGCCATTAGCAAGACGGTCAGAGACGCGGTTTCTATCGGATCGACTATGGAGGGTCATACCGCGTCGGGTCTCATGGGACGTATCTCCATGCTTTTACATGCAACGAAGCCAGGTCTCGTGGACGAAGATATATTGGCTCCGGTAAATGCGAATGGTATGTCATTCCTTACAAGAGAGTCTAAAAGGGGTTGTTTTACTAATAGATCCTAGAACTTGGGCGCATTACTGCTTTTGATCGTGAGCGTCTTGCAATCTGCATCGATAAGAGCCTTTCTGGATATTCCGATCCGATGAGCTGGCCTTCAAGCATGAACTGCAATCTCGACGACAAGCCAGATATCATTACGAATTTTGCGCAAAACTATGTAGACATTCTACCCAGCAGTTGGAATGTATTGTCTATTTCGATGAACTCTGACCGTACGGAGTTTATTATCTCAAAAATATGTCGAGGTAGCCCTCCATTCCTTCTGCGCCTTCCAGTTAGGCGAGGCGAAGAAGAAAACGAAGATGAGGATGATTTCACCTTTGACTTGGGCAAAAACGAGATGAAGGAAATTATCAGACTCGCAAATGCCAGTGCTCATGATGCCAAAAGTCGTACAGATAAAAAGTCGAAGAAGCAATGGTGGACTACACGTGAGTCACTCGACCGTCGTCTCGAGACTCTACTGGACAACATGGAGAACATATGGCTTGGAGGCTTTCGCGGAATATTTGATGCTATTCCTCGAAATTCTCTGCAGTTGGCTCAATTTGCAAGATCGTTCGAGACGATTTTGGACAAACACCTTCCGTCAAGACGGAAATCCAAAGCTGTAAAGGAAAAGATCAAAGTCCATGAAAATGTACTAAGTCTCTTCATTGGTCTTCGGGGACTCGAAAAACAAGAGAACCCCGAAGATTCGGTCTTAGACCTGCTCTATTTTGTTGTCGATATCCTTCAATTTCAAGGCGAGCGTAATGCGTACGACGAAATCGATTTTGATATGATGGTTATTGACACGCTTGACATTCTAAATGGCTTCCATTGCAGTGATGAAGCCGACATTGAACCGCCTAATCACACCATACTGATCCTGGATAAGTCTCTACACGCCTTCCCTTGGGAGTCTTTGCCGTGCCTGCACGGACTACCTGTATCCCGTATGCCTTCCTTGGAATGTTTGCGAGAAAGGATTATCCGTTTCAGATCCTCAGAAGAGCTGCCACAAGAATCGTTCGAGATTGACAGCCACAATGGCCACTTCATATTGAATCCAAGCGGTGACTTAAAAACCACGCAAACCACATTTGAAGAAGACTTCTCCCATATGAAAGGTTGGTCAGCTGTCATTGGACGCGCTCCCTCTGAAGAAGAATTCAAGTCTGGCTTAGAAGACAAAGATATTTTCCTTTACTTTGGTCACGGTAGTGGCGCTCAATACATTCGAGGACGTACTATCAAACGTCTCGACAAGTGTGCAGTGGCATTTCTCATGGGCTGCAGCAGCGGGTGTCTGACCGAAGCTGGAGAACTGGAGCCTTATGGCACGCCAATGAATTATATGCAGGCCGGATCACCTGCTCTTGTTGCTACGCTATGGGATGTGACAGACAAAGATATTGATCGATTCGCAAAGAGCACTTTTCAGCAATGGGGGTTGTTAAAGGGAGTTGGGTGTCAAGATACTGGGACAGTGGAACAGAAAGGTGTCTGTTCGAAGAATCCATCCAAGGCATCGAAGGGCAAGGAAGTGGTACGGGCTGAGTGCGAGCGGAGAAGCAACTCTCTTGACGAGGCAGTTGCACAGTCACGTAATTCATGTTTATTGAAGTACTTGAATGGAGCAGCGCCGGTAATTTACGGCATTCCTGTATATTTGAGCAAGTGAAGCATTTTTATGGCGTTTTGGAAGCATTTTTGGGGGTTTTGTATATTACTTATTCAATTGTCACACTAAATACGGCTGTTATCTTTTACTCATCGGCTAGTTAGGAGCTCTGCTGTTGGTCTGCCATTCAACAACTTCTTAACCTTGTTGGCCTGGCCGATTTCAAATGTCTGCCTCATATCATGTTGAGGGCTCCCTGGAACAGATTTCGAGGGAGCCCCAGCTGTATTTTGATCTGTAAAGTCTCTGACTAGTGACTAGCCAACTTCACTGGGAACGCCGTCCATTAGATACTATGGCATATTTGAAGAATCATCAACAAGATAAATGACCCAACATATAGCAAATGCAACTGACCGGAAGAGAAAGGGAGAAGTTTGCCTATTCGGGGAATTTGGCTGCTGCCCCTCACCCCACCGACAAACGGAGAGAAGTTCCCCTCACAAATTTGCCCCCTCACGAAATGAGTTTCACTATTTAATAGATTATCAACCCCTGGAGTCACCACCCTCCGTATCTCATCAAATTTATAAGCCAAGAAAGGAAAAACAAAAAAGAGAGACACACACCATGTCCGTCACAACCAAAGCCTCCATCGCATCCTTCGGTGGCAAGCTATTGAAGCTGAGCCATAATGCGAAAACCACCAATTGCGAGATGAATTTCAATTTATATCTCCCACCACAAGCCATTGTGGAGAGGAAAAAAGTCCCCTTACTCATCTATCTGTCCGGATTGACCTGCACAGCGGAAAATTGCTCGGAGAAGGGATTCTTCCAGCATGGCGCGAGCAAGAAGGGGATTGCAGTTTTGTATCCCGATACGAGTCCTCGTAAGCACTGCTCCTTTTTTTTTTGTTCGTGTTAATGATATGAAGTGTTTTTTCTGCTAGTTACTCATAATCACACTAATACTGACTACGCGAACTACAGGAGGATTGAATATCGAAGGTGAAAACGATGCGTACGACTTTGGCTCTGGCGCGGGCTTCTACGTCGATGCGACCAAAGCACCCTACGACAAAGGTTACAATATGTACAGCTACATCACCGTAGAACTACCACAAACTGTCTTCGAGGCATTTGGAGAAATCGATTCAGCTCGTGTCAGTATCACGGGTCATAGCATGGGTGGCCATGGTGCTCTTACTCTTGTACGCTTTGTTCCGTTCCCCTGGAAGGCTTTCGAAAACTCACCGAATATGAAAATTGTAGTTCCTTCGAAACCCTGGCAAATACAAATCCGTCAGTGCCTTTGCACCCATAACAAACCCCATCAACTGTCCCTGGGGTCAAAAGGCGTTTAAGGGATACTTTGGAGAAGACAACCAAGAGAAATGGAAAGAGCATGATGCAACAGAGCTAGTCAAGAAGTGGACTGGACCGCTCAATGTGCTCATTGATGTGGTACGTTTTCTGCCCCCTTTTAACTGCGCAAAGGTTGTTAGACTAGCGTATTAACATTACTTAGGGCACCGGAGACAACTTTTACAAACAAGGCCAACTCCTCCCTGAGAACTTCGAAAAGGCTGCCAAAGAAGCTGGAGTCACCGGTGTGAACATACGGTATCAGCCGGATTATGATCATAGTTATTATACTATGGCCACTTTTTCGGACGATCACGTTGAGCATGCTGCTAAATATCTGTTTGAGTAGTGCGTTTTCTTCTTCTTTCTTTCTTCATTTCTTGTTTCTAAGCCAAAAAAAAAAGGCGGTGGCTATAATTGTATGATTGTTGAAAGCTCATAAGAAGAAATAATGTATAGACCTTTTCTTCGTGAAATGTTTGACCATTCAAGTCATAGCTGGGATCAGACGTTAGAGAAAGCGCACAAAAAAGAGTCTCATATCTGATTCGATGTTATTATATTCAAGCCCAGGATATGCGTCAAGTTCCCTAGCCTAGCTACTTCCAACATTCATCGATGCCTATCAGGCTTAATCGGGGTAATTATATTGAATAACCTATATAATCGAATGAACATCGCTAGCCCCTCCCTACTACATTGGCAGCCAACCCGAAATTCACAAGCCATTTCTCCGCTTGGCGATCAAGGTATAATAAAGTCCAATCAACATCATATCCTTCCTTAGCCATATCGGAGCACAGCCCGAAAGTCATACCCCGTGGCTTTAAAGTTCATTTTCATGTTTCCTTTTGACCTCTCCTTGCATCGTAACATTCATCAACATTGAAGATTTTTTTTTTCTCATGCTGGCCCCTTATTTATAATAGGAAAATGAAAATCGCCTGGTAAGGCAAATAAGTAGAGAAAACGCCATGCAATTAATGCACATGACAGAATATGTACCAATGAAGAGAAAAATAAAAGGAAAAAAGAAAGATGTGACAGGGGAATCTAGATGGTCGTAAGTCTTTTTTAAAATGTTCGCAATAGTATTAGCAAAACCAGTCATGGCATTGTGAAGATTTGAAATCAAGAGCTGAGGCGTTGGATAAAAGACTGTGTATGTATATGTCAGTAACGTCCTTACATTTTGGAAAGAGTCCGACTAACCAGGAAAAAGGAACGGAACCCTTTGTTGTCTAATTGAGTCAGAGCATTCAAGTATTCTCCGACTAGGTCCGGTCCCATGCCCATTCCAGGAAGCTCTTGACCGCGAAGATAATCAATATACTCCGAGCCAGCCTTAGCATAGATCGTTTGCTGTAGCCCTCCAGCTTCTTGCAAAACCTGTCTGGCTTGACCATCCTTGGAGTTAAATCCAGCAGAGCTTGGTAGCGCCCAGGACAACGGAGAGAACCGCGTGAACATAAACTGATTGAACCCTGGTATAGCACTCTGTGTAGCACCGTCCTTGGCTGTTTCCGAACCGCCCCAAGCATTAGCCATCTTTGAAAGGACAGAGAACGCCATCTTGGCTGTCGTGGGGTCGTCGATATCTTTAATGAAATGTTCAATGGTGGTGATGACGGAATCAAATATCGATTGATTTGCTGTTTCACATTAGCAGCTATTGCTAGTGCGTTGGGAACACAAATCAGTAAAACTCACCTTGGCTGACAAGAACAGAACCGAGGTCGTTCTGTAACAATGCCAACAGGAAACTTAGATATTCCCGCTTCAGCTCTGCCAATTGTATTTCATCGTCTGTTCCTGCCGTAGATTGCGAAATTCCAGCAAAGACCCGCTGTAAGAAAGGCGTAAGGAGAGTATCAAGTATCCCATATATTTCTGTTTTGAAACCATATATAATCTGATCTAGCAACCGTAGGAAGAGTGCCATCTCATCTTTGGAAGATGTCTCCGTCAAGAGTCCATCAATCCACCTTGGCAACTGGGGGAGCAATCTCAGTCCAACAATGCCAACCAGGCGAGAAAATGCGAATCTTCCTGCGGTCCTGACATTGAAAGACCCCTTGAGCGATTCAAGAGCAATCAGTGTAGCCTCGGCAACCTGTCCAAATGCTTCAGAGATTCCAGGGGAAGTCGGTGCGGCGCTGATTGATGTCTGTGAGCCCGGTGTCGAGTCGGAGAATCCCTTGGCAAGGGTTCCGAGAGCCATGATATCGTGGTGTATTTGCAACAGTGCACGTTCATCATTAGACTTTGCTAATGCCAGATTGTTCTCCATGTCGACGAAGATAGGGTTCATTACAGACTGAGCGTACACAACTTGTTTGTCGCCTGGAACAGGAGGGGCCGAACACAACGCCCCGACGGCTTCAAAAAGATAAAGCTGGCTAGTGAACCTAGCATCCGCAGAGCTTTCATGATCCGCTGAAGACATATCATCACCATCGTCGCCCTCGGCAGGGAGCTCCGCTCGAATGACCAGCAGATCACCCAACGCTTCAATAACCGTCTCGGCAACATTACCAATCTTCGTTTTAAGGGGTTTGACTAAGCGGTAAAATAAATACCAGGAACGTGTCTTCACCCGCTCCATCGGATGGTGAGCGAACTGGAGGAAACTCTCTAGCACGCCGGGCATGAGGTGAGTGTGGTGTTCGAAAAAGGTGCTGTAGCGCACACAGATTTCCATAAACTGCAGCTGGGTTGCAGGATGATTGAAAGATCTGATATCTATATGGCCGTACTCAGTACGCAGAATAGAATATTATGACCGTAAGAGGCGGGGAGGCGAGGCTTACCAGATTCCACCATCCTGGCCATCATCGCAATGAGTCTCTCAGCAGCGATGCTGTTCGGCTTATTCTTGGAGTAAAGACCCCCAGCCTTAACGGCAAGTTCACCGAAAAGGAACATCTCATGTAAGGCTAAATCAAGGTCACGCCAATCAAGCTGACCCCCTGATTGGCGAAGGTTTTCAAAAGTCGTTCCCACCACCTCGGATACAACATCTATATAAAGAGGCTCATTTGCTGTGGCAATAATCTGCTGAAGACTATTTAATCGCTTGCGAAGGTCTTGGAATTCAGCTTCTTCAGTCTGCTCGTCCTCCTCCCCCCATGATGATGTTTCATCGTATCGCATTTTAGCAATTATAGCTTTTAAAATAGGCAATAACATTGGAGCATGTTGGTTTTGAATCTCGGTGTTCGACTTGGAGACTTTCCTCGAGTAAGACAGCAAATCCAACACACAAACGATGAGTGTAGAGCAAATTTCATCGTAATCGTCAGAGAAGAACCGTAAAACATGGACCAAGAAAGTCTGCAGCAAGTTATTTGCTTTTTCCTTGGTTTCAACTTGTACTGCATCATTATCCAAAGCACGGACAATATCAATGACGGTTATGTTAACAAGTTTCGCGACGGTTTCGGCAAGGTCGGTATCGTACTTGGAGGTGAAGCGGTTTTCATTCAAGGGAGGGCTGTTCGAGAGTTGGGTAATGATACTGTCAAGATTCAAAAAGATGATCATGTCAATTTTGTCCTCTGCTTTCATTTTCTTGCCCACAATTTCGGTGAAAACGTCAATAGCCGCATCTCGTACTTTCTCCTCTCCGTTCCGGAGATCGGATTTCTGCGCACGAGAAAGCTGCTGGAACAAAAGATCGAGCATGGTCTGATTGACCACCAAGCTAATATCAATCCAGCTGACCCAGCCTCCAATGGCTTTGAGGGACATTTCCACAATTTGATCGTTGCCTTCTTGCCATTGGGATAGGATGTCCTTCCAAGAGCCGGCAATTTTATGGATGTCTCGTTGCCGAATCAGATCCTTCAAAGTGTTTGCCTTGTCCTGTTCTTCGCGGGACCGAGGAAGTAGAACATCGCCGATCTCGTCGTGGATTGAGTAGACGACACGAAGGTAGAAAACAACACCGAGGGGATTGTTGCGAATGTTTGTGGACGGATCGCTGGTGGTTAAGGCCAGAAGATCATCGAAAAAGCTTTCCCATCCATTAGCGTATAGGGCAGAGAATAGATATGTTATAGTTTGAGCGATCTTGTTCTGGATTGCGGCGCCATCAGGGGTTGCCCCTTCTCCTGCATAGATCTGCCGCAGGTACCCCATTAACCCATCTTTGATATATTGCAAGCCTTGCAAGTCAATCAGACCCGACTGAGTGGCGCTATTGACGACTTCAAGTGCGACATGGCGAGTAACCTCCGAATGACGCGGCGTCCTGGTAAAAATGGCCAGGCAAACCTGCCATCCCGTGGGGTCGGCACGGAGCTGATTCAGGAATTCGAAGGCTTGTGATTTGAGAGTCTGGTCTGCAGATGGGTTCGAGGCGATCTCGATGGCACTTACTACCTATCACGGGGAGAGATCGGTCAGTACTAGCGCTAGTATGTAAAGAGCCTCAATAAGTTGATGTGATTATCCATGGAGGGGGCGGGGCAGGATAAAATGTCGTCACTAGATGGATAGAGTGATTACCTGATCCTCCATTGTAGAGCTGCCAAGCTGCCTCGGCGAGTCAAGGAGACTCTCGAGGAACGAATGTCTGGGGGTGCTCGCTTTAACGGGTGCGATGAGTTGTTGTGTGCGAAGGAGCGAGGTATCGAACACATCGATGTAAGGAAATCATGTCAAGCCGGCCGAGGTGAAGTTTACAGAGCCATTTTGCAGGCGGGACGGGACAACAGAGGTGGGGATAGAATAAAGTGTACGACTACCGAGATTGGCAGAAGCGATGGTTTGGCACTGGCGTGGCTGCGGAGGGTCTGTTGGAGAGTTGGAGTTGAAGGAAGAATTATATCGAGCTCCGTCGGTTGTTTTGTGCAAAAAAGAACCAAAAGTGGAAACACCGCCCGCCTGCGCCTGCCGCCTTAGGCCCCCCTTGCCCTCCAGGCAGGCACGTCCCCCGTTGCCTGATCGGGACTGGGGGCTGCCCACGTCATCGCTGGATTATCTTTGTCTTTTGTTCTGGATTCTTTTTCTTCTCTTGTGGAATTCAAAGGCAACACGAATAGATTAAATAAAAAGAAAATGGCTCTTCTATCTACACGTTGCTTCTACTTACGCCCCTCTTGCTGCAATACCTGCTGCTCCATGCGATCGAACCCTTCTACTGCAACGCCATATTTGTTAAAAACCTCGGGCTGATAGCCATCGGCTATCTTCTCGACGAATTCCTCTTCATGCCATCGCTTGCCGATCAAATCCTCAAACGTCTGCTCTGGCTGTCTTTCGATTCCCCAAACAGCCTTGTACGCTGCACCGAGCGCACATGCGTTTTCGCCGACGTCGAGCTTGTATACCCCGTCGTGACCGCCCAAGATCTCCCCAGCAAGTTTAGCGATAGCTTTGTTGCGCGATCCCCCACCGACAAGATAGACGCGTTTGGGTTGCGGTGGAAGCCCTTCGGCGGGAACAGTGGTGAGTCCTCGCGAGCGCAGTCGCAGCGATAGGAACTGGCTTTCGACAATGGCGCGCGCCTCATCTGTTGGTATATCCCAGCCGGATGTTGTCTCTTCAAGGCTCTGCTCTTGAGGATTATAGTTGAACCTCCATTGGCCAGCGCGCAAGTTCGGCACGATTTCTGGGCGCGGGAAGAAAAGGCCCATCTTCATGGAATCGGACTTGGTCCTCTGGCCTAGAGCGGGGACTTCCAGTAAGGCTTTATCGAAATTTGCCCATGGACCGTCCGCAGCGCTTCCTCCAGCTTGCTTTTTATCGATCGCATCGCGGACATGCTCTCGCGCAAGGCCACCGTTCTTATAACATAGCATAAACATATGTAAACCAGGCGTTGTGGGGTGGTTGAAAAAGTGCGTGGCAGGATCTGGTTTGTATACCGGTGTAGACATCAAAAATGTAGTCGATGTTCCCAAAGATACCATTGCATCAGAAGGCTTCAAGGGCAATGCAAGGATCGTAGACGGGTTATCTCCGGTTGATGGGATGATCGTACAGTCTGAGCTGAACGAATAGCGCTCAACAAAGTACTTGTGTATCTTCCCCAGATGAAGCCCGCCGTCATCCGGTACATCTCCAAGCTTCTGTTTTAAGTCATCAATTCCGAATTTCCCTGCACAAAGCTTGAGTAGGCGATCATCCCACGAGCCTGCTTTGATATTCCACAGGTTCATTCCACAGACATCCGAGATGTCAAAGGGTGCAATGTCACCCAGGAAAAGTGACGCTATGAAGGAAGAGACAAGCGAGATTCTCCAAGTCTTCTTGTACTGCTCAGAGTATTTGCGCTGGAAGCGAAGGATTTGGGGGCCAGTAAATCGCTATAATATGACAAATAGATCAGCTCATGATGCCTTTCTCTTGGAAGGGGGAGACAGAGAGAGGGGAGGCACCTACATGATGCGCCTTGCTACCAGTCACTTGAGCAAGAACCTCAGGACCACCCAAGTAAGCATCAAACTCGTCACACTCCTTCTGGGTACTCGCATCCTGCCAATTGGGACTAAACGGATGCGAGAAAGCACCGGCAAGTTGATCTTGCAGGGACTTGTTACTATCCAGATCGCGCAATAAGCGTCCTGCATCCCTGCTCCAGTAGACACTGCCATGCTGCTGACCCGCAGCACTAATTCCCTTGACACGCGTAAAGTCCAATCCTTGCTCTTTCAAATTGGTCAGAACCCAATCCAGCGCTTGCAGCCACAAGGCCACGGGCGCAAAGACCTCGTGCTCGGCTTCGTTGGTCATGACGCCCTTCTTGATATCGAATCCGCGCGAGTGCGCGTCAAAGTCGAATTTGGCTTCATACTCGACTTTGAGTTCGGACGAGACCACGAGGCCCTTGAGTTGCTGTGTTGAGAGATCGAAGCCGAGGTATAAGGGGCTCTTGGTGGCCATTGTTGCTGGAATTCAGATTTACCTCGTCCAGGGTTCGCTAAACATGGGGAAATAAGGGCTGCAAAGCCAGTTCAACCTGCAGTCAATTGCGGGGCGAAGGAACAAAATTCTTGGTTCTTCAATACACGCAAGACTTGGATATGCAGAATATATGGCTTGGGTCAATATGTTGGACAAGTGGGTGGAATCAAAGAGAACTTGAAGTGATGTCAGTCACCCCCACGCATGTAGTTGACCGGCTAAATGCGGCCTTGCTGAATTTAACCGGTCCTTCCATTACGAGTAAACATGGTGATTAAGTCCCTGGCATTCCACTACTATTAGAAGCAATCGCATTTCAAATGCCATTTGGCAACCATGTAGTTCTGAGGTCAGAATAAGATGGGCCAAGTTATATACTATTCTAGAACTTCTTATATACATGCACCATGTTGCATCTCAATAACCACGGTGTTCCTTTGATTGAACTGCTCTGTTCTGTTTTATTAGTAAATTGGACTGAGACGGAAAACCCTGAATAAACTTTGTGGTTTTATTTTTTTTATCATCTTCATAGAGGCTCATGTTATATAATCAACGTCGCTTATGCAATTCGGATTGGCCGTTGGCATCGTGCTGGTGACCCGACTCATGTTCGTGCTCTTCAGGTTCGGGGCTTCCTCGAGAGCTCACATCACCAGGAATGAATTCCTCGGCGAAATCAATATGCTCCACCTCTTGAGGTACGATGCGAACCTTGACTCGTCGTACTCCGCGAACCTTCACGCCAACGCCAGTGCGCAACAGCTCCTCAATCTGTCGAGACTGTTGCACAGTCGTAGAGCCTGCGACCGCTACTTCGATATCCACGAGGTAGTTCTGTCCGGATTTGAGCCCTTGAATATCCCGAATCTGTATATCCTGCACACCGGATGCCTGCGTGATTGTTTTCAAAGCAGCCTTTCGAACCGAGTCTTTGATCTCCTCATCCACTGTAGTATCAGCGAGCTCTAAAAGGGCCGATTTCGTGTTCGTCCACCCTGCGTTGATAACCATCAAGGAGATGATGAGACCCCCGACGGGATCAAGCCAAGCCGCATTGGAGAATATGTGTGCGCCACCGATCGTAGCTAGGGCGACGATGCTCGTGAGGGAATCAATTCGATGGTGGACCGCGTTCGAGGCCAGTACGGAAGATTTCCGCTCTATTGCGATTTTCATGGCTAGTGAATTCTATTGTTAGTAAAGACATATCCGGAACAAAAGAGAAAGAAAGAAAAAATCTTACTAGCTCTATACAGCCACTCCTTGACCACAATAGATCCTGCAGCTAGCCAGGCAGCATTAATGTTCGGCCCGAGCACTTCTGCTCCGTGGTCATGACTATGCGAATGACCATGAACAAGAAGGCCGGCACGCTCCAGCGCCTCGAATATCTCTGGAGCAAATTGGGACAGAAGAGCCTGGCCTGCATCCAACCCCATCAGGGCACCTCCAACAAGTAACAAAGAGCTGACACCTAAGGCCCCTAAACTCTCCACTTTCCCATATCCATTGGGGAATCGCTCGGTTGGAGGTTTCAGGGACCAGGCCACGGTACTGAGGGTCATAAAATCGGAGACCATGTCTGTTAAAGCATGGTACGCATCTGCTATCAACGCCTGCGAATGGAAAAAGTAGCCGCCGATGAACTTGCCAATGGCCATTGACAAGTTGACAAGCAAGCCAATTCGCGTTATCCGTACTCCGGCATCCTTTTTATTGGAAGAGGTCAAGTAAACATTGTCGTGATGATGGTGGTGATGGCCAGCATGGCCTCTGGTTTGAGTGGTAGCCATTGCGGATTTCAACGAACTTCTTACTGCCGCCCTCGCGGCAGCCGGAGACCACACGAACAGTGGAAGCTGGGATGGAGGTGGTGAGCGAGACGGTGGAAGTTTCTGGTGCAGACTGTGGGTGTTGGACGAGCGCAATGTCCGTGACTGAGGGAATCCTGAGTGTCTGCGATGCAACGTAAATTGTCTTGGAAGTACGCGGCCTTGCAGCTGGCCGCCGCCTCGCAGCGGCGGCAGAAGACTCATGGTCGGGGCGCTAATCACGGGCGTAGTTTGGCTAGGTTAGCAGCAGGAGAACCAGAGCGTGCTATTTTATATATTTTTTAAAGATTCCACTTCTACCTTTCTCTGTCGGGGATTTCTTTCTATTTGGACTGGGCTGGGAACATGCGAGCGACGGCCGAGTTCGGCAGGGACGACGAACGGCTTCTGAGCCGCCGGGATGGCCTTACTGCTCAGGCTATGGCTTGATCTGGACGCTTGACAGTCAGACGTTGGCATATCGACAGTGCCACTCCCCTCGTGCAAGTTGCAAAGACCTTGCAGTCTCTCTGTGATCGAAGATATTTACAAAGAAAAGAAAGTGACATCACGGCCGCTTCCGCAATCCAACTCCGACCCCAAACCAAGCTTGGCGCTTATCGTCCTATCTGAGTTTCACCGACACCCACGGCACACTCCTCCATTCCTACGTCTGTACATAACTACGTACATGATTGCAGTACATTGATGACTTCAGCCCATGCATTGATTGATGATCGGTGCTCGACCATGCCTCCATGTCTCCTCTGAGAATCCCTTACACGCAGCCGTTCCCGCCCGCAATCATCTTCCCCAAGGCTGCGAGCAGTGTTGAGGGTGCGATCGAAAGCCTTGTCAACTTCTTCACCGCTCCCCCGTCGCCCTCTCTGCACGGCATCAATGGCCACCAAGCCGTCATCCTCACGGGTGCCGGCATCTCGGTAGCGTCGGGTCTGTCGGATTATCGAGGAGACAACGGCACATACGTTCGCAACAAGGCGTACCGACCAACTTACTACCATGAATTCGTCACCCGACACGAAGCGCGGAAACGATACTGGGCTCGAAGCTACGTGGGATGGCCAGGACTCTTGAAGTCGAAGCCGAATTCGACACACTACTCCATCACCGAGCTCGGGAGGAAGGGATATGTCAGCAGGGTGATTACACAGAATGTAGATTCCTTTCATCCGGTTGCGCACCCTAGTCTGTCGACAATCGAGCTACACGGTTTCCTGCGGTCGGTTATATGTATCAATTGCCACAACTTGGTGCCGCGAAACGAGTTTCAGCAGTCTCTTGCACGCCTTAATCCGGCCTGGGCGGACTTCTTGGATGAAATGTTGGAGTCGGGCGCTCTAGATACTAACAACCCAGAAAAGCAGCGCAAGCGAGGCCTGAAGATCAATCCAGACGGCGACGTGGATCTTCCCCATGCGCCATACTCTAGTTTTCGCTATCCGGCATGTCCACACTGCTTGGAACACCCACCTTTGGTTTCGCCCAGCAAGGACAAGCCCCCGTCTCAGGCCATCGTAGAGACAGAGTCAGATGGCGCATGGTCACCGTCGTCTACGGCGGGGATCTTGAAGCCGGCCGTCACCATGTTCGGAGAGTCGACGAGCCCAGCCGCCCGGAGTGCAGCCGAAGAGGCCATTGACGAGGCCAGCCGGCTGCTGATCATGGGCAGCAGCTTGGCTACTTATTCGGCGTATAGACTAGTGGACCGGGCGCGCAAAAGGGGCATGGCGATGGGGATCATCAATGTAGGCGGCGTGCGCAACGAGAGCCAGCTTCTCGGGGATCTGCTCAACCGCAACCACGTCCGCTGCGATCATAGGAGCGAGGCGGTGCTGCCCGAGGTGGCGTCGCGGCTGCAGATAGTGCGATAGCTTATTGTCTATAGAAAGGAATGAGAAATGGTCAAGGGGCGGGCGCGACGATGCAGAATAAATATTGGAACGTAAAAATAGAAGCCTTACAGATGGCGCAGGCAGGATGGCCGCGTTGTGGGCGCTGATTGGCGGAGCACGGCAGAGAGAGGGCGAGCGTCGGGAAGCCGCGGGGCTGCAAAGGGCTCCTTCAGCGACTTCTTAGTAGTTCGTACTTATATGCGTGCTCGACTAGCTGGACATGGCCTCTCCCCATCCTTCGACTACACCCAGCACGCTGCCAATTCGTTCTCGCCTGAATATCTCGCCCTCTCTCGTTGCTCCCAGCTCGTTCCTCTTTTCTCAGCCTGCCACCACCACCACCACCACGCCTGCCAATCCCCCGCATACGCACACCCAAGCCCACCCGTCACCAAGAGCAGCACACCGGCCCAGCATGGACAAGCCTCAGCAGCCCAGTTCTTTCCAGCAGCTGGAGAAGGTAAAAGACACCCCCCACGACGACCACACTCTCCAAAAGCTCCTGGGGCCCATGTCATGCTAACTTCTTTTTTTCTCCTACCTATCATAGCTTGGTGAAGGTACCTATGCCACAGTGAGTCAATCAGCCAACATGCCTTCTAGTTCGCATATTAGCTGAATCTCGCCACTAATGCCGAATTTTGCGCGGGAATATAGGTTTTCAAAGGCCGCAATCGACAGACCGGCGAGATGGTCGCCCTGAAAGAGATTCACCTGGATTCGGAGGAAGGCACGCCATCCACGGCCATCCGAGAGATCTCCCTGATGAAGGAGCTGAAACACGAAAGTATCGTCTCGCTATACGATGTGATTCACACGGAAAACAAGCTCATGCTCGTTTTCGAGTTTATGGACCGGGATTTGAAGCGATACATGGATACCAAGGGAGACCACGGCTCGCTCGACTATGTTACCATCAAGTCATTCATGCACCAGCTCATGCGAGGCATTGCTTTTTGCCACGAAAATCGCGTGCTGCACCGTGATCTCAAACCCCAGAACCTGCTCATCAATAAAAAGGGTCAGCTCAAGCTTGCCGATTTTGGTCTCGCACGCGCCTTTGGTATCCCCGTCAACACGTTCTCAAATGAGGTCGTTACGCTCTGGTACCGCGCCCCGGACGTGCTTCTCGGGAGCAGGACGTATAACACTAGCATTGACATTTGGTCCGCCGGCTGTATCATGGCTGAGATGTACACTGGCCGGCCGCTGTTTCCCGGTACGACCAACGAGGATCAACTGCAGAAAATCTTTCGACTAATGGGGACTCCATCCGAACGGTCATGGCCCGGCATATCGCAATTTCCCGAGTATAAACCCAACTTCCATGTCTATGCCACTCAGGACTTGAGGCTCATCCTGCCTCAAATCGACCAACTGGGCTTGGACCTGCTTACTCGCATGCTGCAGCTACGGCCAGAGATGCGGATCAGCGCGGCAGACGCATTACGACATCCCTGGTTTAATGATCTGCCACAATTGCAGGCCCAGTTACAACAACAACACCACCAGCAACAGCATCACCACCAGCAGCAATCACAGTTGTCGGGAGGTTACGGGGGGATGGTTGCAGCGCAGCCGGGATACTAAATATGTATCTCTTCAGATTTAGTACCTATACTTCACGAACTATATGAAGGAAACAAGAAAACACGGGTATGGCGTTTTGACGAGAAAGAGAAACCCTCCTAACCCTGAAATTATTGGCACTTGATACCCGAAGACCTCTCTCTCTCGTTGTTCCTTTTTGCCTGTCTACGCATTTATCTTTTCACTCCCGGTTTATTTTTATTCTCTTCTTGGGCATACGTATCTATTCTTCTAGGTAGCTTGGCTTTCTTTTTCTCTTGGTACGTATAATGATATTTTTATTTTCTAAGTTTTCGGTATTTACCTGCCTATACTCAGGATATTTTGTGGGAGATGGATCGAAAAGGGGCACTCCCACTCAGGTTTCCCCTGGTAAAATTTCACACTCAAGTTCTGGCCATGATCCACGGTCGCCATTATCTAGTCGTTTGGACTAGGCGGACAGCACTCGCAGTCATTGGGTGTCCTCAAGGTCCCCTGAAGGTCAGAAAATAGTCAAGCCCCGAATAAGCATGACGTCAATAGATTTAAAAACCCTCAGCATTTGCTTACATCAAACCTCCACTTCAGCAGAACCCGCGTCGACTCTCCGCTTCGCTTCTCCAGATTATAGGACGGCGATGGAAGAGACGTCATCGCCAGATCGGCCAAAGCTTGACCAAACCTTGGACGCCCTTCCGTGTTATCCGTATGGCGATATGCATATATAAAGTGTCTTGGCTCTTTCCTTGGCTCTTTCCATCGTCCAAACATCTTGTTTGCTCAGTGCAAAAGAAATTCCACCTTTGAACATGGTTAATACGATTATCCCCGGGGCCCCGCGCCACAAGTACAACCTCCGTGGCGCAAAGCCCCTCTTCGCATCTGAGGATGGCGTTATTACCAAGGTTACCAAGAAGGACTTTCCGATCCTCAAGAACTTGGCTATGGAACGAATTGTGCTTGCGCCAGGAGCCATTCGGGAGCCACACTGGCACGTCAACGCCAATGAGATGACCTACCTGCTCCAGGGCAAGATCCAAGTCTCAATCCTTGACAGCGGGACCAAGATGTCGACCTTCACCATGGATGCGGGCGAGATGTTTCACATAGAGGCTGGCTCTCTGCATGTCTTTGAGAACGTCGGTGACGAGGAGGCGGAGTTGATCATCTGCTTCCGCCACGAGGAACCCGAGGACTTCTTCCTGGGCGCATCGTCCGGTGCATTCACCGACGCTGTCATGGCCAACACCTATGACTTTGACGAGAAGGTGTTCAAAAACATCTCGCGTACCACGCAGCCACGCCACATCTTCAAGCGTCACCCTTCCTCCAAGCCAGCCAGGGCCACTATTCCAACTACAGCCCACTTCCCAGATTCCCACCGCTTCGACATCGAGGGCCAGCAACCGCCCACAGCTGCGCCGGGCGTCGGATCTGCGAAAAAGGCTCGTAGCCAGTTCTGGCCCGCCCTGAAGAACATGGCCATGTACTCTCTTACTGTCGAGGACAGTGGCATGCGCGAGCCACACTGGCACCCCGACACCGTGGAAATGGGCTACGTGCACAAGGGTCGTGCCAGGATGAGCATCATGGACCCCGATGGCTCCGTCGACACATACTACCTCGAGCCTGGAGAATGCTACTTCCTCCCCGCCGCATACCCGCATCAGATCGAGTCTCTCGAGTCCGACATTCACTTCCTCATCTTCTTCGATAACCCCATGCCCAAGGATGTAGGTTTCCGGAGCGCTGGTGTTGCCATACCGAGGGAATTGATGGCTGCGACCTTTGGTGTGAAAGACACTGATTTCCCTGAATTTCCATTTGAGGCTGAGGACCCCCTATTGGTTGCCAAGAAAAACGCAATCGACCCTATCAAGTCCAAGCTTTAGGTTTATACCGTTACGTGGAATGCTTTAGTAGATAGTCAGGCTATATAATAGAACGTCTCTGTGCAGCCTCTATACATCATATATATCTACATTCAAGTGAAAGAGTTTTGCTGTCAGCTACTTTTAGGAATTGTTGCGTGAACGGTTATTGCCCAATTTGGAAGACTAGGGTTTGTTGCTCAAACACGTACGTCTGCGCCGAAGATGACTACTTCTGTAAATCAAGCTTAACAATCCGCATCATTATTCCTATTTATGTACCTAACAAATGTAAGAAAATACGAATTATTGCCTGCCCATGGCTTCGCAAGGAGCAAAGTATCTAGCAAACATGTAATTCCCAGACTCAAGTATTCAATAGTTGGCCAAGAGTACAAGCCATCGTTGTATATGTACATAGCCGACACTCTTTTCTTCATTTTCAACGGAGTCTATAGCAATGGCATGTGTTGAGGAATGTAACTTCATGGACGTTATCAAAGATCCATTTAGAATCGATGCAATTTGTAATATTTTTCTGATGTATTTTCTTTATGAGTCTATATTTGCTACTACTAGTTGGAAGAGTGGTGGTGGTGATTATTGGTCTTGACCAGTTGACAAGTCAGACAAAATGATCGATAGATTAAGTGCAAAGCTATGCTTAGCGGAGAAATTATAGCAAGTAAATCATCAATTTGATAAAGCAAAAGGCATTGACCGTTCATTGGGATTCACTTCTTGACTGGTATTACACTTGATGTCTTCGTTTTCACCCCTGCATTTGTTCACTACTGAGGTATTCAAATATGCAGGTGCTCTCCCTAAGGCAGTCATCATTATTATGAGGTCAATGATGGAGTACCGGGTGGAGGGATCTTGGGTTTATTCAGTCTATGCGTTGATTTACCATCCGGATTACATGTATGTGTCTTCAACGCCGATATTTGAGCTTGAATATCTTATTTTCCTCCACTCTGGACACGACATATAAATAGATTCATAGACTGGATGAATCCAGCTCTCGGGCAAGATCGCCGGAAACGTGAACCCTTCCGTCACACATGGATGTCATGTATTGACGGAGATGAACTGACTGGCCTGATGAGCCATCGAGTTCAAGGTTGTATCGAACTAATACTACCTGAGACTCCGCTTGTTTGGTTTGACTCGGTTCGGCGATGGCACGGGTAACTCTAGAATTGGACTACATTTAGATACCTAGGTAGAAATGTAATAGAATTTATCACCTAAGGAACGGGCCAGATTGGGAGTTTTTCCCTTGATGTGCCCAGGTGATTAGTGTGTATTGAAAATTGGACTCGAATGGGTCTGATTGTTGATTGTTCAAGACACATATATATGCCTTGTTGGGGCAGCAGCAGTAATAGCGGGGTTATTTTGTAAAGGCTTCGTTCACAGAAAGGTCTAAGGATGCTGATATCGAGCACGTATGGTGGTCTATGTATGTTTCTCTCTCTACCTAGGTATCTTCAGCAACCTTGGAAAGTGATCCAAATAGGGTCGAAAACAAAGATCTTTAAACAGCCTGCAGGGGCAAACTTGGAAACTTCAGCTTTCAGCCTTGTTATCACATGTACAAAACAACAGATACATCTGGTCAGGTCCGTTGTTTGCTCCAAGCCTTGCCATGTCTCATCCATTATTATCGCAAGTTGCACGTATGGACAGGTATGATTACATTCTTTCAGTCGTGTTGTTGATCTCGGGTGGCACAAAGCCCTAATGCAGGTAACGTGCGCTGTAGGTCCGTGGGATGGGAAAGGAGACCAATCACACTTTCCTATCAAGTCCTTTTTTATATTTGTGCGTCTCATGAAGAAGAGAAATAAATGATTACAAACGTCGTGTGCGTAAGTCTTTGTCAAAATCTCCCCGCTTGTCCAGGTTCAAGTTCAAAGCTGCAAACAGAATCGAACGTTTGAGCAATTCAAGATATGAATATATATACAACCAAGTTTGTCAACAGGCACAAAACATTGCAAATGGTTGCACCATGTGAAACATTACTCAGACCATCAATGCAGCAGGCTGCTGGTGAAAGAAGGTAGTATAGGCCCATTGGCGATCCCGGGCATGCATTGCATCGCACTGCAACTATGGACGTTATATATATGCGATGGCATGGAACGCTGATGAATATATCCGATATTAGTTGTGATATAGTCTATGCCTCGTGTCACAGATATCTCCGATGTCAAGCAATCCAAACCTCGGCATGAACGACCCCGGATTGCACAGACTGATATCAAATCGTATTGATTGATTGCATATTCAGTAAATCCCCCTCCTTCAAATCTAACCCGAAGATAAATTACCTGATCAATCCTGTCAGTAATGAAGGCGTGTCCCTGTCTCCTTAGAGGATAAGACCTGCCCCTGAAAAGAAGTCTTTATATATGAAAATAGCTAGACTAAGACGCCCAAGCATCTATGAAACTGTCGCATTGAAAACAGGGAGAAAGAAGAAGATATCAACCCGAACCCCTTCTATCCAGCTAATACTCATATAATACACAAGACAACAACAAAAAATGTCGCTGACCGATCACGAACTCGCCGCCATCACGGTTGCTGAAAGGACAAATTCAATCCTCTCGGTCATCGGAACGACCGTCGTGATAGGCACGTTCCTGAGCTCACAGGCCTTTCGCAAACCCATCAATCGTGTCGTGTTTTATGCCTCTTGGGCCAACATTCTCACCAACGTTGGAACGCTGATCTCTCGTTCTGCCATTGTGAGAGGCGAGAAGGCGACTACTCTTTGCCGGTTTCAGGCTTTTATAATCCAGTGGTAAGCAGAAATAGGTGTTTATTATTTCGCCAACCATGGGTTTCATGAGCCTTGTAATATTGGGTGATGCTTCAATTACCCATCCCATAAATGTACGCAGGCTGACCAGTGAGCGGTGGTGCAGGTTCATGCCCGCCGACGCATTATGGACGTTTGCCATGGCGTTCAACGTCTATTTGACGTTTTTCCACAAGTACGATGCTTCAAGCTTGAGGAATCTGGAATGGAAATACCTCGTGTTGTGTTATGGCTTGCCTTTCATCCCACCATTCGTGTACTTTTTCGTCTCCACCAGTTCCAAGGGACCTATCTACGGCTCTGCGACGGTTAGTATCTCTCATCCTGATCTACTGGTGGGTCAGCTATTTATTTTGATATCAGTTATGGTGCTGGGTGTCTATCGACTGGGACATTCTCCGCATTGCAGTCTTCTATGGCCCAGTCTGGTCCGTCATCCTCCTCACCTTCGCCATCTACGCGCACGTCGGCATTGACATAGCTCGAAAACGGCGGCTTCTTCGGAGCTTCAATAACGATGTCCGTTTGGAGACTCGGTTGAACAAATTCTTTGAGATCCATGCATCCAAAGTCGTTCATATCACCAGCGAGGCGGCGAACAGCCACAGCAACGGCCATATTAACAGCAACAGTAGCAGCACCTCCATGAATGAGCAGGTAGTCGGAAAACCCGAGGGAAGGATTTCTCTAGGCCATTATCCCGCATACTCGGTGACTGTTGAAAGGGGCGAGGATATCCCAGAGCCACCGTCGGCGACTTCAGAAGCGAGAAGCTCCAGCTTTCAATTCTCGTCGGGTTCCCGACGTCTACCGCGGACCGAGGTCAATCCGGTCAATTCTGCGGCATTCGCGTATTGCAAATACGCCATGTTGTACTTTATTGCTTTGCTGGTTACATGGGTAGGTATTTCCTGGACCCTTTGCATGAATACATACCAACGGAGAAACAATCAATAGGTACCATCGACTATAAACCGAGTATACAGCCTTGTATATCCGAAAGACGCCAACTTCGGACTCGAGTTTGTCTCTGCTTTCGTGCTTCCCTTGCAGGGATTCTGGAACAGCATCATCTATGTTGCTGTTTCCTGGTCCACGATTATGGATTTCGCTCGACGCTGGCGCGCCCATCGCCCTCCAAAAGAGTCGTCTTGTAGAGTCAACACAGCAATGAAATTGAAGCGGTTTGTTGCGAGAGAGAGTATTCGTCGATACCACGACGCAGCAGGCCTCGGTGGACCGCAGCATTCGGCGGCTTCTGGCGACACGGAGAGTACGACGCAGTTAGCGAGAGATGATGCAGGAGTAGAAGGGGTATAAGTTGATTGTACTGCAAGAGAGCATTATAAATAAGAAAATATAAAGAAATTAAGAATACAAGCATCGTCAATTGTTGTAACTTGTAGTCGAAGTGTCGCGAGAAGAAAGAAGTCCCTGGCCAATAGGAGCGGGGCCGCTAACTTAATTGGAACGCGTCGCGTCAGCAGAGATTCTTAATCTTCGCATAACCCGGAATCTCCGCCATCTGACAGCAAAGAGAGACGTCCATGGAAACCATCTGTTAGCAGCTCTATTAGAATGACTACCATGACACCCTCGCAGCAACAACAGCAACAACAGCAACAACAAGCCCCTCCAGCCGCTTCCCCCTCTCCCCCACCCCCTGCTCCGATCCCCTTGACTCCAGGACCGCGCGCAACTCGTCTGCAGGATATCTACAGCAAGGCTCTTCGCGCGACCCTCAAATCAAACTCATACGAAAACTTTGCTGCTTGCTTCCCGACGCCTGCGCGACATGTGCCCGCCAGTCTGGAATCAGTGCATCGTCAATTGAATGCTAAATTAGAGGAAGGTGCCACGGCTGAGTTCAACGACATCATCAAAGAGCGCGATGTCATCAAGGGCTTGAATGAGCTAGATAGATTGGTTGGAGAAGCCAGGCGTCGCAAAAGCCAGGGCGAGAGTGAGACTGCTGTGCCGTATGTTTTAACCCCGCGCCAATCTCACCTTTTTTTTTTTTTTTGGACAACTTTATTGTTCGGAAATCTGTACTAATGATGGAGGAAAACAGTCCGCACATGCTTAATGCAGATGATCTATATCGAGCTCACCTGACTCCCTATCTACAACAAGCCGAAAGTGCTCTAAACGCCAAGCTTGAGGAGGCACAGTCTCAGAATGCAGCGCTTGCAGAGAGAGTTATAGCCCAGCGACAGGAGATCGAGTCGCTGCTTTCGGGACTGGAAGCTGTAATGGCTGACCTGGAAGGTTCGGCTAAAACATCGACTCAGTACAGCAAGGCGCACAGTCTGCGACAGGAGAGTTTGCTGATAGATGAGGAAGTGAGAAAAGCGGACTGAAGAGCCGACATTATTAATTTTTCTTTTTCTTAACTGCTATGTACAGTCTCTCGGCATCAAACATATCAAGTGAGCAGAGCTTCTGCGTCGGCTAGCGCTACGAGGCTGTCTTCGACCATATCCTGCATAATGGCAAATGCCTTTTCGGCATCAGCGCTTTTAAGCTGATTCAGCTTCGATTTGTCACCAGCGAGAGCTGCAACAAGTGCTTCCTTACAGGAGCCTTCCTTCTCTTGCTCCGAATCGCCATCTCTACGCGCCAATGCAGCGGCGCCGCGATAGTACGTTTGGGCGTTCTTTAGGAGCGTTGCGGCGTTCTCGTGTGCCGCTGCGTGATTCCAAGGCGGCCTGCCCAGGTGCCACCGTGCCATTTCAACGTCCCCTCTTGCAATATGAATCTTTGACACGTTGTCAGCTGTCGCCAATTTCGAAGCCGCGGTCAATTCCTCCAAGGCTGCACTTAATCCCTGCCAGCGCAAAATCAGTGACCTTTGCCCTTCCTCAATACTACTTGTAGGAGGAATATCTGCAATGGCGGAATTGAAGGATGTGAGAGCCTCGGCTTTGCTACAAAGACCTTCGGGATCGTCGGACAAGTTCAGTTCGGGTGGAAATGCACCACTGAGCTCCCTTTGGTACGTCTCTACATCAACTCTTCCACTCCGATATAATACCTCGGTCAGGGCTGCCAAAAATCGCGCACGAGCAAGAGCGACTTCCTGTTCCCTATCGGTGCCTTGAACATAAGCTGCGATCTTTGTTCTTAATAAGTCGTATGAGTACTCTTCGACCCAAGCCAAAGCATTGCCGCCATCCAAGGCCAGAAGGCTACATAAAGTTGCCAAAGTTTCCAGCTGTGCAACAGCAGTGTCGACCAGTGTATTTTTAGTCACTGGCTCTACCACTGCGGCCCACTCTTCTTGGACCGGCGAGTCTGACCCTTGGTCTTTCTCCGACGCTGTCTCTCTCTCTTTTTCTTCCGGCGTCTCCTCACCACTGCTTTGCGGCATGGCATCATTATCGTCGTTGTTGTCCGAATCCATCATCTTGAAATCCTCTTGACACTCAGTGTATCGAAGCTCCTGCAGTACCAAACATCTTTGAAACAACTCCAATGCTTCATTCAGATATTTCATTGCTTCCTGGATTTTACCTTCGCTGGGGCGCTTAGATTCGGTCAGGGCCTCTGCAAGACTGGTCAGAACCTGGGCCGTGTTGAATAAGACGTCTGCGTTATCCTGGTCCAGGACGAGGGCGTCCCGATGCGACTGCAATGCGATCTGAAGGATTTTCATCTGCGGTGCGGGGAGTTGGGTAGCCAGTTTGGGATGCTGAGTGATTTCGTATTGGACGCGAGCTCTTGAAGGAAATCGATCCTAATTAGTTTGCGACTTGAAATTGGGTTCGATTGATTGAATACACACTTGTTGTACGCCAAATCAAACGATGTGGGGAATTTGGTGAGCCCATTATCATAAATTTCAATGGCGCGCATGAAGAACCGCATAGCTTTGACAGCGTCGCCAGCTCGCCATTTCTCGCCGCCTTCTTCCTGCTCAACGCCGGCTTAAATAGAACAGATTGGCGAGTTAGTGCCGTCTTCTGTATTGGTCTCGTTGTGGAAACACATACCGGCTAAAAATTCATCGGCAGTTTCTGGGTTCTGTTGTTTATTAATGAGTCGATAAATTTCCAATGGAAGAGGGGACAGAGTTTTGGAACGCGGTGCGCGTACAGCTTGTTGGTGCCTGCCCTTTTTCTTGGACTTGTTCTTCGCATTGCTGAGCTCTTTGAGAAGGGGCTTTCCTTTTGGCATTTTGTATTGTGTCGTGTCAGTTGGAGTCAAATAGATATGTTCACACGACGATTCAAAATATGTCGTCGTCATTAGTTCTTGTCCAATCAGCGCGGGGCTGCCCCACCATTTAGCTGAGACCAATCATTCCATCTGAAACGCACTGTCACGTGACTGGATATCAGTTTCTCAGCTCATCACCCTAGCCACCCTAGAAAGTCATAAATAAGTACAGTGCTTATGCCCCGGGCAAGTTCATCTGTAATACTGGCCCAAGGACCAAGTACGTCGCATTCTCATTGCGAAACAATGGTATATATTCAAATTATCGATCAAGAGATCAAATCGCCGTTAGGAAGTTAAAAATAAAATACACGCCTACGTAGTAGAGCGGCACGTGGCGGCGCGTATGAGGCTGTACCCGTATCAAACCTTTTTTGTTTTGCCCCTGCGCTTGTTGAGCCACGCAAGCTGACTGCAGGCTGATTTCCAACTGCAAGCCCAAAGCTCGCGTGTGCTGATACATGCCACAATTAAGCTATGCACTAGTGGCCACCAAGACTTCCAATTTGTTCCGTAGTTACGCCTATCTTCCCTGGTTCGCTTGTCAGCCGCTGCAACGGTGTATCGCCGGTATTGTAAGAATACCCGTATGCAAACCTTAGTCACCCCCCTCCCCCATCGTAAGATCATCATGGCCTCATCCTCGCCAATTGCCTGTACATGAATGAATGACTCTGCTGTTGTCCGCGCTATAGAATACCCAGATTCTGTCCTCTCGACTCCGCCATCGCTCCTTCTCTCTATAAAGGAAAAGACAGGCCTTCTATCTCTTTACCGCAACAAAGCAAGCCGCACTCCGTAAATAATTACGCCGAAACGCAGATCGGCGCATACGCTCGTGTGAAGAAAAGGGGAATCTTTTCCACTAAGCACAACAACCTCTTTCGACTTTCTGTCCCTGCGTGGCATTGATCACCATCATTAACAGCGTATAAAATATATAAACATCGTTTATACAATGGCTCGCGCTTCGTTGGAATCTGAGACGCCAATCGTGGCTCCATCGGTATGCGATTTATTTCCCTTCTTTTCCCCCCTCCGTCTTCGGATATGCAGCAAATACCATTGATTTAGCCTATTTTCTGTGCGAAGCTGACGTCGACTCCCAGAACCGCAACTCAAAACGCTTCTCAACCTACAGCGGAGTTCCCTCCCTCGCTCCCTCCGATATTACCACCGGCAGCCTGCCCAGCGGCGACCCTCGCATGGCCGAAATCAAAGAATACTCCGACTTTGTCGAGCGTCTGGAAAGCAAGCCCTTAGACAAGCAGCGATTTGTGCCCACTGCCGAAAAGACGGATAACTTGAATAAACTGGCGCTCGGTGCCAAGGTTGAACGCGCGCTTGGACGAAGGATGACTGGACAAGACGCCGTGATGCGAAAGCCGGTTATTTTGGATGAGAAGAAGGCGGTGGAGAATTGAGCTTTTGCTATGAATACGAATTCCTTTTTGTGTTGTGTGTTTCGACTTTCTCTTCGTTCTTCTACTCACCTATTAAATCTCTGTTCTGTTGTTTTCCCGCTTCCTATTGATTACCCTTGCTTGTTATGACTAGCAGAGTCTGGATGTTCAAGCTGTTTATATATTGGATCTCTCTTTACTTATAGCTTCGATCTACCTTTGATATACAATATATATATCTACGCATATATCCACATACTGTCTCAATCTACCGGCTCTTGCTTCTACGCAGAGATCCGGCTGTTTTTCTCTCTTTTTTTTCTATGCATGACTTCTCGAGAATGTAGAGCAAACTGCGGTGCATATACGTGACACGGTTGATATGATGGCGGGCGCAACCTGAGGTGTCTGTCGTCTTAGTCAGAGAGCCGTGCACGGACCAGCTCGCACAAGCTTCGAGATGATGGCGGCTTCAATCGCTCTTTCTCTTTCTCTCTTCTCTCTCGCTCTTTGCATCTTCACCCATCCATCCATCACGTCGTATCCCCACGCTTCTCCTCCTCGTTATCTCCTAGATACTCGATTCTCCTTCGCACTCTTCCCCAGGATCAGTGCCTCTTCGTTGCAAATTGCAAATCGCACCCGGCTCGAATCTAACTCACTGTATTTTCATACGTGCGGTTCTCTTGAAAACAGAGCTTCTCTCTCTTTTTTCTTAAAGGACTCTCTTTCAAATCCATCTCCTGGACATCTCTTCAACTGGTTTATACCCTTGCCTTGAATCTTCTTCACCTACCAGCGGATTTGAATTTCATCGCATTTAGCGCCGCACAGTCTTGATATCAATTTTCATTTCTGTACAGCCTCTTTTTCAGGTAAGCAAAAGGAGCACTGGCCTGTTTGCATGAATATTTCTTTTGGCGCTTTGTCCCGTATATCTATCTATTTTTTGTTTTGACTTGTTTTTCTTTATATGCATGCCCACTAACCGTTTCCAAATCTTCAGGTCGCAAACGAACTTTTTTTATTTTTGCCCCAACCGATTTTACGGCCAATTTCGACAACATCGCTATCGTTGAAACTTACCCGTCATATTTTCTACACGCAATCTAGAAAAGAAAAACTAGACTAGAATCTTTCCATTTACTCAACCCTGATACATAATGGCGGACACGACCCAGGCTCCTGTTAACGGCACTTACGCTGCTCCTCCCTCTCATTATGCCGACGCCTACATGTCGCATGCCACCATGAATAACGCAGGTGGTAGTTACCATCCTGTACCCGCCTCCACACCATCAAATGCACCGGCCTCCGACAATAAGAATGACATCCCAAAGGACGAGGTCGGTTGGTACTTCGTTGAACAGTATTATACCACCATGAGCCGCAACCCAGAGAAGCTTCACTTGTTCTATTCACGTCGCTCACAGTTTGTCTCTGGCAATGAAGCTGATGCCGTCCCCGTTATTGTGGGTGCAAAGGTGAGCAGGTTCCTTCCAAAGGTTGGCTTTACTATGCGCTAACATTGAAAACCTAGGCCATCAGTGACAAGATCAAAGAACTTGATTTTCAAGATTGCAAAGTCCGTGTTCTGAACGTCGATTCTCAAGCTTCATTTGACAATATCCTCGTTGCTGTAATTGGAGAAATCTCCAACCGCTCCGAGCCCTCTCGCAAATTCACTCAGACCTTTGTTCTCGCCCAACAGCCAAACGGCTACTATGTCTTGAACGATATTTTCCGATACCTTGCAGATGAAGACGAAGATTTCGTTCCTGAGGAAGAAGTCGCAGCTGTTGAGCTTGAGGTGCCTGTCGAACCTGAGACTGCAGCAGTCACCAAGGAGGACGAAGCACCTGAGACTGAGGAGGCTGCGGTCCCAACTGAACCGGCTGCAGCTGAGACTGATGCCGAGGCTGTTGGAACTGTTGCTGCTGGCAGTGAACCTGAGAAGGTTGAAGAACCCGCAGCTCCTGCACAGATTAATGGCGACGCTGCTCATGAAAAGGCCGCTGTTCCTGTTACTCCTGCCGTACCTGTTGTTCCCACTGAAACCGAGACTCTCAAACCCGAGAAGCCACAGACCCCAGAGCCCACGCCTGCCGTTAACCCTCCTCAGGAATCTGCCCCAGCTGCGAAGAAGGAGGCTGCTCCTGCTAAGGCTGTTCCTAAGACATGGGCTACCATCGCCTCCAACAACCGCGCCTCTGCTGCTGCTGCTGCCGCCGCCGCTGCTACTCCTGCTGCACCTCAGCCAAAACCAACAGCTGTAGCAACATCGTCTCAACAAGCAGCTCAGCCACAGCAGGAACAACCTGCCACAGCATCTCCAACTGAGGTTGTTGCTACTGGCAGCCAGGCAGCGCCGAATGATGGAGCCGGATGGCAGACTGCTGGTCATGATCACGGCAAGAAGCAGTCACGTACTGAAGAGAAATATTCGGCATACATCAAGAATGTCACCGACAAGGTTGATGCTGCTCTTCTGCGAAGCGTGCTTGCCCGTTTCGGAAAGCTAAGTCACTTTGATGTCAATCGCGCAAGGGTATGTTCCGCCTTTCACTTGAATTTTCGTTGAACGATTTTGGATCAGTAACTAATTTGTATATAGAACTGCGCTTTTGTCGACTTTGCCGACCAGGCTGCATACAATGCTGCTGTCGCAGCCAACCCTCACCAAATCGGAAGTGAACAAGTTACTGTAGAAGAGCGACGGGTTCGCTCCGGTAACTTTGGCAATGGTTTTGCAGCCGGTCGTGGCGGTGGCAGCGGTGCTAACCGAGGTGGTCGTTCCGATGGTCGGGCTGGCAGCCAGGGTCGCGGTGGCAGTGGCTTCCAACGCGAGCAGGGACGAGGTGGATTCGCATCTCGCGGACGAGGCGGTAGCAACGTCAACAAGGGACGTAGCCAGGCACAGGCTGCTTAAATAGGAGACATTGACGTCTTGACTCACGTGTTGACGCCGAGATGAAAAAAAGAGATACCAAAAGGTTATTAATAGGCGATTGATTTGATTATCAATTTGCAAAGTCTTTGCACGATACTATCGATACAGCATATGCATACATAAAAAGAGGGCATCATCATGTCATTTACTCATCATGACAGGTGGTTATTACGACAGGAAAGGATTTATTAGGGTGACGATTTCTTTTGTAGCTGTCAAGCATGCTAGCGGTTTGGAAAAAGTCGCTTCTTTATTTTTTGTTTTTTCTTTTCTTATTTTATGGGCGCGCGTGGTCTTGAATTAACTGACTGGCTGACTGAGTAAATCAGATTGGTTCATGTGATTCAAAATTCTTGTATTAACTTTTTTTTTTTTTTTTTTCCTTCCCCTTTTCCTTGTCTCTTTTCGACTTATGTGTCTTCCTATTAGAATACGTCTTGTCTGGTCTTGTCTTAATCATATATCGTTAAGACACGACTGAAAACTTCTTTTTTCTCTCTCTTATTTCGTGTGAACTCTTTACACTTCTATTCATGTTTTATTTACAAGCATAGCGAGCCCAAGTGTCTTCTTTATTCTTATCCCATTTTCTCCATCCTATTTTCTTCTCTTCATCCATGTATTCCATCATTACAATCATCGTCGTCATTATCACTATTGTCCTACGAGTGATCGATTAATTGATCCTAATATCTATACAAGTACGTGTACTCGCCTCTTGTACTTTAGTATCCTATGCAAAGCGTTAAACGAACTCAGAATCCTCTAGCTATCTAGCTTCCTTTTAAGTTTTCTAATTTGAGATGTACCTAGGTATTGCTTTGGCCAAATAAGATAGTTTCGCTAGTCGTTGGTAAAAATGCATGCAGATTGAATATCAATGCAGGCTTCCAAACTCAGCTAGGTATTTTAGGTCGAGAAAAATACGTACATGTGTGTACCTAGCTAGGAAGGCTTACTAGAAAGACAAGTTACGAAACAATTGAAGTGAAGGAAAAAATACTATTATCAAAGCAACTAATAGTTGTGTTCTTTGCGAAGTAGTTTAATAGAAGAAGGGGGAAAAGAGGAATATTTTAACGCTCAAACGCCAGTCACAATCCACCATTGGAAACATGACCCTCAATTTTCGATCCAGAGAGAGATAGGGAAAAAGAAATGTTACATTCCGAATTTCGTGTCACATCAGCCATCAGTCAACGTCAGCCATATCAAATTTAGTCAACCTCCTCCATGGTGCTCTCGCCAGTGGCTTCAGCGGCAGGAGTCTCCTCAGCCTCCTTCTCCTCGGCAGTCTCAGCGTCCTCATCAACGTTCAGACCGAGAGAGACAAGCTTGTGGATGCGCTCGGCGAAGCTGGCAGGCTCCTCGATGGTGAATCCAGAGACCAAGAGGGAGGTCTCGAAGAGCAACTGGGTGATCGACTTGACAGTGCGGTCGTTCTCACCATCAGCCTCGACCTTCTTCTTGAGCTCCTTGATGATAGAAGACTTGGGAGAGATCTCGAAAGTCTTCTTGGATGACATGTAGGAGCTCATGGAAGTGTCACGGAGGGCCTGAGCCTTCATGATACGCTCCATGTTAGCGGACCAACCGAACTGTCCGGTACGGATGGCGCAAGGAGCACCAATGAGCTTGTGAGAGACGACGACCTTCTCGACCTTGTCGCCAAGAATGTTCTTGAGGCTCTTGGCGAGTTCCTCGAATTCCTTCTCCTCCTTCTCGCGCTCGGCCTTCTCCTCCTCGGTCTCCTCGAGCTCGAAGTCCTTGGTGATATCAACGAGTTTCTTGCCATCAAACTCCTTCAGCTGAGTGAAAGCATATTCGTCAATGGGGTCAACAAGGAACAAAACTTCGAAGTTCTTCTGCTTGAGGGTGTCAAGGAAAGGAGACTTCTGAACGGCCTTGAGAGACTCGCCAGTGATGTAGTAGATCTGCTTCTGGTGCTCCTGCATACGGGTGACGTAGTCAGTGAGAGAAGTAATCTCATCACCAGACTTGGTGGAGTTGTAGCGGAGAAGCTTGGCAAGAGCCTGGCGGTTCTGGCTGTCCTCGTGGATACCGAGCTTGATGTTCTTGCTGAAGGCACTGTAGAACTTGTCGAACTGTTCACGGTCCTCAGCAATTTCGTTGAAGAGCTCAAGAGTCTTCTTGACAACGTTCTTCTTGATGACCTTCATGATCTTGTTCTGCTGGAGGGTCTCACGAGACAAGTTGAGAGGGAGATCCTCAGAGTCGACAACACCCTTGATGAAGCTGAGCCACTCAGGGATGAGGTCGGTGGCATCATCAGTGATGAAAACGCGGCGAACGTACAACTTGATGTTGTTCTTGGTCTTCTTAGTTTCGAAAAGGTCGAAAGGAGCACGCTTGGGGACGTAGAGGATAGCGCGGAACTCAAGTTGACCCTCAACAGAGAAGTGCTTGACAGCGAGGTGGTCCTCCCAGTCGTTGGAGAGAGACTTGTAGAAGGAAGCGTATTCCTCCTGGGTGATGTCGGCAGGGTTGCGAGTCCAGATGGGCTTAGTCTTGTTCAGCTCCTCCTCCTCAATCTTGGACTCCTTGATCTTCTTGGTCTTCTTCTCCTTCTTCTCCTCCTCGTCATCGACTTCCTCAATCTTGGCCTTCTTCTCTTCATCTTCGGCCGTCTCCTCCTCGGCGTCCTCGTCAGGGACCTCCTTCTCGGTCTCCTTCAGGACATGGAGATAGATGGGGTAAGAGATGAACTCGGAGTGCTTCTTGACTACCTCCTTGATCTTGCTCTCATTGAGGTAGTCGGTCTGCTCATCCTTCAAGTGAAGGATCATCTTGGTACCACGGCCAAGGGCCTCACCCTCAGTGTCGGGGGAGAGAGTGAAGGTACCACCAGCGCTGGACTCCCAGATGTACTGCTCGTCATCGTTGTGCTTGGAGATGACGGTGACCTTGTCGGCCACAAGGTATGCAGAGTAGAAACCGACACCGAACTGACCGATCATGGAGATATCAGCACCAGCAGTCAGAGCCTCCATGAACTGCTTGGTACCGGATCGGGCAATGGTACCGAGGTTGTTGATCAAGTCCTGAAAACAAGTGTTAGCGACGGCTAAAACGCCAAAGGGTAATCTAGTTTTCACTTACAGCCTTGGTCATACCAATACCAGTGTCACGGATGGTGATGGTCTTGTTCTCCTTGTCGGGGATAATGTCGATACGGAGATCCTTGCCCGAGTCGAGCTTAGAAGGGTCTGAAAGGGACTCATATCGGATCTTGTCCAGAGCATCAGAGCAGTTGGAAATGAGTTCTCGCAAGAAGATCTCCTTGTTGGAGTAGACAGTGTTGATGATGAGAGACAGCAGCTGAGAGATCTCAGCCTGGAACTCGAAAGTCTCCGACATTTTGAAAAGAAAAAGGAGAGGTTATATGAAGGAGGCAAAAAGGGTATCCTGACCGGAAGTCGCAATGTTAGTCAAACGAATTCAGAGATTTTCCACCGCTTGTAGTTGAACAATAAACGGACTCGCACAGGGAGAATAGAGAAGGGTAAGCAGGATGAGTTGGGTGTACTCACAACGTAAGAGAGATAGCTAGACCAGAGGATCCAGCAGCACAGAAAAGTGGTGAAGGGGATGAGTGAAGGAAGAGAAAATGGGAACGAAGCTGATGCTAAAATACTCTGCGGCGGGCTGAGGTCCCAACTTCCTGTAGCTTCGAATCGATTCTATTCTACCGCCAGCCGCTAGTCCCGAATGGGTTAGCGCGCGTGGTGCCTATTTTCGATCTCCTTCCACGTACTTTTTCCGCCAGCTTCCTTTGTTCTGGAGTCTTCTTTAGAACAGAATTAGGCAGATACCTTTTTATATTTCCAAATAAGACAGTCACCAAGATTCGCCTACAATTGATGTTGTCGTAGCTGCTCGTTGCCTGTTGCCTGTATGTGCCTCAACTCTGAGGGTTGCCACGTCCGTAACGGGTCTAGCGCTGTATCCGTTGAGCCATTCGTCGGCGTCTAGAGCAGCCCGCTGCGGTGCTTCTTCGGCCAATCATCTCGCAACCGCAGACAAAATGCCTGAGGCACTCTCTTAGATTATGTTCAGTCATCCAGTGGCATGATTGGGCATCCCACCTCTCAGTGCTCTCACGGCTACACCATGGACTCTGCGGAGTGTCACGAGCTTGTCGGATATTGAACGGCCAGCGTTGCCCCGGCAGCGAGTGAACCCTAACCGTGAAATCACTAGTGCGAAGCTTGGGCTCTGGAGCTCTTTGGCATGGCAACTATCTACGTATCTCCGCAAGGCGAAGTTTAGAGCCATTTCTTTCATTGCTATTCTATGCTAGGAATTGGCCTGATTGATGCGTTTGAGACTGTGCAGAGGCAAGGTATATACCTTGGACTCACTTGATCACGATTGTAGCTCCCGGGAATAGCCAAGTGATATAGGACCAGCCAGTGTTGTCACAAGGTCCCCAGTACTCGCCAATCTCCAGTCCATTCCCTCCAACTCGTAACTCTAATCTAGAGCCTAATCTTGTGAATGAACCCAGTCAAAGTGCCATTCAGACAAGCTTTGGGACGGTAAACCCCAGAGTTTGGCCAGCCAAAGTGCCAAACCACCTACAACTCCGAAACTGCCAACTACCTGTACAATAATCCAGCCCCGGCGGCGTAGATCTTCGTTCCATCGAACAAGCCCAAGGGGATCCTGAGGACTAAGCTTGGTGAGTCGATATGTTCCGGTCTGCCCATTTGTTGTTCGTATGATGATACCACCGGAATTCTTGTCGGTCTCAACGCCCCACCCGGAGAAACCGGGCGTCTGATGGATCGGTACCAGCGTACCATCTAGCACACACTCTCCGAGACGTTCGGTAAGCCAAGCTGCCCTTTCACCACGCGCAAGTGCGGCATATCGCTCGCGTTCATTTTGCAAGCTTTGTTGCAAATCCACCGCCCATTTTGCCAGTCGTACTTGAGCCAGCTTCTCCTCTTGCTGGGTGTAATCTGCTACTCGTGCCAAAGCGTAGTTGGAAGCTCCACCGAGCGCAACAGGGGCCATTATTGCATTTGAAACTGGATTGGAAGGCGACATCAAGCCACCAGGGCTCACAGAGCGTCGGCGTAAAGCAGTCGGGCCAGCCGTATTCGACCGCTGAGGAGCCAAGACAGTTGCGTTTTGAGTCAGCTTCTTGGCTGCAGTATGACGAAGCCAGGACATATTATCACTATCAAATATCTTTCCAATCAATTCATGGAGTTCAGACGCAACTAGAGGCTGGACATAGTCCGGACTCATCAATACACTTGCATCCATGTTATCATCATCACTCGATTGCGCTGACGAGACTGCGAAAAGCGATTGTGATCGTTCATCTACCGGTACATTTTCGGAATCTCCGAAGGAAAATAGCCGGACATCACGCTGCTCAATTTGTTTATAGAACAACTTTTTCAAAGACATGATCTGAGTAGCGGAAATTAAATCGGCCTTCGAAATAAGAGGGACCACGTTGCTGAATTCGCACAGTTTACAAATGCATTCGATGTCCATAGAGAGGGTTTCTATTATGGGTTAGATATAGTAGTAATCACAATCTAGTTGGCATGCGGCTAACCTTCAGAAATGAGATAAAGGATCACGTCGACTTGAGAGCCCCCATTCCCACCCAGCATATTTCGAAGGTCAGAGTTAGGATTGCTGACTGAAGAAATAGCACGGGATAACTGCTGTCTCATGTACTGGATGATGATGTCTGTGGTCTGACTTCTTCGACTAGTGCTACCGCCGGACGCCGAGGTATCGACGAAGCATAGATTCCGCTCTAAAACAGCCTCTCCATTGTTTTTGCGTCGTCGAAGCACGCGTGAATCTTCGAGGTCAGACCACCACGGCGGATAGGGTTTGGTGCTTGCATAGATCTCTGTAAGTGTAGCGCTATTAGACCTTTTGAGACTTGATTTCGGGCCGGGGTGTCCATTTTCTGGTGATGTCGAGCCTTCTACAGGATCAACATGAACGATATCATCGCATGCCTGGAAAATCGACTTGATTAACGAAGATTTGCCGCAACCTATCAAACAATTGTTTCCACTATATGAGCTTCACTATCCCGATGAATGATAATAACGATGTGAAATATGTATTTACCTTTTGATCCAGCAACAAGAATTTTGAAACGGCCAAAGTTCTTGCCTCTATCGGTAAACGGACGTCGGCTTGGCATGCGGATACTGGGCATGATCAGTTGCGAAGAGCTGTCATCTAATCCATGATGGTTATGAGAATGGTCGCCCATTTCAGGAGTGTCTTCATCCTCGCCGCTCGATGCTAAAGCCTGACTGCTGATTTCATCTGTTATTGATAAGTCATCCACAGGTTTGAATGAACGTGTTGACGTTGATTTGGGACTGCTGGGCAAGCTAGATGGTTCGTCAGCTAGGCCGAATGGAGTCAGCGGGCGCGACGGCCCAGGCGAAACTCGGGAGAGGGTCTTGGATAGCGGTGTGTCTGATCGATCAATGTGTTGTAGGAAGTCCGAGGGTTTGAGAGTAGTTCTACGCCGAGAATTTGCATCGTAACACTCATTCACATTCGAATCCCGACGATATGCGTCCTCTTTGACACCAAGCGAGAAGTCTGCAGAATTAAGGGTGTCTTCTAAACTCTGTACGCCGTAAGCGTTGTCTCTGGAAGATGAAAGGCCGTCGTCATGCATTTCTCTGGCCAGGAAGAAGGAGGTGGGAGTATCGGTCTCGGAGCATAATGGAACGGACTGGTCGGCGGGGGAAGGTTTGCGAGGAGGTGAAGCCAGGAGATCGGGGACGACAGGGCGCATTTTGATGACATCTATATTGCGCAGGTGGGTGTTCTAAAGGCACGACGCATGGTCTCATGAAGTTGTTGGGTGTTTGTCGTGGGCTTGTCCGGTGATGTTATCGGCTGATACGGCGATGATGATGAATGATACGGTGATAAGGTCACGTGGGGCGGGCTGTCCGAAAACCGACCAATGGCCGCTGGGGTTTCCCCGCGATGGGCCGGGACTAGCGTGCATGCACAAAATTATGTAAGTTTCGACGGATTCGGAACGCTGTATTAGCTAGTATTGGAAATACCAACTATATAATCTTCATAGGCTTCTTAAGGCTAGATTTATGCTTCTCCAGGGGCTTACTGGTATCTCTTTTTAGAGGGAACATGTTCACAATGTCTATCCTTCCGCAATAATATCACTCATGTTATAATTGTTTATATTCACATAATCTGCAAAGTCATCTCTAGTGGGACTTTGACACCAGCGGAACGATCTCATGTTAAATGGATAAACGACTTCATTGGTACATATTAACTTCAGCCAAAAACACATAGGATGGACACACGCGAGACCGTTTCTGATTGCCCGCAGTTCTGTTGACAACTTCGTGGGATCCATGAATACTAACAGCTGGCTAATGCAGTATGAACGCCTCTCTCACCACTATTCGCCATCTCGGAATCCGGAAATGCGGTCTACTTGATCCTTGTTAGTGTCCAACTGAACTAACCAAGGAAGTTTCTCACTTGGTATGTAGAAACGTTAATCGCAGAAAACAATATAAACTGCGATCATGATAGCTCATCTCTATCTAAAATTGGGTTCACGTTATATCAACTACAATCTGCGCAGAGACTATACCAGTCACGCATATTGGGGCTCGAGTCAGATATTGAGAGGTTTAGACCTGGAAACCAGTACAGCAGAAGTTGTTATTATAAAGGAGAAGATACATTCTTTTTTAAAAGATAACACGCTATTATGGATCAGTCTTGGACTGTTATATAAAAGATTTGAAAATATGCCTGGGTTTTGAAGGCATATATTTGTTTTTATAAGATATCTCCCCCCACCCCCCCTTTTGCATCCACAATCATTGGGTTTATGGGGATGAATTGTAACTTTTGTATATATAGAGGGGAATAACTACTCTTTAGAGCTTAAGAGACTACCAAGGATAGGCTATCTATCCATTCAAGTCCATTTAATTAAAGGCATTGGTCATGGTGCTATTTCTTCTAAGGATAGCTTTGAAGTATTCCTTCAATCTGATTTTGAATGGCGTGTCAAGTTAGTCATACAGGCCAGATATAAGAGAAGTAAGCATTCTTTGATTTGGAAGTTAATACTTACGCTATAATCCAATTAGTTCTTCATAAAAAATATGAAAATACTGAAAAAATTTCTACAATACGTGTCCTCTTTCTTCATATTCTTAACATGGTTGATTATCTTAATCATTATACATAAGAGGGTTTAATAAGTTTAGATAATGCTTTTAAGGCCTCCCTTTTTATCTCTATCAATACTTGGTTTCTGCTAGCTCTTATTAGAAAGGTTTATTTGACTATCAATTTCAGTAAACTTTTTTCAAACCCAGTGATTCTACTTAACTATTGATTTATTTATTCTTAGCCAAGACTCCAAGGTACTCAATACAGATTTTAAGAGTTGAGCAGCAGTCAGCATAGCTAATATAAAATTAGAAGAACGAGTTAGAGCACACTTTATAAAAAAATTAAATAGCAAGATGCAATGCGCTGTCTATGTTGAATTTTTATATCCCTCTTCTCTAGCCGCGCAATGTACAACATGTAAGATGCTATGTCATATATGGTGTATGTACTCGAACTAGAAAATCTGCATTTAGATACCACTGTGTCTCAAGAACTTATTATTCTCATTACTGAAGGAAGCAAAATAAAAAAAAGATATCTTAGATCAAGAAGATCTAAAAGAATATATATCTCATCAATGAGTCTCTTTTCTTAATCTATCAACTAATTGGTGTTCTCACTATGAATATTCTCTATCTTTGGGACAGGGAAATCAGGTGGGTACTAATAGGCAATGTAAAGCATGTAAAATTACTTGTCATGCTCAATGTCAAGACTTCATGGGGAAGAGATGTGACCTCCAGAATGCTCCCCCTTCTCATATAAATCTTATAGGCTCTTTCGAGCCTCTTAGCGAGTGGCTTCCTCAATCTGGTAGAATACGCGAGCCTCGGCCAAAGACTCGGATCAAATCATATCTTGATTAGGATAAGAGACATTATGTTCAGTAGGTTAGATAACAGTCAATATCATACCATTCTACACTAGGAATTTGCTTATAGTTATTTCAGAAGATGGAGCTAGATATTGAGTTAGTTTTGTCCTCTAGCGTACCACGAGTATAACATTGAATACAGAGTATTCAGAGTTTCTACCCTATAAATCTACCTAGCATTGACCTTCACCAAGGTTAGCAAATAACGTATTCAGAAAAAACATTTCCGTTTTATTTGGAATTTCTCTCTTATAGTAATATACGCCTTTGTATATCTTGTAGTAAGAATGTCGTTCTCTTTTCTCTCCTGTCTTACACCTAACTGAGTATAGTTTCTTCAAACCTATTCGTCAGGTTTCATGGATATGCTTGACGGGCAGCACCATTCTTGGGATCCTGAAAAAGGACTCGAAAAGTAGATGCCTGAACACTATCTTACCACGCCGTATTCGTCTGGACATGTCTCCATCCGCCCCCACGGGCCCGGGCAGCCGACAATTTCTCAGCTTGGAACTCTCAACAATTAAGAAATGCCACCTGGAGCGAGTATGACTCGATTTAAAACAGCCTGTTCCTACACCGCACTCTTCTTTCTCGGTTGATCTTGACACCGAATTGTCCCATCCATCATGTCGGTCAGTGCATAACCTCTCTATATGAGTTAATCGATTGGCCACTGACTACGTTGGCGAGTGTTAAATTCCGTCAGGGTTTGTTGTTACATGCTTCCTTCAGATCAAAAGGGAAAGGCTGGGCATTCATCTGACAGGATAATAGTGTGGATATCCCGAATGAATGCATAACCGCCTTCAACGAGCTCGTCTATACGAAAGGAGCAAAGAAGCCTACCTTTGTGATTTACAAAATCTCCGAAGACAAAAGTTCCGTCATTGTGGAGGACAGCTCTTCAGATAAGAATTACGAAGCATTCCTCCACAAGCTCACTTCGTCTGTTGACCATGAAGGGAACCGTGCACCTCGTTACGCAGTATACGACGTTGAGTATAATCTAAAAGACGACGGTCGAAGGTATTGCTTTTCTTGTTTGCAGATCTCTGTTTAGGCATTCAATGTCTCTGCTAATGTCTTCTACTAAATAGAGCAACAATTGTCTTCATAAGTTGGATGCCCGAGGAAACGTCTACCCGGGTAAGTTTCTTCTTTCAATCTCATGACATGTTTCGTAATAACATTACCAGTTCCGTATGCTGTATGCCGCCACGAAGGAGCAGCTTCGAAGAGCCCTTGATGTCAAAGTTTCGATTCATGCCGATGACCTGCGTGACATAGAATGGAAGGTGGTTTTGAGAGAAGCTAGTGGGGGACGAGTTTGAGTTGATGAAGTCGGCATAGTTTGATTGATTTAGATTTTCATGTCTTGCTGTACTATTAGTAACTGTCAAATAATCCAGATTCCAACAAGGTGCCATATCAGACAGACAGAGAATTCGACATGCCATTGTTCATGTGACCTGGGAAAGCTGCCTTACTTATCGGGCCATCGGGTCCGCGGGTCCGCGGGAGCGAAGGGATGATTTCATTCCTGCAGCTTGATTTTTCTGTAGTTCAAACATGAAACTGCAACTTCTAACACAGTATGGACCCGGAAGAAACAATACAAGCAAGGCGCCGTAGGCTTTCGTCAATTCCACGTGCGGTAAGACTCCGATAATGAGCTTTCTGTTCTCAATGTCTAATCCTTTTCGGATGTAGTGCGAGGGATGCAAAATTCGCAAGGTCCGTGGCCTTTTCCCAAGGAAATGATGTTTGCTGAGAGCCTTAAAAGATCCGCTGCGATCGAACAATACCTTGTGCGAACTGTCAGGCATCTAATATTACATGTCGACATCCTAACGACAAGTTGAGAAGCTAGCTACAAGCTGATAAAGTAGCTCATCTGTATATGTTGCGGGCGAATCTCTAGACTCAAGAAAAAAGGCTAACATATGTCCAGTGAAGGTCTCGTAGACCGCCTCGAGAGACGGCTTTGCAGCGTAGAATGCAGACTCGTTACCTTGGAACGATCGCAGCCAATCTCTGCGTCTGATCCACAAGTCTCGTCTCCCTGTTCCCCGCCGATTGACGAAGGTCGCCTTTTCGAAGGTCACGCCTCGTTCACAAATCAGTCTTTCCAAGCCAGTAAACATGCTGAAATAGCAGCCCTCTCTGCTTGTACAGGTGATGACTTGAATATCGATCACACTCTTCAAGAGCTATAGAGAACTCTGCGCGCTTCACAAGATCTATCAAAATCTAATTTTTTTTTTTTTTCGCAAATCAAGCTCGCAGTTCATACCAACTGCTCACCCTCTGCCTGCTACCTTAGTGACTTGTATTCTGCAAAGAATGAGAGGTATGTTTCGCCGATTTTACATGGCAGATACGTTTACTGTGTTGCTGAACTATCTTAGTTCGCCGTCCCATTTTCCTTTCCTCCTATGCCATCAGTGATCTATCGTTAGTTGACAATTTATGCCGAAAGGTCTATTCTACGTCTGATCTGGCATCGGCCGGCGAAATTGCGAGTATGCATGGAGTTTTATTCTTTGTTCTGAAAGAGCTTATAGCAATGAAAGATCCGCTTTGTCAGAAGTTCGATCTTCTTACCTACTTGGATCACTGTGAACAGAACTTTGTCGCTGCGATTGAGACCTATGAAGTGCTTGCTGTCCCAGCGTTTGAAAATATCCTTGCATTGACTATGGGCGTAAGTATTACCAACTGCACATGACTCCACTAGATCTTTCCACTGTCCTTTTTCCTACATCCATGAAACTAACCGAAAACTTTCAGATGCTCATGTCTCAGGGAGAAGCAAAACCTCATCTATATTGGAAACTCGTTTCTGCTGCTGTCATGCATTGTCAATCTCTCGAGTATCATTTGGAAGCAACATATCAAAGCATCCCATCTAGTAAGGCAGAGAGCATCCGACGGTTGTTTTGGACAGTATACGCCTTCGATAAGAGCATGTCTCTTGTTTTGGGTCGTGCCTCTCATATGCAGGACCTGAGAATTGACACAAAGTATCCTACCATGTCGCAAGACTTGACTCTCCGAGCCTGGGATGAATCTTTCATTATGGGAATAAGGCTTGCGGAAATTCAGGGTCGGATCTTTGTTGGTCTTTACTCTACTTGTAGTATGATCAGGGACTCATCCGAACGGGCGCAACGCATTAGTGACCTTGCAGATGCGATGGAAAAATGGCATCTTGAATTTAAACAGGTGAAATGAGTCTACTCACCATTTATCTACCTCTGTCAACTGAACTGACAATCTATAAGATTGATTCGGAAGGAATCAATAACCCCCAGGCTTTTTATCTAACCAGAGGGAACGGGGACATTCAATTCTATTCAACCCTCACGCTGCTTTTCCATGCATCTTCGGCTATCGGACAAGATCTGCAAATTGGACCCCATTGCTTTAATGCAGCCTGTAATAGTTTACGGGCTCATCTGGAAGTTTTCCCTCGATACCAGAAATCCCAACTACTCTCAGATGGGGACTATTTCAATTGGTTTGGCCCCCATCTTCTTTCGCTCTGTGGAATTAATCAACTGCCTGGCTGACATTTTCCAGGATTCTTCTGTCTTCTTCCTTCGTCCCATTTATTGTTACCTTCCTTCACGCTATTGCTGCAAAGGACATGGCAAATGTTACACTTCCTGAACAAGTGGTGGACACTCTGGAAAATTTCCGAAATGTCTCTCAAGGCTCAGAACGGCTTTATCAGATATGTGTCACCTTTACCCAGATAGCCAAGAAGCTGGTGCAGTCACAACGGTCGCCTATCGGGGGAATATACAACCAACAGCAGGACTCTCTATTACTTGTAGACAGCTCGCACAGCACATCTCTTTTCGATTCCGAGACTCTCCAAGAAATCTTTGACTCTGATGATATGAATGGCGTTAACCCATCATATGCCATGGATACTCTGAATGATTGGCTCAGTGGACCGCCTTTCCCGTGGGACAAACTTGATGTGGACATTGGGAAGGGACAATGATTAAGGAACTTGGCCTCTTTGTCAGTAACAACTTGTCAATCTGAGAATCCGTATATGATAGTCTGCTATGCTTATATGTACATGCCCTAAGTGGTTGGGACCCCCGGGGGGTTATAAGATCTGGATGTCAAGGGTCATTAAGTATATCGGTTGTATGATTCCCATGTTTTATTATCGCTTCCTAGCGAGGATTTTCTCTACTCTAACCGCCTGTCTGAAGGATAAATGTGAAAGAGGCGGCAAGTATGGTCTGACTATATCTTTTCGGTCTAGATCACAATCATCTCCCTCTACCTACTTGTTAACATCTGCCACATTGGATCACTTTCCAGCGCATCTAGATGGTCTCTACGCAACATGATCATTACTTCAAGTATTTCTGGAGATATAGACCGTTGGCGTGGCAGAATAAGAGCCACCCCGTCTGCTTCCATGTGAGGCAGCCTCACGAACTTTGGTTTCCCAAGCACATTGCCGAAGTCTATCCCATATAGCTCAAGGTCCGCCCAGTTTGTAATAGTGAGATCGCGTGATCCGAAGAGGTCCCAGCCCACGAAAAGAGAACCGACACGATCCTCTGTGCAACTTGCCAGCTGGTAGACCTCTGCGATGTGACGCGATGTAATCGTGGAACGTGATTGTGATCGTGCAATTTCATCGCAGATTTTAGCCAGCTCACGTACAGGAGTTTCATCGGATTCAGCCAAGACCGTAGCTGGCATTTTGGACAGGGAGTAAAACACTGCATTTCCAAAATACGGAGATCCAGGACGAGAAAAGGTCTCGCTAATACGTGGTCGACCATTGACTGCCATTGCTAATCGACTCATCTCAATTCTAAGGGATGGATTGTCTTGCATTCGGACCCGAGTGACCGTGGGCCAGATAAGTGCGCATATCACCACATTCGTGGTCGGTGGTATTAACGTATATTTACGCATGAGAGTTTTCAGAATATCAACCCAGCGTATCGAGATCGTGAATAACTTGGCTGTACATGAGGAGGGCATTTTATCTGGTAGAGCGGGTGGCATTTTGGAGTACTCCGGGTGCAACGCGAGTAAATCTTCGGATGCGATAGAGGAAACGCGTGTGAGATCATACGAGAGCGCTTCCGAAAGACGCTCCGATCTAGTTTGTGACGAATCTGAGAAGGTGAAACTATTGTCGACTACGTTTTGAGCCCACAGTCGCATGATTTCCGAGAATCCAATACCGTCGACAGCATTGTGGTGTAAACAGACACACAAGCCTGCACCTTGATCAGCGAAGCGAAATATACTTGCAGCGAAAACAGGAACCCCCAACACATCGTCAATGCTTGGGCCCGGCCACACGCTTGATGGAATCGCTTTTGTGAACACTCCATCAGAGGCTGCGCATTTGTATGACGCCGCCACAGTCCCTTTATCGACGATGGTTGGCGCATGATTCGCATTCCGTCGAATTTCGAGAGAAGCATCTCTATCTTGGACTGATTTGGTTGAAAAGACCCGCCCGGATAGCCAAGGAACTTGTTTCAAAAGTCTATCAAGACCGGATCCGAGATTTTGAATAATTTGTAGTATTGAACCAGCCTGTTCGAAAACAAAAAGAACCCGGATATAGGTTTTGGGCATGAGCAGATCTAGCGGCGTTAGTCGCTCGATGTAAGTTGGTTCGGCCATGGTTTTCTGTGCTCAAAGTCCAGGGATACTGACATTATTATTATTTATCTATTTCAAGGGAAGTACAGTACTTATTGTACCAGACCTTATAGTAAACACTCACGCCTGGCTCCGTGGGACCATGGGTCCAGAGGTCCGATACGATGGATACCATGAGTTGTTATTAGGGCTATCATATCAGATTCTGATTGGAGATACGCAGATAAGTCACGTGGGAGACCCCCGCTGGCCAATGGCGTGGAGGCTTCCCCGCAGCGGCCCGAATGGGACTAGCGGGTATATATGCATAACATGGACTGGCGTAATACGATACGTACTCCATACGGAGCATTACACTCGCCGTTAAATTACGACTACTCCGTATGCAGTAAGTAGTGAAATACGGAGCTCTATCTCCTCCTGGCTCGGATGAATGCACAACTTTTTCTTGTCTTGTACTCTGTTCTAGATTACATGCAGGGGCGGAGTCCCCGCGCAGTGCAGAACGTTTTTACTGGTGTTGGCGCCTTTGCCGCGTCTCGAGCATGATCGGATCTAGATTCTCAGACTGGGCGAGCATAAGGAGTCTCAGCCATTAATAACTAGCATTGCAGTAACTAACTTACTGCTACTCGAATTCGCAAGTCGGAGGACAGCAAGCGAATCAGCGGAAAATAAAAATGTACAGGGCTCCATACAGACCCATAGTGCAGCTCCACAGTAATCCGTAGTAGTAAGATAAATTCCGTATTAGCCTGTCCAGCGTCGCTACCAGGCGTCAAATTGGGGTTTGGGTTTTTTCGTCCTTTTTCCTCTCGCTCCCAGGCTTACTACGTCCATCGTCTCGCTCTCGCGCCGTGAACTAGCAAGTCGCTCGCAGTGTCGGCCACCTGCGGCAGCCGTGAAGAAGAGAAAGCGCCGTGATTTTCCCGTGGACGATAATCGGAGCCGCTCCCGAAAAACCCCCCCCCCCCTAAGTCGTCCTGCACTACCACCACCATAGTTGCCTGACCATGGCAATGGAGCACGACACGGCCTTGGCCTGGCCGGAGCAGCTGCCAGAGGAGACGCTGATGGCAACCGGCAATGAAGATGATTTCTCGAATTTTCTGGAATTCGGAATGGATTTTGCCGACCTGGACGGCCAGCAGCAAGCAATGCAGCATGCCAATCACCACATCGCAACTTCACTGGCAGACGAAAGTCGTATTGCCGCCACTACGCAGGCACAGCAGTTCCAGCCCATGATGAGCGAGCAATTAGCCATTGGGATCCCGGGTAGTGGCTCGGTAGACGAGTCCGCCTTTCGATTTTCGCAAGAGCAGCAGCCAGTGTTTCACCAGCAGCAGCACCACCACCACCACCAACATGCAGAGAAGCTCGTTCAACAACATCAACACCAGCACATGGACTCCCATCGTTATCAGGACGGCCAACATATGATTCCCCCAACGCCAAACAGCATTGAGCTCCATGGCGGTGCGGCTCGTTACATGCAGCGCGTTGACCAAAGCAATGATCTATATGAGCATTACGGGCAGATAAGCGACGAGCAGGTAACACAATCCCAGCCCGCTTTCGAATTATCTCCGCTTGTTCTCCAATTGACTATTTACCTCTTTTTTTTTTTTTTTTTTTTTTCTCTAATGGAATGTAACAGGCTACTGCCGCTTTCTACACTCCCCTGGTGTCACCGGCAATGACACCCTTGGAGACCCAATTTCGTCTTCCGGAATACACCATACCAGGCGAATATTTCACTCCTCTTACGTCTCCTGCTTTGGAAGCCCAGAACCCGAATTCAAGCACTTATCCTTTCATAACGCAGTCGCAACAAAGTGCGCCAGTTGATACAAATGGACTTGCAATGACCTCGGCTCCCTCGTCACCAGCAGTGTTCAAAAAGCAACGACAGGCTCGTCGCCCTTCCACTGCAACTCGAACTGGAGGTCGTGCAGCCAAAGCGTCACCGTCAATCCAGGCAAAGAATTGGCGAAAGCAGAATAGGAATTCACAACTTCTTGCCGATGACCTCGCAAATAACAACACCCCTACGTCGGAACAAGGAGCCAATCGGTCTGGAAACAATAATGTGCTTAGCTCACTGCGCTACAGCAGCAATGAAAGCTCTCAGGATTCCGTCTCACCTGAACCCATCTCGGAGCCTTTAATGCCACCTCCCGCATTGCCGCACAAGTCACCGGCAATAGTCCCGCAACTATCAGAATCCAAGTCGAGTGCGCCAGCGACCCCGGCAACATTAATGCGGATCAGTAACCGGCCCCAGCATACACAGGACCCATCAGGCCAGTTTTCAGGACAAGCGAGCTTGGTCACGAGCGAGCCGCAGGATGAGCTCATGGAGGATGTGGTACTTCCAGAAGCCGCAGCTACCACAGAAATTCGTCCTCGACCCAGCCGTATCAATACTTCTATCGTTGGTAAGAACGATAAGAACAAATCGTCTGTCAGCACTCCCACTGTGGAGCCGCAGTCCGCTTCGTCTCGCCGGCCCTCGGGGTCGCTCACACCAGGATTACAGCCGGGGGCTATGCCATCTCCTAGTGGGTTAATCCCTAAGAAATCCGACTCCAAAACCCCAACAAGCCGGAAACGACAGAGCATCACCTCTTCGCATGCTAGCCCTGCCCTTCGTCCAAGGATAAGCCCCAGCATCCAGCCTCTGGTTCGCGGAGATGGTGAGTATCTTCATTCAATCCAAGAGCAAGAGACAAAACTAACCTTCACTAGGTATCACGAGCGAATCATCAGCATTATACCTTGCATCAAAGTCGAATTACCAGCATATTCTTGACGGCACCGTTCTCCCGGGTGTATCGTATCCAGAAGCACTTGCCGAGAACCTGAGCAGCAAACGAACAAACCACAAGCTGGCAGAACAAGGACGTCGAAATCGAATCAACACGGCACTGAAGGAAATCGAAGCTCTCTTGCCACCTGGCTTCGCACAGGAACGCGCAATCAAAGAAAACAAAGAAGCAACTGACGAGAGCAAAGACAAAGACAACAAAGAGAAAAACACACCACCCACAATCAGCAAAGCCAGCACCGTCGAAATGGCAATCGATTACATCAAAGCGCTAAAGCAGGAGTTAGATGCGACAAAAGATCAATTGAAAAAAGCCGAAGCCAAACTTTCAGGACAACCAGCGAACTCCGTGGACGAGGAACATGCGGCCAAAGTCAAAGCATCTTGACGGTCAAATTCACAAACAACCCCCCCCTCCCCTCCGACCTCCTCCCCTTTGTCATTTCATCTCCCCTTACTACCTACTACCTAGAATAGGTATGTTGAATACCTATCATACCATCCCAATCTAGACCTGATTTATCCATTCCTTGTTATCAATTCGATACGTCGATTGATTTATTTCTATCCGTAAAAGAGGCGTTCCAAGGCGGTTGGTTTATTACCCGTTGGAATACATTATAAACTCCCACCTTTTTTTTTTCCCTTGATTGTCTGACCTGATTTTTACGTGTTGACGAATTTTCCTTAGATGTATGTATTCAATGGATGAAAAAGGTGGCTTTCGTGATGCGTTCTTTCTGTGCATCTTACTTCACTTCGATGGTTTTATATTTAGATTTAGGTCATTAATGGAAATAGTTATTTGGTAATTAACGACTTTTCCAAATTTTTGTTTATGATTTTGTCTCTACAATATATATTTACCTAATTCTTTAAAACCCATGAGCAAACGACGCAGCCACTCCAACCCATAGCCAATGAAAATAGTCGACTCGCGTCGAAACCTATCCTTCTAGTTATTTTATAATAAACAGCCAATCAAGTATAATGAAACAAAGGATAAAAATTTAATCATCCAGTTCCATCGTTTCATTGTTACAATTCTCGTCATCGTCATCATCATCAGTTGATAATGAATATACGGATATCCATTGTTCCCCTTTCACCACTGTATCGTCGATTTGTGCCGGTTGTTCAGAACATGGTATCCATTTATTTTCGAAGTCAGCACGTAAAACTGTACTGTACCAGCGACAAGTCCCATCAGAAGAAACTGTTTGCGTCTGTATCTGACTCATCAAGTCTTCTCTCATCCAGAACTTGACGCTGGCGTTGTCATCGCTGTCGTGAGTGTACGTGAACGTCGATATGAGTATGCAGCCTTCGTCAGGGAAAGGAAAGTTCATCGATGCTGCAGTAGGAACGTAGTCAGGGATGTTATAAATCATCAGTAGCAATCTTCTGCCATCCACCATAGGCAAAGGAAGCGCCTTATTGAAATTGATGCTGTACTGACAAATCGAAGCAGGAGATGGTAAGCCGGTGGCAATTGGACTGAAAGGTAATACACGCTGAAACATGGTTGTAAGCGTGGACAGTTCCGGGATAAAGGGTGCTGCACTGCTGCCATATACATCTTCCAATGCTGCCATGCTAGCGGTATTGTTGCGTCGGGGATTGGATTCGTCCGGTGTCCTTGGAGGAGATGGTGAGGCGTTCACCCCGTCACCTAAGATCTTTGCAAGGACATCGGCTAGCCAATGAGCGGGATAGCCCACGTCATGTAAGTGAATGAGGATGTCGAAGAAGTTGGCCAAATTGGACGCCGAGGTTTCGCGGTCAGAGTTGTTGCCAGCTAAGAAGCTTCTACCACATGGCGCAGCCAGCCTGAAGAATTGAGTAATCACAAACCGCGTCAGCTCCGCGCGTGAAAGTAAATGTTCGTATGGAAAGGCTGCCGGTCGGACCCGTTTCAACTCCAGTATCAATGACGAGGACGTGGATCCCGATTGCCCTTTCTTTCCAGTCACTCGCAACTGGGAAGTTTTGAAGAGTGTTTCTCCATCGCTGGTAGTCATGCAGCGACTGTGACTTTCTTCATGGAAATCCTTCCGAGAGTCCAAACGGCGTGTGCTGATCACGAGTCTCGCATCCTGGGAACCGTTTAAAACTTTGCCAGCATGTATTATCCTGGAAAAATCACTGCTGCCCACACAACCAGCCGCGTTTGACAGATGAACCAAATCAAAGACAGCAGGGGCTGCAGTATCACGGTCTTCAACTAGGCCATATCGCACCTCCTCAATCACCTCGGCGAGGTCATTCAGAAGGTACTCAGCACTAAGCCGACCACGAATCCTGCGAATTGCAACCACCACCATTTGGAAAAAGCCCGAGGCATAGTCAAACAACTTCGTCTTCCGAGGGCCGCCTCTCTCTTGGATAGAAACGGCGTTATACAGAGTTCGGCAGACGTCGAATGGGTTTTCAGAAACCGCCACACCGAAGACACTTGTCTCTCTAAGGTGCCAACCCTCACCATCGATAAGAGTTGGATTGACGCACCAGTGCTCAGTTATGTAACTAGACAGCTTCTCTCCCGGGGCATCTGTCTCTAACAGCTGTAATAACTCTGGCTCATGCTCTCTCATTACACTTCGCGGAGCTTGCAGGAACGGGGCCTCGAAATATGTTTCAAACTCTTTTCGACATCCCGATGGCGTCCGGGAGTAGTCGTCGGAGCCATAAAAATTTTTGTATGACATGGTAACATCTTTCAGACCTTGCACGGTTTTGTCGATGACGTCGCTCGTAGGACACGCATTGATGATATTACAATCCTGCCATAACTCGAGAGCGGAGATTACTTTCGAGCAATCTGTATCATAAATCTGTAGCCATGGAAGAACAGGTTCATTGTTCCTTAGTCGGCCTATTACCAGATCAACGGTACGAAAAAGGCGGGCTAAAGCATAGCGCGGTATAATCACTCCAGCGAACATATAGTACACCAGGGTATAGATTTCCGTTCTTTCGACCTGGGGGAGATCAGCCACACAAGCCAGGTCGTCCAAGAGCACCGAGAGAACAAGGTTTCGGCCAACAGCGGCATTGTTATTGTCGTTCAATGTAAAATGGTATTTTCGCTTGGAAAAAGATGCCGATTGTATAGACATACGTTCAGTAACGCCAAGAATCGCCAGCTGAGCATAAAAGTGACGTGCGTCACCAACACCGCCGAGAAAAACAGACAAGTTCCTCTCTATGTCGGAATGTACGGCGAAGTCGACCAAATTAGTGACCTCGTCGAGACTACTATTCTGGAGGGCTTGTTGACGACCACTGTTTAGATGCAATGTTGCGTATGGGAATCATCATTAGACATATTGCCAAAGATATCATTCTTTCTCTACCGGTTTAAGTAGCAAAAAATACTCACAAAGACGGTCGAAAACGAGGTAATTCTGTCAAAAGCTTGAGTCTATACATGTCGATATTGGGGACGGCTCGCCATAGTGTCTCTGCATGGACCAGAGTCTCTCGGTACAGGCGTATCTCGTCGATTGATAACGGACTTTGAGCACCGGCACCCAATCGATCTAACCATTGTCTCGCCGCGTCGAAGTCGTGCGCATGTAGGTAGGCCCTGATCAGTCGGGGAACCAACTTCTGTTCGGCAGCAGCACTGGTATTAGAGCCATTGGCCTGGTCATGTCTTTGGCAGATGGCCAGAGCCCGCAGGGCGCTTTGGATGGATTCAGCCAAATTGCCGCCCTCGTAGTAGGCGGCGGAGAGGTTGGACCATGGGAGATAGTCGTCGGGAGCGGCCTGGCGAGCGGCCTGCTGGTAAGCTTTGATGGCTATATACAGTCCCCTGTTAGTTGTGTGTAGTTTGGAGTGGAAAGAGTCAAGAAGTGATGAAAAGGAGAAGGAGCAGTTTCGAGGGCGCGATGATCATGTGACCGCGCACTCGGGATTGGCTAGCGACTCACCGTCAGTCAGCTGGCCTCTCTTGTACAAAGCGTTGCCTCGTTCGCGGAGCTGCTGCGACATCTTTCCGTCGACATTAGATCAGAAATGAAGGGCGAAGAATGAGCTGGCAGCTAGTGGAGGGAAGCAAGGCCCTGAAATACTTGGAGCAACATCAGAAAAAGAAAAACCAAAAAGATCTTGCGGTGTCTCTTGTCTCTGGAGCTGGCATTCTCGCAGCGACCGCCTCGACCGCCAAGGTCAAAGACACAGAATCTGGAGCTGATCTGTCTGCCGCTCACCGCTAGTTAGGAACCCGTAATCCAACGGCCTGGTCCTAGACCCAGGGGCAATTGCAGATGCAAAGGAACAGCGCATGATGGAGTTTCACCAATCCTTTCTTTCTATCCGAGGATAAGCACTCCGTAACTGGAGTATACGTGCTGCAGCTCTCCGACGTGTCTAATTGGTACCTAACAAAATGGAGCATCAGGCCTTCATCCTTCTAGACTTGTGTGTGCCAGGTAAGTTCAATAAAGCAAGAAGTGAAAAAAAAAAAAAAAAGGAAAAAATGAAAAAAGAAAAAAGAAAAAAGAAAAAGTAGATCTGCCTAAATTTATCTGTACTACACTTATCCTGAAAGCGTCGTTAGGGCTGAAAGTCTGTAGCCCTCAATATCAGTGCGCCTGTATTGGTTCGAAGCTTTTTGAAACCTTTCTGTATTAGTGCTTGCCCGATTACCGCATTGATAAACTGATATAATCATCGACAGGATATCCGAGACTCTATTATAAGCTTCTCTAATACCTCAAGGATGAGGAAAAATCGTGCCTTGAGCCACATATTCGTTCGACGTGTGTGCACCGCGGCGCCGGGATGAAAATGCCTCAGGCATTTCATTAAAGAACTAACTACCCATAGGCTGTGTCTATTATGAGACGCAGACCAAAATGTGTGGAATGCCACAAGCCGAAATTCAAGCCTTACACGAGAGCCTCAGTCCATGAGTAATCGGACGCAGTTGTAAGAGCGTTCTACCTAGGTACGATATGATGTATTATGTATATTACAGGTTACAGCATCATCTAATAACATGTATCGTTCTTTCAAAGCAAAGAATTTCTTACGTGATAGACAAACACATACCCAGTTCGATGCGGTATACAAAGCAGCCAATCAAACAAAAGGGAATATGCTAAGTGCCGAAAAAGGAAAGAGAAGGCAAACAAAAATAACAAAAAACAAAAAAAGAAAACGTAGAGAAAAGACAACATCCAATATTTATCAACAGTTTTCTAGTACACATCCGCTCCAATACGCCTCACGCTGGCTAAAGACCTTCTTAGTCTTCGAAGAAATTCATAATTGCACGGATGCCACGTGATCCCAAACCATGAGGCGGGTAAGCAATGTACAAGGGCTCCTCGCGAGCTCCCAATTTCATACGGAACTCGCTCTTCCGTGTCAAGTGGAATTGCTTGACCACGGCTTCGTATGTATGCTGCAAAATGCGCACCTTCCCGCCCTTCATGTGATGACCCGGCGTCAGGCGATCCGTAGCACCAGCACCAAACGTGAGTGACTTGATTCCTGATCTGGAAGCCGTCTGGATGGCGTGCGTGGAAATATATTCAATCGTACCGCTCGGTGCGTCTGGGAAGTCCAGACTGTACTTGACTTGCATCCCCTGTCGGGGTGCCAGGGTGGCCAGCGCAACGAATGCTCCAATATTACCGTTTTTGTCGCTGGCATAGAAGTACCAACGATGTTCGTAGTCGCGCCAGGGAACAATCTCTGAGAGATGGATCTGAGTCCCCTTGCGGTTGGACAGCCAGTCCTCAATACGTTTGTCGATTTTCGCTCTAACCTCCTCCGACGGTAATTCACCGCGCGGAACCTCCGTGATCTTTACGCCCTCATTTTCGGCATGCCGAATCTTTCGGGCAACTTCACTATCGGACGCCATAAGATTTCGAGCAGGGTCTACACGCTCCTCGGCAATACACGACAGACTTCGCCACCCCAGCTTCTCTCCTAACAACTCCTCGACGGGAGGAGAAATCAAAATCCAGATGGGTTTTAGTTTGGTTTCACGTTTCAGCCAATGCAAGAATGCACTTATAACACGAGTGTACTGACTTGGATCGCACAGTGGATCGCCAGGAATGATAGCATAGCTGTGACTCGGGATGTACGAAATTGCAGCACCGGTGATAGGATCTCGCCAGATTTGATACCGATCATCCATCCATGATGTAGATGTCGCATCGCCGTAATTGGCAATCAAGTGCTCGAGAGGTTGATATTCGTCATCACTAGCAGCTCTATGGGTGCGGTCGTGATCATCCTTCTGCCATGGTGGTTCAATAGTAGAAGATTCAGGGTGGCGAAGCTCAACCACCGGGGGCTTGGGCGGGAAGCTCTTAGGATCGCGATGGAAGAGCGAAGCTAGCCGGATATTACCCAGTTTCAGAAGAAGCATGACGAAACGCTCAAGACCGACACCAGCCCCAGCATGGGGCGGTGCTCCCCATCGGAATCCTTCGACGTAGTCCTCCATCTGACTCGGATTAATACCGGCCTTTCTCATGTTCTCTTCTAGCATGGTAGGGTCATGGATACGCTGACCACCGGAGACAATCTCCTGACCGCGGACGAACATATCAAAGGAGTTGGTAAAGCGGGAGTCGTGAGGGTCAGGCATAGTATAGAACGGGCGAGCGGAGACAGGGAATTTGTCGATGATATAGTAATCGGTGCCATACTTTTCCTTCACCAGCTCTCCAACTCGAATCTCATCGCGAGTGTGCAAATCCTCGTCTTCCGGAATCAACTCACCGTCCTCGCCGCGCCACCCAGAATCATTGAGAAGTTTGACTGCTTCTACGAACGGAATCACTGGCGTCTTTTCGGCGAGTACGACATCTTCAGAGGGGAACTGATGTTTTACGGCCTCGACCTCGCGACGGTACTTGCTATATACTCCGGTAATGATGTGGCGCAGCACGGCGTCAATGGTCTCAAGCATTTCGTGATAATGTTCATCAATAGCCATTTCAAGATCCAAACCAGTGTACTCAGTCAAGTGTCGATGGGTGTTTGAGTTCTCTGCTCGGAATACAGCACCAATTTCGTACACACGGCCAAAGTCGGATGCGATCGCCATCTGCTTGGCTAACTGAGGGCTCTGAGCCAGGAAGGCGGAACGCCCGAAATAGGCCAGTTCGAAGACGCTTGCACCAGATTCTGTTGCAGAACCCTGCAGCTTAGGGGTATGGATCTCAATGAAGCCTCGCTCATCGAGGGCAGTTCGCCACAGATTACCGACTGCAGACTGGATGCGGAAGATAGCCTGGGCGGTGCCGGTCCGGAGGTCAAGTATTCGGTTGGAAAGTCGAGTACGATCTGCGATGTGGCTATAGCGGCCCTCCACACGGTCTTCTTCTTCGGTACGGATCTCAGCTTCATAAACCGAGAAAGGAACAGCGTCTTCACGGCGAACCACAACATGGAGCTGTTCAATGGCGAGTTCAACATCATGATAGGTGCAACCTAAAACGGGAACGGCGGGGGTCTGCACGACACCCCGCACTTGAACAATGGTTCCTGTTCGCAAGTGCTCTGCCCAAGAGACCATTCCAACGGATTTCTTGCCCTCTTCGGCATGGAGTACACCCTGGAAAGTGGTCAACTGTTGGCGAAAGACCAAGAAAACCAACTTGGCGCTCATTTTACGAATGATGTGTAAACGGGCAGTGAAAAAGACCTCCTTATCGATCAGGTCAGTTGAGATATCGGCCAATCGAAGGCGCGGCTCGCGAGTGCGCTCCTGGCTTTGCACGAGAGGTAGGTCACCATAGCGCGCACGCATTTCGGGGGTCTCTTCACGGGAAAACTCCTCCTCTTTCTCATGGCGACGCTGCTCGGAGCTGGTTCTCTGTTCCTCGCTGAGGCGACTTCTGCTCTGGCGTTGCTGCTTACGAGCGATACGCTTTTGCTGGTTTTTGCTTATGGGCACCGAGGAGGAATCGTCGGACAAGTCGTCGGACGAGGAGATCTCATCGCGATCCCGTAGAAAGCCCACCAGCGAGCGGCGGGGAGACTGAGGGCTGGCGGAGCTCTCACTATCCACGCCGTCATGCTTTGGGCGGATCTTCGACAAAGCACGCCTGATGCCTGACATGGCTGGAAGAATTAAGGCCCTCTGTGGGCGAGACTATGTCTGAGAGTGGCGTGTAAGATGTGTGAGATGTGTGGAAATGTGCAAGAGGGTGACTGGCACTGACTGCTGCCGCGGGGGGGGGGTTGGTTCCTGCTGATAAGAAGATACGCATTAGCTCATATGTATATATTTCGTCACTCCTTTCGCGCGGGAGAGAGGCAATAGAACCACGCACGCTGGATGGAAGGCCAAAGGATTAAATACGAGTAGTTAGTGGGCGCAATTGCTGCGAGGACTGACGGCATGGGAAAGAACAAGCTGAGCGAGCCCCAAGCAGGGAAGAGGGGAATGCTTATGTCAGGCGCTGACCAATCCTGCACTAGCGGCTCGGCGGCCGTGTTAGCCCAGAGTTTAATCCAACCCTAACCCGCGCGCCTGCGGTCTGCGCGTGTGTATACGGCAGAGATACACACCCACGAAGGTATATCGATCGATATGGGCACTCGACACTCTGCGTCTATATTGTGTTGTGGTGAAAGAGATGTTTCTCTCGCTGTTGGCGATGCCAATGAGTGCCTGAGGCTCCTCCCAGGTTGTATCAACTAACTACGTAACCCGTGAAGAAACAATGCAACATTATGTCATTGACGCCGGATTAGGCATCGCTGGAGGAGCCGAGGAATGAGGCCGATAAGATAGCGCCAATATGCGGTAATAATTATATACATGGGATAAAATATTTATTCTCGTGAACAACACAGGGGAAAACAATTGTTCCGGTTTTCCGGATTGTGAGACAAAAGAGAAAGCAGCTTCTTGAAGTGTGGCTTAGAAGAGGAAGCGAACAGCCCCCGTTACGTGATGCTTCCAGCCTGACATATAATAAGCCCCCCGAACCCTGATCGGAATTCTAAACAATTACAATAATATACATATATATACACATACAGCGTTTAACGAGGAGACATATATTTGTTCCGATTGCCAAGTCTCTGTTAGAACTGCTCAGCCATCTCCTGATCGGAAAGCCCGGCTTGCCGGCCATCCATCCATCCGCACCGACTTCTTCCCGCTGGCTCACCCTCACGGAGAGAAACCATGGAGTCCGAACATGTAAAGCACCTGCTGAATAATAGCAACAGCGACACCGCCATGAGTGAGAACAGGAAGATGGCCACCAGGCGCACATGGCTACGGGTCCAGGCCATGTTCTGGCGCTTCCTCATGACGATAGGCATGTTCCTGCACACAGCCGGCTGGCCGCGAGCACCTCGTCCGTCATTCGTTCGACGCATTCCCTTCACCACTCGCGGACGCAATGTGAACCTCTATTTCTACTGTCCACAATCCTACTGGAATTATCGAAAATCCCGCCGGTCATCTCCATCCCCAGCATCAGACCAGCCTTTCCCCGTCGTGGTCAATTTCCATGGCGGCGGGTTCACCCTCGGAACGGCAACCGACGACTCCTACTGGGCCAAATGCGTTATGCAGGAGACAAACGCCGTGTTTGTCAGTGTCGAATATCGTCTTGCTCCCGAGAACCCCTTCCCGGCTGCTGTAGATGACGGCGTGGAAGCCCTGCTATACCTGGCCTCCCATGCCGGCGAACTCGGCATCGACGCATCGCGCATCGCCCTGACCGGATTCTCATCCGGCGGCAATCTCGCCATCACTGTACCGCTACGACTCCGAGACCGCATCAAAAACGAAGCGAGCAGCGATATTGTCAACATGGTCGAACCCCTCGATTCCACCCAACACCTGATCGCGAACCAAGGTAACCTCAACATCGTAGCCACCTTTGCCTGGTACCCGTTACTCGACTTTGTGGCCTCGCGTGAGCATCGTCGCGCCACGAGCGTGATACCTGGTAAAACCATGCCGGCTTTCTTCACCAATCTCTTCGATGAATCCTATCTGCCAAACCACGAGCTGCGATCGTCGCCGTTTGCATCGCCCGAACACGCGCCCGATGACATGTTGAATGAGGCATTGCCGGCCGATATTTTCCTGTACACCTGCGAATGGGACATGCTTCTGCACGAGGGCCAGCGCTTTGTTCGTCGATTGGAGGCCATGGGGAAGCGCGTTCGCGCCATGATGGTGGCACAGGTGCCCCATGCATGGGACAAGTCGCCCAATCCGTTTCGGGATCAGGATAAAATCAATATTATTTATAAGGCGGCTTGTGGTGAGATGAAGACCATATTCGATCGTTCTTAGTTGTTTTTCTTCGTTTTCACCCTACGGGTTGGACTGTATATCATTTGATGGCTGCATTTGATTAGCGGTATTCAGCGAGCGGTTTGTTTTCAGGTACGTATATAGATTATAGATATTTTTTTCTTCTTGTTTCTTATTACTTGTAGTAGTTGAATAGGTAGATACGTATTAGCCAGAGGAATAAGCACATATTATCAGTATTTCCCATTTTTATTCAAAACTGTTAAAATCCTGAGGTGGATAATAAAACCAAGCCTATTGCCACAGCTATATCACAGAAGATTTTCCCAACAAGGAGCCATTCTAGCATGCACTCCCATTTCAGGTTCAAAATGCTCTTTATATCACTCTTCATCCGTCGCTGTGGGATCGTCGTCATTATTATCATCATCATTATCACCCTCTTCAGCACTATCAGACGAATCGTCATCAGCTCGGTCGTCAATACCCGGAATACCACGCCATTCGATATAATCCCCCTCCAACCAGCGCCGACTCCGCGGTAACTGGTACGGATCAAATGGGAAATATGCATCAAGCTGGTCGCCTCCGTCATTGCCAGCTCGAATTTCTCGCTCCACTATGCTGAAACGCGGATCGGCCAAGGTAGTAATGCTTCTAAACGTGGACATGCGTAGTCGCTTATTGGACTCGAGCAACGAATACACATACATAAAACGGAGGTGGTGGGCAATTCGCGCAAACTCGGTAACAATAGCCGGCGAGCAGACCTTGAGAGGATTGAATCGAGAGTATATGGCTCGATGGAGTATTTCCTTGACTATGGGAGGGAATGTGACATCCTCCATGTCGAAATCATCGTCGTCCTCTAATATTGGTATTCCATCGTCGTTCTCTTCGGCAGCTGTGGTAAGATCCCTCCAGCGGAAGCAGAATATGTACAAAAGGGCCTGTGTGGTGGCATAGAAGGGTCCATAACGCCGCAGATCGGGACCGCGACAAGACCCTTCATATGTGGCTCGGAGGACATTTATATGGTCGCCCAACAACTCGAAAATATCCCGGACCACACGCGAGGGCACATGTTTGCCTCGGGCGATGAAACTTCCCAGGTATGCAGCAGCCGATTGACGAACGATGGCTGGTTGGGTTTTGCTAAAAATAATGTGGGTGCATGTTCCCGCAAACCGCTCCACGAGGTCCGGAGAAAATTGTGAGAAATGAAAGACGAGAAATTGAGTGTGTCGAGATCGGTAGGTAGGAAGGACGGTGCTCTCAAAATGAGCAAGAAGCAAATCTAAAGCGCTATTCTTCTCGTCTGCTGTTCCGTGATTGAAAGGCGGCGAGTAGAATTCAAAGAGTTGATCAATGATGGAGTCAATCTTGCAGATGTTATCCTTCACAGTTTTCAAACGTCGAGTATCCACGTCTGTAGTATCGTCATCGCTGATGATAGATTCGACATCCGAGTCATCATCGTCGTCATCATCGACCGTACTAAAGTCTACAGGACGGGAAAGATCTTCTAATAGATCCTCGCCCACCTCATCTTCAAACTCTTCCATGTCAATCTGGATCTGCACGTCAATTTTTACAAGCCTCTCCGTAATCAAAGCCGAAATTTCAGCCCGAAGTTCCGGAGCGTAATCGATAATCTTAAGAAGATTGCGGGTGTATGCCACATTAGCCCTTGCGGAATCGGTGTCAAAGGGGAACTGTGCCGATAAAATAGGCGACAATGTGCCACTACCAGCAGGTAGTAGCTGCATAATGTATCTAAGTGCCATATGCACCCGCTCGTATATTTCTTCATGTGAAACATTTGAATAGCCGGGAATTCTGCCGGTACCTTTTGGAACTATAAAATTAGGTCAGTGGAAAAAAGTGTCCGGTCTGGGAAAACACGGCTTCTTTTTCTTACCTTCTCCAAAATAATTCACCAGCATCTTAAGCACAGAGCGCAGGTATCCCGTATGCGCGGCGCATAGATTTCCTGAGAAACGAACGAATAGCTTGACATAGGATTCGTCCCGACCAAGCCACTCACTGCTTAAAACCGCATTAACAAGGCCCGAGCAATTACGGTCCAGCGCAGATATATTTGACAGCAAGCCCGTTAGATGGCGTTTTATCGTCGTGGGACTGGGTATTTCGGAAGAGTCATCGTCGTGCGGCTTTTTAGGATCGATGGTGAAAATCTCCTTGATCTGGTCGTAACCTTCACTATCCGTGCCAGAAACATGTCTCTGGATGGCTCTGCGGATTTCTTCCCGAATCAGAGCGACACTTTTCTCTCGCTGCTTTTCATTCTGTTTTCCTTTCTCTGCCGTGGCGTCAAACTGTACCCGGGCACGTTTGAGAGGCGGCGGACCATCGCGGCTGCCGGCATCAGATGGCGGTGAGGATGAGGAAGGCTGAGAAGAGAAGTCCATCTCTATCATGGTACGCTTCTTGCCGGCTATAGAAGGCACCGCAGTAGTGCGAGAGGTCGTCTTGGACGACTTGAGAATTGATGGTACGGGGGACGATGCGAGTGGCATGTTGATCGAAGTGCGGCTGTTTGTGGCGGGGGGGAAAACGGCCATCGCAAGAATCCTCTCAAATAAGCGTAGACCACGTTTAGACAAGAACCAGCTGTCTAATACAGCAGTGTAATGATATTACTAAAGCAGAAGCAGATTGGCAATATCTCCATCAGAAACAATGCTGGGTAGGCAGACTCGAAGATGAAAAACGCGCGCACACGAGCAAAGTACAGACCCGCGGTTACTAACGTGCCTGGCGCTGAAAGGCCTGTCTGTCCGTCCGAGACACTCTAAGATAATTATCTGTCTGCCATAGAGAACAAAATAAAAAGAATACGCAATGCGATGCGCTAGTAATGTATACGGCCAGGCAGCTCTCGAGCGAGGTTGAGGGAAGGTTGAGTGACGATAGGAGAAAAAAATTTGGAGTGGGGCGGGCCTCTGCGTTCCTCCACTCGACGTGGAGAAGGAAAGGCGGTGACGGCCGCCATTTCTCGGGTTTTGGTGCGCTGCTCGCGTGGGCTCCAAAACGGGAAAAATTGAGTTGTTATCGATTCAAATCAATTGACTTTCATACATAAACCTCAGTCAACGGCATATCCAGCAACTATTGTGTGATTATTGAGTAAAAATAGCTGAATATCAATGAAGTACTGGCCTAACCTTGAATCATTAAAGCCAGCCAGCTGTTGCATAGTCTGCCGGAGGACTCTTCCGGCATATGCTTGACGCAATGGCGTAGTATCGATTCAAAACGATCTTCGGTATTCTTTACTACATTGTGGTACGAAAAGACGCTGCGAAAAATGTGCAGTCGCAATCAAATTTACACAGATAACCTAGAAAGCTAACCTATCTCAATTTAACTGGCAGGTAATTTGTGCACTGCCCAGGCGTCATAAAGAAGTGACAGCCTGAGGAACCCGCGGGGAACCAAAGCCAAAGCCAAAGCAAAAAGTAAAATTGTAAGTATGTGCAAGAAGATTTGCTCCATGGCAGAGCGTGAAAAAGAAACCTCCCGCTCAAAAGGCAGAGAGTTTGGAAAACAGGAAACCTTATAAACCCCGTGGTATGTGTGTTCGAACCCAAACAAAAACTAAAGGAAACAATCGACAATAATCAAGAAAAGTCGTAATGAGTGGAAACCATTTCATGGCATATAAAGAAACAACTGGAAACTTCTGATCATGAGGTAGGGAAAGATGATACATATCGTAGGGTCGTCGAGAGATTGGATCGATAAAGGAAAGAACATGTCCTTAGAGCCAAGCGTTCGTCGCTAGAGGGCCGATTTCGTCCTCGAAAACACCGCCGTAAAGTTCTTCAATTTCAGAAAGATAGTCATTCAACGAGAACTTCTTCAAACCCTTGCTGAGAAGAATCTGTTCCTCCTCTTCCAAGACCCTCAAAGCACCAAAATCCTCTGCCACCTCATTCACTTTGTCAAGCTCGCGACTGAAGGGATGCTCAGCATATTCGGGAACAGGCTTAAATGTCTCTTGGCTGGGACGGGTTGTCGATACTCCCATAGACGTGGGAGGAGGGGACATCCGTGACACAGACCGCTTGCGGGCAAGATCTTGATGCGATTTCTTGGTATGCGAAAGCGCACGCTTGGGCACACTGGGCGCATCAAATCCCGTGGAAGACGTTGAAGAGCGAGTCGTGCTGGTAATTGTTGCCGATCGTTTAGGAAAATAGCCCGAGAGGTGATTTGGCTCCATTTGGGGCTCAGCCGATATTGGGGTAATGGGAGACACAGGAGTCACATCGCTTTCATCGGAGGATCTAAGTGAGGAGGCGGAAGAAGATGACGACACTGAACCCAGATCGGGGGCGTTGTATACAAGCGGGTTCGTTGCCGATAGGAGTTCCACGGGGCCAGAGATCTTGCCACGATTGATGGTGCCGGATGAGTACTTGACAAGGCCTTCGCGGAAGGGCATAGGAGTCGAAATCTCAGGGCGCTTGTGGCGCTTTGTAAAAGCACGAGTGATGGATGCTGCCATCGTGATATGTATATCTGAAGATTGGTGGTTTGGCGTATATTTGATATTTCCCAGAATCGCTGTGGGGTGAAATTTATTGCAGTTGCTGAAATGGAAGATCCCGAAAATCCAGTTCAAGATCGATGATAGAAGTTAATTTCGTAAGAGAGATCCCGGATCTGTCCAGCTAGGTGATGTTAAAAACGGTGTCGTGGTTTTGATGCCACAGATCGATCACCCTTTTTTTCTTTACTTTTCTTTTTCAGTTGTTGGCGAGTGAAAGAGCCGTTCGCAACAGTGTGATTGACGAGTCTTCAAACTAGTCATTAAATGAAGGTGAAGGGGGATTGCTCTGCAACCGGATATGTATGGTTTCTTGCTCTCTCTCTTTTTTTTTCCGCAGGAGAGGCGCCAAAATCAAGGAGCGTCTTATCGCCTGGAATAGGGCAAGACTGAAAGGAGCGGACTACCAGGACACGCAACAAAGTGAAAGGAACGCAGAGAGGGGGGCGAATACCGCTCTCAAGCAGGCGCTGCTCAAGTAAAGGAATGATGACCAGAGGGAGTGCACATGTGAAGGAGGAGCGAAGGAAAGAAAGGACGTTTGAGTAACAGCGAGGACCCGTGACTGTGATCAGGCAGGCTTCAGGCAAGCCCAGTGGTTGGTCTGGACTTCTGCCGGCTCCACCCGCGGCGAAACCCACGCTTCGTTTCGTTCGTTTCGTTAATTTAGGCTGGCGGGCTGCGGTTGGTGGACCGATCGCCAGCGACCCAGTCGAGTAACCAAATACGGATGCTGATTGGTGAATAGCCGTTTTGTGGCTGATCGCCGGTGGCACACAAAGCGCTGCAAGTTTGCCCGATGTAGCACTTTCCACGGTACGGCCAATTACAGTTTACCGTACCAAACACCGCACGATAGAAAGAACGAAAACCTTGATTGCCCGCCTCAGCCAATCCGAGTAGGCCATGCAGCCCATTTTCCCGGGAAGTGGGACTGCGTATAGTTTTCTCCCGTCCACGTCGCACCAGCGCAACGCCAACTGCTCCCTCCCATATAGTATATAGTCCTACATACCCAGTTGCTCTCCTTGCAGTCCGCCTTGTCGACACTGTACTGAAGGGCTGCCTGCTTGCGTTGACAAGGAATGATGATATATCAGTGAACGTCCGAAAACGCCGCAGATCCTTGCGTGGTTGACCAGCAAGGATCGCGTGTCCGGCATTGCAACCAATCATGTTACCTCGTCTTAGACGGCAGGGGTCTGCACATTGCAACCTAGGGCATGCTACGTACTACGTAATTATGTATTCTTCAGTATCAGCCATATCATGTATGAGTCTAGGACTATCATAACGCTCTATCTTCAGGCTGCAAGTCATTGATTATATTTCTGACATGTGTTATATCCAACTGTTCTTTCATCATTAAAAACGAAACTCACCAGGCGAAGATGAAGAACCAATTTACTCCGTACTCCAGCGTTTCAAACACTCACACTAACCCTACCTGGGACTAGACTCATTTACACTAGCGCGCATCGGGTCTAGTCGCAACCATCGTTCATATTTACATATATTAAGTTAAAAGTCGATAACTTGAAATGACCATATGTAACAACGACAGAGTAACCCTAGGTGACAGGTAGAAGAGGACACGTTCAGTTTATTGCGTCGTCATATGGGCGTGCAATCTGACGCAAGCCTCAACTTCTTCAAGGTCACCTGGCACAACGAAGTCAGTCAGCATGGAGCATACCTCCATGTATTCTTAACGTAACTAAGCATAGCAGCAAGCCGATCGAATTCCGCCGCCAACAGGCCAGTATGATCAAGTCACTTCATTGATCAAATCCTCATAGGGTGACAGCTGCGCCATGCATGTAAATTGCAAAGAGCATACCATAAAGTAGCATCGGGGATGGTTTCGGGGGCAGGGGCCGTTTGCCCAGCCCCTTCGATCCTAGTACTACCCCATATACTATGTAGATAATAATTTTAAAGACTATCTTCTAATCTTATCCACTGAAACGCATATACATACGACCAATTTATCGGCCTTGCTTGACTTACCTAGGCAGTACCCGGGTATAAAGCGCCGTGTCGGTCGTTGCGAATGCATCTCTAGCCACGCTCCGGATATCCATATTCCTAGTCTAGGTAGGTGGTACTCATATATGCGATATGAATAAAATCTAAGGAAGGCTTTATTAGTAAACCTCTACTTTTCAAGACAATCCAATCAATATATACATAATTTTCTATCTTGAGGTTCATATATAGGTCATTACAAATACATAACCAGCCACCCTCCGGATACCCGTGGACCTTGGTATGTGTGATAACCTACCCAGGTAGTTAGGTAGTCCTCGTGTGTGCGATTTGGATGAACGGGAAGAACTTTGATAGTATATTTGGCCAATGAATGTTTAATATACAATGCTCTGTGATTAGTTTTCAGAATCCTACTTAGACGATGCACATCTAGATAAATCCAAATCAAGAAGTATACGGAACGGGTATCTTAAATTTCAGCAGTAGCATGCCTACATCGATACATGTATACATTTTAATCCTCATCCATAGACTCCCATCCATCCTTTTGAGCTTCATCATCATTTGCTTCCTCGTCCTCTGAGTCACTTTCATCGTTTTGATTGACACCCATAATCCTCTCCTTAACGTGCCCATCCTCGCCAGGAGTAAAATCTGGAAGACGGCCTGCGAATGCCCGACGCACAGCAGCATTGGTCGACGTGTCCCAAATCTGCACCACGCCCTTGCTACCGGCAACAGCAAGACGGAAGCTTAATTCTGGGTCGGGGGCGAACGATGTCGAGAACACTTTACCAACCTCGAGTTTGCGCGATACCACCATGCTAGGTTTATCATTTGCTGTGTCCCATAGTTTGACCTGCTTGTCCGATGACCCAGTTACCAAAAACCCGGGGATGGTTGGGTTGATGTCGAAAGAGGATACGGAATCGTCGTGTGCCTGCAGCGTCCAGACAGGCTTCGAGTCACTAAGCGCAACAGGTGCATTGCGAATGTCATATTTGTAGACAATTCCATTATCGGTGGTGACATAGAAAAAGTTGGAATCATGGATGTCCCAGCGTAGGTTCTCGACATCAGAAGCTACCTGCCAGCGAGGCGCTTTCGCTTCGGGTGCTCGCATATCTGCCGCAACAACGGTGCGATCATAACTTCCACTGAGCAAAATTGTGGATTCCTTCGGATGCCAGTCAAGTGCACAAATCTTGTCCTTATGGTAGCTATATGACTTAGCGCATTTCTGCGTGTTGAGATCCCATAATTTGACTGTAATATCCGCTGACGCAGAGGCCAAAAGATTGCGATGTTGTCTGTTGGCTGCTAGTGCCAATACGGAGTCAACGTGATATTCGTCGTTTGCTTTTTTGCTCTTCTTCTTGTTTTTCTTTTTGTTGCTTGAGCTTTGTTCATCATTGCTGTCGCCAGGTCCAAGGATGGCATTTGGATACATGCAGTCAACAATGTCGAGGTCCCAGATCTCAATTTCTGGTTCCATAGTACCAACAGCAACGAAGTTACCGCTTGTGCGGCCTTCAACTCCCTTTCCAACTGGAAAATCGAGCCATTCGACGCAGAGAGGGATGGCTGGGAGCATGATATCGTGGTGGACGTATAGATTGTCTGCCGAGTCTTCATACACGTACACTTCTAGATGCGCGACTTCATCTTCAACTTTGCCCGCAACCAACAAATTATCCGTTCCAAGAATCTGTAGCTCTTCCCGATCTTCATCTGCCTCTTCTTCGGGAAATTCGAGATACGGATCCTTCTCGCCTGGTTGATGATAGGCAAGAGACTTGACATTGCCGAACATGGTGACCTCTTCACCATCCTCGTCAACCTCGTCACTATCGTAATGATCGAGGTCATACTCCTTAAGATCATCATCTTCTTCCTCATCCTGTTTTCCATTTCTAGAAACCGCGACAAAACATCTATCAGCGGGACGGGGTACACACGGATGAATATACAAATTATAGAGCAATGATACTCACGCTGAGCTCTTTCCCGCCCCCTTTGCCGCCTTTGCATCGGTCTCTTCATCCATTGCATCCTCATCATTTTTCTCCTCTCTAGCGGCGTCCAAATCTCCCTTGGCATCTTCCAATTGCAGCCTGGCTATCTCTGATATCCGATTGATTTCCTCCTCGTCAATCTCGTATTTGGTGGGGAACTGAGCAGCGACACCTCGTCGCACCCATGCTGTAGTCGTAATCATGGAATTCATATTTGAGGCTAATCTCGAGATTTCGAAAATCAAAAAAAAAAAAAAAGCCCTATAGCGGGGGAGGATTGTAGAGTTATACTCTACAACTTTTCTTCGTTGAACTGCGTTAAGTAGATAGGATCAACAATATGCCATAGCAGCACTTGTCGAAAATCAAGTGAGAAGAAAGTGTCAGCCAAATGCCTGGCTGGGTGATTGCTTTAAGAGCCTAAGAATAAAAATAATATTTTATTTTTTTTATCTCTCCACCCGGCAGAAACGGCGATTGTGGTTCCTATCGTTCACCGCCTGCGCATCAGGCAATATGAAATTCGCGGCTTGCGGACTTGCTCGAGCAGCAGAAAAGCATTGTTAGTGCATCGAGATATACCATTGGTCACGTTATAACGAATTATCGCATTTAAAAAAAGCAAGCAAAAGATGCATTCCCATCTTCACACACCCGAGAATATAAGTACGATCAAATCCAACTTGTTTCCAATGAATCAAACTGATTGATCTTGCAGACTGCGAGGACATCATGTTTGCCTTGGACGAATGCCACGCGCGCGGTTTCTTATGGAAAGCCCTTGGACAATGCAATGATATCAAACGCGAAGTCAACCGCTGCCTCGGTGCCGAACGAGCGAAACGCGCCAAACTAAACCGTGACCAGGCTCGAGAGAAGAGGGCACGCATTGAGAAGATCTGGGCCGAAGAAAGGTCCCGGGAGCAAGGCGAATTGCCGCAGAAGCAATGAATACATTATCGACATCTGTGGTTGGTTTTAATGCGGTTATATCGGAGGCAGTGAAGGTTACCCAAATGGAAGCATTTGCAAGGCGTTGATCAAAAGAAAATGAATGTTGGATTGTCATGGTCCTCTATGTAAAATAGTAAACAGCTTGTATAATATACCATGAAATCGGTTATGCTCTTTGATTGTACATAGAATTTCTCCAATCTCCCACTCTCATCGAAGAAGTGCACCTTTACTCAAACTTCTGCTTAATACAGTATGATGCGGCAAACTCCATAAAAAACAACGCCCAAGAAACGCCACATAATGATATAAATTGAGCCAGGTCTAAAAAATTCATTCATCGAAAGCCTGACCTTGGCCGTGGGCAGTGTCCGTTGCTTCGGTGCCAGCTTTGGCACTCGCGCTCTTGTGCTTTCTCTTACGCTTCTTCTTGACTGAGGAATCTGCGTTGAGTTCAGCCGCATCATTTTGGCCATTGCTGCCATCGTCTTGACTCTCCCGTGACTTCTGTTTATCGCCTGTCTTCCCTTGATTCTCTGGCTTTGGTTTTTCTCGTTTTTTCGGTTTCTTCATACTGAGGGGGTTAGGCGCTTTGGCTTTTTTGAGTCCCCGATCTCTAGAAGTAGTGGTTTTTGTTGTTGTTTCTTCTTCCTCTTCATCGTCCCTCTTCCGCTTGATACCACTGATCACATCTAATGCAGCTTCCACGCCGCCCTTAAATTTACTCTTCTCAACGCCCAATCGCACTTTCTCTGAAGGTATACTCAGCGGTTCCAAGACCATAACCGATCGCTTGACGTAGATAATCGGCACACCGGGAACAGACCGAGCACCTGAGCGAAGAGCAGCTGCTTTTTGATTTCTCTCCTCCAATAACGATTCGGCATGCTTCCGCTTCTTCGGGTTGTCTGAGTTCACATCATCATGACCCAATGCCACCGGCTCAGCAGTCGCAAGGGTATAATGTTCTTTATTGCGCATGGTGTCCTGGTTCGGACAGAGCAGTGATAAAAGACATTCGACTTCGTCGATAGGGGTATCATCGTCGTTGTGGGAGCAATGTCGCAATGGGAGAATTGTGGGCGGAGGCAGATGTTGAGGTCTGAAAGGGTTGTTTGTCCTTGGGTTGATAGGCTGAGCGGCCATAATGGCAGCGAGAGAGCATTTCGAGATTACTATTTGTGAAATGGTCTCAATTAGCCATCGCAAGCTCGTCTTCATTCCTTGATCTGTGGCGCACTTACATGGCTTGACCTTGCCTTGCAATGTCCGCTCCAAGGCGGGAATAAGATCCATCTTGAATTGGTGTACTGCGCGCAAGAAATTCGAGTCCACTGTTGCAGTTAGAAAGAAAGAATTCGTGAGTAACATGGCAAGCGCAACTGCAGCTTGTTCTTTTCCATACCTAGAACTTGGTAAGGCTCATGAAAACCAAACGTCAATTCATACTGATGCATGAGCTTGCGGTATTTTTTCGAGCGTTTAGCCCTCATTTTGATGGCAGATAATCACGTCGTTCTTGAAGTTCTTGAACGGAGAGTTTGGAGTTCGTTTTGCTCTTTGAAACTTTTTTTCTGCCGCTGGCTTGCTGTGTGGCCCGTGCACACGCTCCACCGTGCGATAACGATAACGGCCTCAGGCTCCCCCCATACATATAGCCTTATTACGTAGCAACAGAAACATCCATCGGGCCACTCCTTCCAGCTTTCGATCAAAGAAATCAAAGCCTGAATTTCTTCATCGACTAGGAGGAGAAAGTGGTTTACTTTCCATTATTTCGACCTAACCCTACTATTAAATACCCTGCTTGTTCCTGGAAGCTCACCAACAAGCTGTATGAGGAGATCGGTCAATATGACAAAGATGAGTATCGCGAAATCGGAAAACCTTCGGCCTCACAGGCTCTCTTCCAATGCGTCACATCACATATGGAAAGCTATAGAGCTTTGATGCTCGTCTGCATGCAGTGAGTACTTGCAATCATTATTGTTATCATCATTTTATACTTCTGAAGGTTGATAAGTCTTAACAATATCTATAAAAAGTTCCATCTTCTGGGTCAGAGTTCTTTTCAGTCAAGGATGGACAGCAGCAAGCCTCTGAAAAACTCACTCCACTGACCCATAATGAATTCGAAGCACTTAAGTTGTTAAACGAGAAAGGCTATCAGCATTGCCCAATCATCATTCACTGCAAAAAGGAGAAGCAGAATCAATCTGGCTTTATTCCTGGCGGATTCATTCTGTATATGGTGCTTCAGGAATTGCCGGGCATTCCCCTCAGTGAAAAGTTTTTTTCTGGAGACTACCTCGAGATGAGCGCAATAGCATTCGAGAGGCATTTAAAAGGCCTATAGGTATGTTCCAATTCATTGAAGATTTGGCGTGCTTTACCTTCTGCTAATTAATCCGTCTCCATAGAGACTGTCTCGAAAAGGACATTAGCAATTACTAATGTGACATATCCAAACTTCATTGGTTAAAACCGACGTCCCACATGTAAGTTACAAGTCAAGGTTGCTTGTGGATGCAACTAACCATTGGAACAGTTGCATATCCAGGTTTTAAAGATCTCGTTTTCTCACCAAGAAAAGAAAATAGGATCGTCATTTCTGGGCGACCCGGGGCTTAGCGCGTGCCGGCACGCGCAACAGGCTGCGAAACAGAGTAAGGAGGTTGAAAAGGACGGTTGGGTATTATGAAGGAAAATCTGCGCATAAAGAAACTTCTACTTGCCATTGTATTTTCTCGGCGTATCCCCAATCAGATGATGATAATTCTATCAAAATCTATAACACCGCCAGACAACCTTGCAAGTTCTAACAACAAATAACTTACCTATTACACAGTATTATAATCATGATATTTATATGACATAGGCGTTTATGTAAAGTGAATAAGACTATATCTACTATATTACTGCTATTAGGAAGAGTTATGGTAGTAAAATATACCTAGGTACGAAGAAAGATGTTCGCTGCCAAATACCTATTTGTAGGGACCCAATCTTGTTAATGATGGATGTTGGAATCCTGAACGAACAGGCACCGTTCGGAGGTTACCGATAGGAACTGGAGAACGGCTGAGATGTATGAGGCATCACAAAAAGGGCTTTATCCTCATACAAAGACATTTATGCCAACCACAAGGAATACTGTAAGAGGAGTGTTTCGAGGAGATCTGACAGAATGTACTAGAAGATTAGATTTGTATGTTAAATAGCATCTTGTGGCTATCAGGATGTAGGTGCAGAGAGTTAGCCAGTCATCATCTCTGGAAATAATCCTTTTCCTTATTACTCCACCCTATTGAAATTCATTTAGATTTCCAACAATGGATGGCCTCCGATTGCCAGTACAAGTGAGGGTGGACAAGATATATCATTGGCAATACTTATTATCATGTTTTACACTAATGCAGTTCCATATCTCTTGCTCTAGAATCGAAATCTGTGTGGATGGTACAGTAGGCAGCATATGGGCAGATGATAACTTTTAACTTCATCATTACCTAATAGGGTAGGAGACCAGCCGCCAAATTCAATCGACAAGTCTATATATGTATAGATTAAAGTCTAGACCTCCTATCTTGAGAGCTATATGCTGAAACACGGTCTCATTCCGAGAACCCTCCATGGGTAGTCAGGTGCTCTCCTGAACTCAAACGTTTGGGTGGCTGGGAGTAACTGTGTGCGATATCGCTTCTGTCTTTGTTTGCCTGTTTCATCTGGAATATGTCCTTCATCTTCCGATTTTCAACTTTCATCTGATTTTTCTTCTATTCTTGCTGAATCAACTGACCTCATTTCCTATGTCTATCTCTCTCAAAGAGCATATCGAATCTCTCCTGCCCAGCAAGTCTCTTCTGACTTGTTGTACTCATGTCCCTTTCTTGTTATTCCATTAATTATATCGTTCTTATCCCATGCTTTCCGAGATATCATATTTGTCTTCGATTACATTATCTAATATCGACATTTAGGACATCCACGTGATATTGGGAAACTGACGCGGGAATTGAGCCCTAATTCGGGAAGTCTTTTATTCGGACGACACTTGTCGTATTTTTATCTCTTCAAAACCATACACATCCAAATAATAAAATTCACACACTAACTGAGCCGTTAAAACCATATTGTCAAAAATATCAGGATAATACTAGGCTCTGTTAAGCAAGCTTTACAACGGTGGCCTCCGCATCATCACGGGTAGACTTCACAATGAACGAAATTTGCCATCAACTCCCCGAGGAGCGAATCCCAGGCCTTCAAAACTGCTTTTGGCAAGCTCCACGCCGTACTGCTGAATCACCCAATCCGCAAACATGTCCATTCCTGCACATGCTGAGTTTGCGGTCCAAATATCGCCATCCACTATCCAGTTGATATCCTCGTCTGGTCCAAGCCAATTCACAGCCGGGTACAATTTCCGTACGAAGGGATAAAAGCCTAGGTTGACGGCTGCGCGTTTTCCGTCCAAAAGACCTGTTTGCGCAAGTACCGCGGATCCAGTGCAAGTCGTAAATATGGTTTTTATCTCGTTCTTTGCAAGCCGCTCCTTGATGAAAGAAGTCATCTTGTCAGACAGCCTATAGGTGGGCATAGGGCCGCCGAAGAGCAGATAGTCCAGCGGAGGGCACTCGTCACACGTAGTTGTGGCTGACACGTGGTAATTTTCGAGTTCCAGATCTGTTTGAGCCGATGTGGCTATGGTGCTAGGGTCGCGGATATGGTAAAATTCAATATCAACGCCGAGTTCTTCCTGACCTGCAGGTGCCAGGCCTGCATTTGCGACTTGCTGCAGCAAGTTTTTGGAGATACCAGCGAGGATATCGAGAGGCCCAATAACGTCGAGGGCCTGATATGGGTAGAGGGGAATACCAAAACGTATAGGAGCCATTGTGTGAAGTAGGATCTTGAAATATTCAAAGAAATTTCAGAATTGAATAACAGTGTTAGGCACCTGAATGCGAGGAGGAAGGGAAGGAAGGGAAGGAAGGGAAGATGATGAAGAAGAAAAGGATGATTGTAGAATCTGCCAAAGGCGTTGTCCAAGGGGTTTATATGTATTTTCATCCATCCTACTTAGAGCTTTCAAGACCATCTCACTCCGGTTAAAGCTTCTATCCGAGTGTCCTCTGGATGAAGTAGGGGGATCTGCCAACGAACTTGGCTGCTATGTTGTATTGATACATGCCTGAAAAAAGACCGCCTCCTGCAAGCCGCGTATAATATCGCTGCCTATGTTTTTCGGGAGGAAACTGGTCGCGAATCGTTCTAAACCATGCTCTTCCATGCATATACTTAGGTCGTTGGCAGTGAATGCATCTGATTGGTTCACGATGTGCTCGCGTCAAGCTGCCATCCGGAGGCCAGCCTCAGGCAGGTTGAGGCAGCTCAGCCCGGCTCTTCTTTCCTTCCGCAACAAACAGTCAAATGCTCTTCTTCCGAGGGTACTACGCTTCACTCACTGCATCATACCTAGGTATATCATATCGCCGCGGAAATGGATCCGGAAGATACGCGATATATGTGTCCGAGGCCCAGAGCTTTGCGTGCCTGTGTTTCGTGCAAGGCTCACAAGACTCGATGTCTTCCATCCGCCCACTCCAACCATTGTCAACGGTAGAGGGGCCCTCATGGTAGACGATTCATAGAAGATAACAGCTATACAGGTGCGAGAAGGTCGGTACGTTGTGCTCCTATACCAATGCCCAAGCATCAAGGTGTGTTTGCTATCATTGCTTCACAAATTCAAATCAACAATACTGCTCATACCCATGCATGCATGCCATTTCAGGAAAAACAATCGACTCGCCCAACGATTGAAAGCTTCAACTTCCCAACCAGTGAATACAGGCTCTGTACTAGACCATATTTTTGCTCAACTTCCTCCAGCTAGCCTTGACATCCCATATGAGGATGAATCCGAAAAAGTGCTTCAGCTACACTGCAACTTCTTTGGAAGTCATCAAAGAGACTCATCAACTCCAGGCAGACAGCCGGTGGACACAGGAAGAGAGCCGGCGGGCGTAAACCGTCAAGATAGACCTTATGTCACTATGAGCCAGGTCGATCGGATGATGCAAATATTTCATACGCAAAAAGAATATTTCCCCTTCGTCATAATTGCTGAAAATACGACTGCGGAGACACTGCGTCAAAAATGGCCATTCTTACTGCTGTCTGTTTTGGTGGTAGCCTCTGCAGCCGATCCGGTGCTTCAAAAGCTCCTGGATGAGCAATTCCGCAAGGTACTGGCAACACGAGTTGTCATGCAGGGCGAGAAGTCCTTGGACTACGTACAGGGTCTTCTTGTCTATCTTGCATGGTGCGTTTCAAGGCGTCGATAAGGGACCTAGCCTGGACATACACTTCAATAATTCTAATAATTGTGTGTTGGGCAGGCACCCGATTAATCTGAGACCAATCAACAATCAGATGTGGCAGTATATGCAACTGGCAATTGCGATGGTATCAGATTTGAATCTTGAGAGTACAATCGAATCGACGTTGGATCCCCCTGAAGATCAAATGATCGCCAGAAATATTATTCTAGGCTGCTATTTTTTGTCTTCAAGGTGAGATAATATGCAATTAACGTCTCTGTCCGTCTAGCTTATTCTCTCAACACAGCATTGCAATGGATTTGAAACGGCCCAAAAACTTCACGTTCAACCCTTCAGATGAGCTTGTAACCACAATGTTCGCAACCAATGATCTGTCTACTCACACAATTGCGTCCACTACATTATTATGCAAATTTATTGAAAGAATACATAACTGTGACCTCGAAACAGATATAGCAGATTACTCTGGCATGACAGAGTGTCCTTTACAGAACATCACACAGGGCTATTTGCAAGAGTTGAAACAAATAGAAGGCAGCCTGCCAACCCACGTCAATACAAATAGTGAGTAACACTATATAATATTGATTAAATTAGTTTATCATTAACAAAACCAAAGTTAAGATACAGCTCATGCGGAAGTTCGCCAGAGTTAGGTTATACGCTCTTGCCTTGGGAAAGGCAAAACCACCATTGCACAGTCAACGAACAATCTCAAGCCAACATCCTCTACGCCAAATCAACTCACTTAGCTATTTACAAAAATTTTCATCGTGTTTCACCGAAATCAGTGGTTTGATAGAGTTTTTCATCGGTCTCTCCACTGAAGATTGCAGGAAACTCACCTTCTATGAATGGACCATGCTTATCTCGACTATAATCATATTCCCGAGATTGTACAAATTTACGATCACGGACATGGGCGTTGCAGCTATATGGCAGGACCTGATTGTCACAGAGCGCGTTGCCTATATATCTCGTATAGAGCGCTTGCACGAGCATATGGAGAATGCTTCAACAACAAAACTTGACACGCAAAATGACAATAGCAGCAGCTATAGACTTCCCGACCTTTTCTATCTATTTTCCACTGTCCTAAAACTTTTCCTGAACAATTTTGTGCGCGATTCTATGAATTCACATCCTATTCAATTACCTCCTGGTAATGATCGTCCCACCGGTCGAGCCAAGTCCCAATGCCCGGTTATGAACGGCGAGATTAAAAAAACGGATTGTTGGGATTTGTTGATGCATAATGATCCTATGGAACCTTTTGACGCGGAGGCGGCGGCGGAATTTAATATCAATGACCCTTTGTATTTTGATTTGAATTCATGGATTGACTTTTCCGTATAGCTTCATTACTGGCTTCCGTTTTATTAGGGGATGCAATAGATGTTTGTTAGGTACATGCATATATCCATCATGATCCGCCGCTTCTGATCTAACGCCGCTATTTCGTCCACCTCATTAGCGATAATATTTACAAAACAGTCCCCAGAACGCCAGGGATGCACTATCCTTGTTGAATGTTGCATGCATTCGACTAACACAAATCGCCGCGTTGCATATTGTTTCTTGTAGTTGCCTAAACTCTTCTTTTGCACTGTCCAATAACCACACTGATGTCATCCATTTTGCCTGTAAAAATTTTTTAGCTTGATTGCTACTTGAGCTTCAAATCTTGAACCGATAAAGTACTTACCTCCCTCAATAGTAAGCCCTTCATCAATAGCCTTCTCCATATAAGGGCTATCGGCAAATGGATCAAATGCAATCGTCAGTGCTGCATTCAAAAGACGCCTGGCTGCAAAAACCATGCAAGTCGGGGCCTCTGCCTCTCGCTCAGCCCCATATTTACCAATATCGCCGGCTTCCCACTTTTCAACACTCTCGAGGATATTATCTAGAATCTCGTGGCCCCAGAGATTGTCAGTCACGCCGTCCGAAACTGCGAGAACAATGTCCCCTTCTTCCAATTCAACGACGCTCAATACCGCATCATTACGCGGTTGATCAACACTGTTCGTCCCAAGCTGATATGGGCAATCAAACCAATGCCACTGCTCGCGAGATTTGAAAAGCACCTTCCTATCGCGTGGTCGGATGACAACAATCTGGCAGTCACCAATGTTTGTAACGTAAAGTAGCGGTTTCACGTCACTACCTTGCTCAACGTTATGTAGCAAAGCTGTTGCTGATGTTGTAGTGCCGAGCCATTGTTTAGTTGCAGCGACCGTCTCTTCATAAGCATTTTGTAGAAACCCGACGGTATCGGGCGTGGATGCGCTGGAAACTTGTCGTTCACATTCGAGAGCCCAAAAATGAATAATCAGCCTAGACCATAGCCTGCCCAGAGATACTCTGTTAGTTGAAATAGATCCCAACGGCACTAGTATAACTGTATATGAAATATTCGAGATCTTACGCTGCATGGCCCTCGGGTTTAGTCGCCCAGGCTCCAACGCCATCGTTGACGCCGAGTGATAAATCGCTTGCGAGAATAGCGTCGTCCCCATTAGTCAAGCCCCGGATAAGCTCATTTCCCACCTGTGGTCGTCTATCTTGGCTTTGGAAATGTGTGGTCAAGGGATCGGAGAAAGAGGACGATGGGATAGAGACGAAGGGAGGCGGGAAGGGTCTAGATGACCGTTTCGGTCGAAGAGCGTAACCAGTCTCGAAATAAAAGGGGCTCTTGGAGGAAAGCGTTTCAACGTTGTCAGGACTCGGGGTCCGCAAGCCATATCCAGGCCGAGCACTGTGATATCCATGCAGCTGTGATGAGACGAAATGGAGCTTTGATGCGGCGCTCCGGTGCTGCAGTTGCGACCCCAAACCCCGAAGTCTGATCACGGTCGGTCTGGTCGCATGAAGAGCTGGCGAGTATACGACCACCATACCCATACAGTGGTGCACCGATGGCGCACAGGGGCGGGAACGTTCATAGCACTAGGCTGCGATTCATAGAGGGAAATGCAAGGTTGTTGTTTCTCGCAAGTTGCAAGGATGCGTGCGTGCGCTGTCTTATCCGATGATAAGAGACCGTACCCACTCGATTATTAACTAATCGCCCGATAAGCCCGTTACCTACTATCCTGACCCGACGGCTTTTTGGGGTTAAAATCTCAAATTACTAATAATTATATTTAAATATTCAATACATGCACCATGTCACCATGTCGTACAGAACGCATATGTAGGTACGGGCTACCTACGTAGGTGGTGACAGGGGTTGTGCACCCACAAGGACAAGTGTTTTCCGGAATAGGTTACATTGCTTGGCCGTGATACAGGGAAGTCTTTCCAATCATATTCATATAGTTATCATTCATATAGTTATTCTTTTCTGATTGTAGAGCAGTTGCTATTCCTAGAACTCGAAAATATTGTAAGATGTGGTGTCATGCCACCATAACGTCGTGAAGATAATATGATAAATCATAGCCGAAAGGAGCAAAGAGATCTTGAATTTCGGATATTGCTGTGCTTGCTGCATGGAATGGTCAACGAACGAAAGTAAAATTGATTTCGCCAGTTTCTGCCGCGTAAATATTCACACGCTGCTTGATCATTTCCTCTCTAATGATATTGATCCCCCCAAGAAGCTCACGTTGTACCAGATCATCAGGTAATTCGCGTTTCAGAGCAGCAAGGGATTCGTAAGTCAACTCACCCATGACCGTACTTTTCTCTCGAATGCTATCTCCAGACTCGGGCTGATGGGTAAGAACTCCACGTAGCCAACGGCCAGAGCAAGGGCAGAGAGTACTGCCAGACCTGGTACATATTCTAGAACAGGAGCATATATCAAGGCAAATGCATTTCTGCTCGCTTGCGTAGCGTATGACGTTGAACGCTTCTTCCTCTCGACGCAGCTCTCCAACTGCCTTGCCCTGAATCTTCGCGAGTGAGCAGAGACGATGAGCGCAGATCATATTTTCTTCCCATGCCGCGGCGAATTTATTGGACAGGAAATTGGTGTTTGGCGTCTTGAATGCGAATTCGTTTTGTTTGCGCACTGGGCAAGGGTAGATGGGGTGGTATTTCTCCGAAAGAAATGCCAGAATATCAACAGACAAGTGTTGCAGTTCGGGATAAATTTGGCACCAATGGCGATATGCGGACGAGTTAGGGTCTTTGACTCTCTCATTGACATGTGCGCGATAGCCAGTAGGATCAAGCGGCAGTGTCCCTTCGAATATGTATCGCCTGTTCATTTCCTCAACATAGAGACGTTTATGATAGCTGACCAATCGTCCATCAAATGCGGAACAAACGCTTTTGTCATCCAAGACGTCTCTGCAGACGTTCAAGATTGTATAAACATGATTGGGATCCGGAAGTGTGGGACTTGTACTGTGCTTCGGCTTACGCCCCCTACTAATGAACGAGGAGCAGAAATGAAGGAGAGCAATTTCAACTTCCAACCGGGCGTACAAGCTGAAGTAAAGGTCCTCAATGGCAAAGACGAAATCTACCACTGAGCCGTTCTTGAGTTCTTGTTCCGCGTTCTCAACGCCTATTAATATGTTGGCTGTGGGTGTGTGTAGCTGCAGATACGTTAGCTTTTGGATCACACGAATATGCATGGACAGTCCACAGCACGGAAACTCACATCGACACGGAAGCTGCGACACAACGCAATGAAAACCTTCGCAATACCATATACCACACCTGTCGTGCCATACACGCTGTCCCAAATATCCTCGGGGCTCTTTAATGCAATATAGAAGCTCCTTTTACACTGGTCAACTGGGTCGCAATTTTCCTGATACCAGTCTTCTGAGTTGATGGCGTAGGGGGTGTCGCCATGCTTCGGCGGAGAGAAGAATTGATGAGGCGGCCTCAAGATGGCGAGCTGTTGACGATTCAGCGGGCACAAGTCTTCTGTGATGCCTTGAATCTCCACGGATGAATGTGGGCTCTGAGGGATGTCACTGAAATTGGGCTGGAAGCAGGAAGGACTCGAGAAGAGGCTAGTTGTGAAGCTATCCATGGTGAAATCGCTAGAAGTAGAAGTGTACGATCTGTCGCTAGCCGTTCTCTGCGAACGATGGGCAAAGAATGGAAGAAAACGCATGGTGGAGGGTGTTGCTCTTCTGGTTGAGTGTCAGCGATTTTTGATGATGATGCTGAGCTTGCATTGCTGAAGATACCCAGGTTTTGAATATTCTGGTGTTCCGAAAAGGCCATGGCGGGCTCATCAGGTTGTGAATGAATAAATGAAGGCAAATAAGGCCATGTTTGCATATTGTCTTTGGCCCAGCCACCAAGGGAAGGAACCACGCGCGCGAGTGCTTCCTTCCTATTGCGGAAACCGCACAGCGCCCAATAAGCAATGGCCAGAGACTTCCACGTGACGCAGGCTATCAACTCCCGCATTTGCGCTGGCAATGACTTCACAATATCATTGTTCCTTCTATTCAGAGACCCGCAGGCTGCATCAATGGGGCCACACTTTCTTTGTCTGCCAGATGACACGACAATGCCGCAAATCAATATATTGCCAGCCAAACACTCACTTATCTGGAGATAAAACTCAGACCAAGACCCTGCCAGCTCAATGCTATTGAAACCACCCTCACTCATTAATCATCAATCGTATCAACTTCAATAACAGGGTCTACTTCAGACTGCGGACGGATTGGTCGAGGCAAGTACACCTCTGGTATGTGCCAGAGCAGCCTGTTTGCCTCTTGTACGACTGTGGCATCGATATTTTGGCACTCACGGAGAGAAAGGGACTAACAAGTCAGCGTTGCCTAGGATACAAATGTCTATCTTTTTTGCTTCCTTGGCTTACCTGAAGTGCTTTTAAGTTTTGAAGCCATCCCAGACCAGCATCGATGTTTGCAACCCCCTGGTCGTTCGTTGACTTTGCTGTTGTACGAATGCCGACGCAATTTTCTATCCAAAGCACGACAAGAGATGCTCCAGGGACCGGCTCATCGTCGTGTTCGCGTAGCTCTTCGTCCTCGTCACCTGGGGTCGGAATGCCCCCTAACCAGTTGACAAATGCAGGCTGGATTGCAGCACAAGTTCTGAGCTTCAACACGCTTAACCGTTTGTTTCGCTTGACTAACATGCATAGCTGCCAGGGTGTGATACCAGCCCTTTCGAGAACGAGACTTTCGAGGTTTGTTATCCTTTGCCCCCTTTGCAAGGGCCCTATCCCAATGAGATCATTCCAGACAGGACTACCAGGTGCCGGCAGATTCCAATACTTTTGACTAAGCGATATGTCTCGTATATAGGGATGTTCGAACCGAAGACCTAGATGTCGCAGCTTCCCCCCGCAGTGCGTGCCTAGTGCCATGGCTCCCTCATCATTGAGGTTGTATGCCAGGAACTCCAAATCCTCAAGAGATTGGCCATACCGACTTAGTATCTGAGCAAATGTTTTATTCTGCGCTCGAATAGTATTGTCAGAGGACACCGAATAAGGCAATCTTTCCTCTGTTGGAGCAGCCTCTTGGTATAGTTTTTTCTTTCTGTATCTTGTTGGGAATGGTGAATAGTTGGCGATCGTTTGTGATGACCTGGAAGTGGTCATGCCTTGTGGCAAAGCAATTCGTACTTTGTGACTTTCTAACATCATATCTTGTTTAAAAGGCGTTGGCTCTTTCGCGCTGCGCTCTAAACTAGCATCCAGGAATGCGGCTATAGCGTGAAGTTGTTTGGGGAAGATGGCGAGATGGAGTCTCCTCATACAGAGAGCGTGGTATAGGTGATTTGATTTGGAAGTTGCGCCAAATGAAAGAAGTGAAGGAATTGGAACGTACGAAAGAATCACGAAAATGAGTTCTAAAGGGAGCTTATCGAATTGGTTGCTCATTGTGAACCCTCCAATGAAAATGGCCGTTTTAATACCGGCCTCAGAAACTCGTGAACGATAAATGTTCTTTCAGGTGATGGTCAAGTACTGAGCGACTCCTTCCTTTACAATCTTGATAAAGAAGGGGAAACAAGAATATGGACATTGGCTGTTGTGCATATTCTTATATATCAACGCTTTTCTGAGTTGAAATTTCAGACCTTCAAAACTCATCGACATCGAACTGGGCAATCAGCCGGATTTTACGAATGCGGACTTTATGCACTACGCCGCATAGTGTGGATGAAAACAGAACACAGGCATTTATTAGATGCAGAGACAGATAAAAACCACACGACTCAATTTCTTTGTTCTCCCAGTCACGGCGCATATCTGCATTGAAGCCCTTCACCAGGGCCAATGAAATTGCACAGCCAACAGCCTTTCGACTTGACAGGAGCGAGGGCTGATACCCGAGGACGCTTAGCTGCATAATCGAGTGCCGAAGTATGAGTGGCATCATAGGATATTTATCTATCAGAGTACTACTCTGTACTTCATACACAGTCAGAGAGAATGACAGTTTCATAACTGGCTACATGCCTCTCGCATACCAGTGCTGTTAGGCACTCTTGTCATTTCTTTTTCTGGCTGGGGAATTTCTGATTTCGAAATCCTACAGCGTCGTAGACTATAATGCGGCGCAGTGCCTAACGCCTTGAAAACCCTGGTTCCCTGCATCCGCCAAGATGCATGCTTGACAAGGATGACTTTCCAGCACAAAAAAATTGATATCGAGACCCGAGAGAAAACAGAAGTAAAGAAAGCAGAATAAATGACCAGTTGGGAGTATTTAAATGCTATTCCATGGAAAGCCCAAAAAGGGCCTAGAATTTTCCTGAAATCCCAGTCTGTTATGATCTTACATAGCTAGTATCGCCGGGTAAATAGGATCGCCAAGAGCTAACAGAATCTAGTGCGAATTCTTTGCCCCTGATACAGGCTCAAGTCCGCCAAGTCTTCTCGATGAATGGATCTAATTCTTTGGCAGCGAATATCTGTGCATGGAACAAAAACCCCAGAATGTGTGACGTGTCATGGGCGACGATCTTGGGAGTGACTGATTCAAAAGATCTACGGCACCATTTAGTCCTCGTGCGAAGTAGACAAGTCAACTTGAATATATCGTCATGCATGCTTATTTTGCTGGGGTTTACTGGCTATGCACCTACGATTCGACAATGCACGCACGCCGCATGTACAACAACAATCACATGTGCGTTCGTTGATTGGTTGCGTACAGACAGTATTTCAGTACAAATCAATTGTTATCGGGATGCTTGCGTACTTTGAGGAGCTATTATACTATAGGTCGAAAAGTGTGGAACCCATCACGCCCATCACGAGGATAAGCGCCACAAATAATACAGGGTTCAAGGCGCATGAAAGGTGCCAGTCAACCCAAAATAACACACCAAGGAATATTAGCACATCTTCTTTTCCATTGGGCAATATGTACTCGCGAACATGCTACGACGCTCGACATTGCGGCGCAGCTTTTGACAGACACCAACCCCGCGCGTCTTCCCAAGTGCCAAAATAAAACCTCACATGATATGAAACACACGCCGTCTAGCCCTGAACACGGAAAGTTCTTCCACTGGCTGTCTTCCTCTCGCGCTCTTCATTCTCGGGTCTCGCACGGTTGAGAACTAGACTTATCAGGATGCAAATAACTAAGACGTGGGTGGAATGTAAGTCGCTTACCTTGGAGGAAATCAGCAGTGCGTTTTCGCATACGGGTGTGGATATACGCCTGTAGAGGAAATCAATTGTCGTGCGCCAAGGGTTTGGAGTGTTTTTCTTTTTTTAGGAAAAGAAGAACCAACCTTCGATGCCTTGATGTGATAGTGGAAGTAATCACGGAAGGTCTGAACATGGGAAATACTATCATAGCGGCGTTGCGGTGTCAAGTGACGGGGGAAAAGGACTGGCGGCTCTTAGCAATTGCTCACAGTCTCACAGAAAAGAAGCTCGAGGAAACAAACCAAAAGTGATATAACTGTATTTTCCATCCCCTGAGTTTTTCAATCCCGGAATACCTTCTAGCTCGAGAGGAGGGTCGTTTCGGAAGAGGACTTGAGGGGCATTCTGCAGTGTTTGGACCCGTCTTCGAGCATCAACAAATTCCTAAAGCCGGTCAATACCCATCACCATATATCCACTTGATCGCACGAAATACCTGCAAAAAGACCTTGCCAAATATGCGGTCAGTTTCCTCGCGGAAGATGGTGCTGAAAATAACTGTCACCCGGTCGTGACTGGATTTGATATAGATGGCTTCCTCGTCGCGATAGTGAATGGCCATCACTTCACCACCTTCCTTAACACCCTGTGGAGCTGATTCTGAAGTGTACCTGGATGCTTCTTCTGACAGCTTGGCAAACTCGTCGAAGGCACGTTCAAATGGGGCGGCCATGACGTTGCGCTTGAGCAGAGACAGGCGTCGAATCAAATCTTCCTTCTCTTCCGCGCTCGGTGGCAGGTTTTCTAAATCGATCTGAACGGAGAAGTCGTAACCAGCCTCTGGGCTGACGATGTATGGGCCATATTCCCGCTCCAAAACGGCCTGGGCGCCATACTGAACCAACTCGCGGAAACACTTCAGGGTAATTGAAATCAGGATTTTGGTCTTTGACTCTGGTGTGGAGAGATGGAATGTGACGCCATCGAAATCGGAGACGACCTGGTCTATGGAGACAGGGGCAGCGCTGCAGGTGGAAGTTAGCTGGTGCCTGATCTCGAGCAATGAATGATATCCGCGGGGGGCATACCCGGAGAAGCGTTCTGTAAGAAGCGATTGGATAAGCACATTTTGATAGTCAAGGAGAAGCATTATGAAGAAGCAATTTGCATGACACGGAGGCCTCTCGCCTAAGTAAAGAGTGTGCTGCGGAGGCGTTCAATGTGTGCTATTGATGTTGATGTGGCTGCGATGTTCGTTCGTCATGGGCGGCCTGCGACCCGCATTTGTGCCATGCAGCCTCCCCGCACACCGCCTTGGCCAGAGCGGTCTCTGCCACCTCCCGTAATCCATCGATACTGCCGCCCGCTGGAAAAAAAAAAAGTCTTGGGAGTATACGAGTTTCCTGGTGGCACAGGTTCGAAGATGGTGAAATCATATTTGTAAGTGGTTCGCATTGATTCTTTGATGCGAAATCTGAATTCTAATCTTTGACAGGAAATTCGAGCACTCGAAAACCTTCGGCCTCGTCACTTCGGCCTCGTCCAATGCGGTCTGGACTAAAAACGAAGATGTCTCCGGCACTGCACGACGCACTGGTGCAGGGCGCGCTATAGTGGGCGCAAACGAGGAGGTTCTTTGCTGGGATGTGAAAAATGGAGAGTTGCTAGGTCGCTGGCGGGACGCCGATTGCAAAGCCCAAGTGACCGCTATAACGCAGAGCAAAGCAGATGATGATATTTTTGCTGTCGGGTACATTTTTCTTCTCAGTTACTAACTGATAAATCAGAAAAAGCAAATATTTTAGAAAGGCTAACATGAAAGTTATTGCTTAGTTACGACGACGGCAGCATTCGTTTATGGGACTCGAGAATCAACACTGTCATTATCTCATTTAATGGCCATCGAAACGCAATCACGCAGCTCGCCTTCGACCAGTCGGGTGTTCGACTAGCTAGTGGCTCCAAAGATACAGATATCATTGTGTGGGATCTTATTTCCGAGGTCGGCTTGTACAAGCTTCGGGGCCATACTGATCAAATCACGTCTTTGAATTTCCTTTCACCAATTGAGGAAAATGGCGCGGGACTGTCAGAGCAGAATGAGACTGGTGGCTTCCTGCTTTCTACGGGCAAGGATTCTTTAATCAAGTTATGGGATCTCTCTTCACGACATTGCATTGAGACCCATGTAGCTCAGAGCAATGGGGAGTGCTGGAGCTTAGGATTGTCGCCAGACCAAACCGGTTGCGTAACGGGCGGGAATGATGGAGAGTTGAAAGTGTGGTCGATCGATGAGAAGGCTATGCAAGAAGTGGCTAAAGAAAAGGAAGGGTACGAGAATAAGAGGATACTCATTGAGCGAGGAAGTTTCTATCGACAGAACAAAGACCGAACAATCGGGATTACTTTCCACCCTCGCGCAGATTACATTGGTATTCACGGGGCAGAGAAGGCCGTTGAAATTTGGCGGATTCGTTCGGCGACTGAAGTGCAAAAAAGCATTGCAAGAAAACGAAAGAGAAGAAAAGAGAAAGAATCATCGAATGAAGACAATTCAGAGCAAAAGAAAGACGAAGTTGATGATAATGCACCTCCACCAATCACAGAAGTATTTGTACCACATGTGATTGTGCGAACTGCCGGAAAATTGAAGTCGTTCGCTTGGATCACCGCAAAAGCCTCTGGTGATCTGCAAATTATGACTGCGACTACGAACAACGAGATAGAGACTTATCGCGTTGTACCGGCTGGGAAGAAGAAATCTAAAGATAGCGAGGAGGTTGAGTACAGCCGAAATTTCGCAGTCGACCTGCCTGGACATCGCACTGACATACGGTCCTTGGCCCTGAGCTCAGATGACAGGATGCTGGCATCGGCATCTAATGGTAGCTTGAAGATCTGGAACGTACGAACACAGAGCTGCCTTCGAACCCTAGATTGCGGTTATGCCTTGTGTTCTTCATTCTTACCCGGTGACAAGATCGTCGTGGTTGGGAATAAAAATGGGGAGCTCGAAGTTTTTGATATCGCATCCTCAACGCTCCTCGATACGATAAAGGCACACGATGGCCCCGTGTGGACACTGCAAGTCCACCCGGATGGCAAGTCAATGGTGACTGGAAGTGCAGATAAGACTGCCAAATTTTGGAATTTTCAGGTCGTGCAGGAAGAAATTCCCGGCACAAAACGAACAACACCAAAGCTAAAGCTTGTGCATAGCCGGACTTTGAAAGTGGCAGACGACATTCTCAGTGTGCGATTCTCACCAGACTCGAAACTTCTTGCTGTCGCGTTACTCGATAACACGGTCAAGGTGTTTTTCGTCGACACTCTGAAGCTTTTCCTAAATCTCTACGGACATAAATTACCAGTGCTCAATATGGATATTTCATACGACAGCAAAATGATTGTGACATGTTCCGCTGATAAGAATGTCCGTCTCTGGGGCTTGGATTTTGGAGATTGTCACAAGGCCTTCTTTGCGCACCAAGATAGCATCATGGCAGTTGCTTTTATGCCGAACAATAACGAAGGAAACGGCCACAATTTCTTCAGCGCCAGTAAGGATCGTGTGATTAAATACTGGGACGGGGACAAGTTTGAGCAAATCCAGAAGCTTGAAGGTCACCACGGAGAGATCTGGGCGCTTGCCATGAGCCACTCAGGCGAGTTTCTTGTTAGTGCTAGCCATGACAAGAGTATTCGCGTTTGGGATCAAACAGATGAGCAGCTTTTCTTGGAAGAAGAACGCGAGAAGGAGCTAGAAGAGCTATACGAAAACACTCTCACCACGTCCCTTGAAGACGAAGAGAATGGCGAGGAGAAAGCCGAAGCAGTCGACGCTGGTAAGCAGACTGTAATCACTCTCATGGCTGGTGAGCGAATTATTGAGGCGCTCGACATGGGCATGGAGGACTTAGAAGTCATGCGGCAATGGCGGGATACAAAATCGAGAAACCCTAACGCAGCACCACCGCAACGAAACCCAGTCTATATTGCATTGGGGAATATTTCGGCGGAACGCCATCTTCTAAACATCGTACAAAAGATCCCAGCTGCTTCACTGCAAGACGCTCTACTAGTCTTACCATTTTCAAAACTCGACGCCCTCTTCACTTTCCTTGAAATATGGGCAAGTCATCAGTTAGAGATTCCATTGACATGTCGCATACTATTCTTCATGCTTAAGACACACCATCGTCAAATAGTCTCTAGCAAGTTTATGAGGCCAATGCTTGATCGCATCCGGTCGACGCTTCGAGAGGTTTTGGCCAAACAAAAGGACGAAATGGGCTTTAACCTTGCTGCTCTACATTTTATTGGTGGCCAGATCCGTGACCATGGAAGCAAAAGCTACATCGATGAGGATACGTGGGAGGACCAGCAAATCTCAAGAACCTCTACAGGGGTTAAGCGAGGATATGTGAATATTGCTTAGGGTATGATCCGGCGGGAAAAAGAGGATCAAGGAGCATTTATGGCGTCAATCTCACATTTTGTCATAGTAGGTTTGTTGGAAGGCACCAAAAAGTTGATTTTATAGATAGATATCCTGATTTTCTCATTGTAAACTAAAACTAACTGTGTTTTCCGTTTGCAACCTGCATCTAATGCCAATATCTTTAATAATTGCGACGCTCCAAGCCCTGTCTTCGATCTTTGTTCGTTGTTTCCATACGAATCGTCAAGTACCTATCTCTAAAAAAATTCTTGATAACCAGTTAGCGAAAGTATTTCATCCAAACACTGCAGACACGAAGAAAACGAAGAAAAAAATAATGAAAGGAAGAAGGCAATCCATCATAATTCCATTTCCCATACCACACAGACAAGAACAAGCTCATCTGACGCACACAAATCTTCCTCAGCAGAACCAATTCTAAGCACCGACGACAAGAAAAGGCCCGTTCTCTTTCTAGAAAACGGGATTTCATGTCATACCTCTTCCGGCTCTTCCTATTATAATTGTAGGTTCAAAGTAGTTCTCATCATGTTATTGAGATTGTGTGCGTAATTAATTTGCTTCTCCTGTGGTGTTATATAGCAAGGAGTTGGGACGTTTGTTGCGATGGAGACATCAAAAAGGAAAAGGGGCATCAAAATATTCACCTGATCATGGACATTGGAAAAGCATCGTGTCGTTGATTCCTGTGATGTTGTTGTCAAGCAAGCAAGAACGAACACGAAGAAAAGTTGTTAGCTTCAAGAAATGTGGGGCTGCGTAATTCACGTGACCTAGCTGGTATGCTGCCTCAGGCACAATACCAATCAAGCCCGAGCCCTAACCCTAATTGAAACTGATATCAATCTATGAGGCCCCAAATTACGCTACGCCCTAAGAAGATATCAGAAATAACAATATCAAGAGATATTCCCTGGACAGTTAGAGCTCCTGTATAGATGCCATTGACTTCATGTGGTTACTGCACGCACAATGCCCAAGTTATCCGATATCAGATCTCTTTTAAGATTGAACAGACGCTTCATTACTTAGGTATAATATAATTACTATACCTACACTATCCCGGTGACAAAGAAATGGTATGGGTATTTAAACTTGATTGGATCAAATTAACTAAAACATAATTAAAGAGAAAATGTGACTGAACAATGGAATATTGACCACCAATTCCTCCCAAGAGCTCCCTTAATGGATTCTTTGGTAATGTTCGCTTTGTAGTGGATTTTTGCTGTATGTTTCATTACCAGGAGGATTGGGTGCTGGAGGAGGAACATAGGCGTATCTTGAAAGTTTCTCTTTCCTCCATTTGTCTTGATCTTCTTCCGTTTCATCTTCTGCATAGGCGGCGTGCCCCCGATGTCTGTGCTTCCCACGTTGCTGTTTGGGTTTGGTTGGTTTCCTAGAAAATCGACCTTCTCTTTTCGGCTTCTGGCCTTGTTCTTCCTTCCGCCTAGTGTGCCTTCTTGGTTCTTCCATTTCAGACGAAGAGCTGTCGTAGTCGTCATCGTTGTCTGTATTTTCGTCTGTACTTTCGTCGAACTCGTCTAGGTCACCGTCACTACTATCATCATCGGATTTCAACAAATTTTCTGAGACCGGCGGTCTTCGACCGCGATTTTCTTTGGGCTTAGATGAAGGCTTTTGCGGAGGATTAGAGTTTCGTGATTTGGGCGTTTGATGATATTTCTTCCACGTAGTTTCCGGGGGTCGAAGATGACTTTGAAACTCACTGCTTTTGGGCGACATAGGATCTCCAATACCGGGATTAGTATTAACAGCAGTCCGACTTGAGGATGACCCAACCTTCGAAGTGTTAGCTGCGTGATCGGATACATCGAAAGGGGCACTACGATTGTAGTCTGATGCACTGCTTCCTTGTCGCAGCGCCAGCAGAGGGTTAGGAACACCTCGGAACTTATGCAGGAAGTTCATCGTTATTTCTTCGACTTGGCGTTGAAGATTCATATCCAACACTTGATGCCCAGTTCCACTGCGGTCCGTATCCATTGAAGGCCGACGTGCAAGAATCTCTCTTGGCAGTAGTCTTTCAAAGTCACTCTGGGGAATATTGGGTTCTCCCCACAGCCGCTCTAAGTAACCGACAATTTGCTGGAGCATTTGCTCTGTCCCCTGAAGTCCCCGTGGGTCTTTCTGGTCGAATTGCATATTTGCCGGGGTGCTCAACGTGTGACTAGAATCTCTGAATAAATTTTCAAACGCAACCCTTTTATTATCCAGCAGTTCCTCCCTATCTCTTATTTCTCTCCTCTGCTTTTCTTGATACATTGTGGCTTGGACTTCGGCCATCTGTTGTCTTAATTGTGTAATACGTTCTTTCATTTTGTCTGCTTCTTCCTTGTCCCTTTTTGCTCGTGCTTTCTCTTCTCTTTTGACATTCCTCTTTTCTTCCTCTTTCTTTTCTATTTCCCTCTCTTTGTCCCTTTCCCTTTCCCTCGCCCGTTGCCGATGGTCGGTAGTATGGTTCCGTTTGAATGTCTCCAGATCTCTCCTCGTTTTTTCGGCTTCATTGATGTCAGGAATAGATGATCCGTATCCTGGGTTTGATAGGGGATTATGAGAGCTAGTTTGTTGCATATAACCGATATTATCAGATGGTTGCATTTTTCCAGTGCGAAGGTGGTGGTGCTGATGATCACCAGCATAGTAAGCACCAGCGGGATGCGGATGGTTTTCGTCATGTAAATAAGTGTGATGAGACATAGCTGGATATGAATTCACAGAATACGCGGAATTCGGAAAAGGGGGATTCGATGCATAATACGCATGGTATGAAGGCCCACCATTAGCAGCGACGGGTGAAGCATGCACAGGATTGTGGGGTGTCGTGGGATTATAGTAAGGACGAAGCTGTCCGCCACGAGGCTCCATGTAGGTGATGGCCTGGCCGTCACAAGGTGAGTACTGAACCGTAGCAGATGCAGGAGGGTAAGCAGCAGAGGATGGAGCATGAATGGAGCGGGTATGGCCGTGCCCTTGATCCCGACGACGCGACGAACGATGACCATGACTTCGCGAAGATCGGTCATAGTCATTATTATAAGATTCAAGAAAACGGCTTGGTGTATTCTTTGAGTTCTTGTGTCGGATTGATGTGTCGCTCTCAGAATCGTAACCTCCGTTTTGCTCGTCTACAGTTTGAACAGTAGACCTCCGCGAAGGTTCTAGGTAATGAAATCGTTCCTGCGGTGGCAGTCCCGACATGATTTTATTCGCCTTCTTGAGTAGTTATATTCTCTCTTTGTGGTTCCAATTGAAAGACAATATAATCTTGCACGAAGGTCAAAACACCAATGATGAACTGTTCTATGAGAATATTATGTCGAGCTTCACACCTAAATGGTTGGCTAAGTAATGTATAAAAGAGCCTGGGCTCCGAATCAGAAATCCCGCGAGGCTGAGGCTGAGCTTTGAGGCTCCAGTGAAATGGATATTGAACTCCGCCTCTAGAGGCGTCATCAACCCCGGCTCAATGCGTCTGATTTGCTGAACCCCTCACTCTAAATAGACATAGCCGGGGCGTCAATATATCACGCTGAATAAATTCCTTAAAGAATGACAGAGCGGTCGGTCCATGGTTACTCGGTAAGTTGTACGCCACATAGTACAATTCTGAGAATCAAGGCCACGTAGGTAAGGCAATGCTAAGCCAACTCAGTAGACACCTACAGGTAGGTGACAAGAATATAATTGCTGGTTACTGATTTTGCTACAGTAGTTATTTCCATAATGCTTGTTACTCCAAATGACCACTGTTGTGCAATGTCAAGCCACAGAGCCCAGGTTATTATTAATGCTAGTGAGGTACCTAGGTACATCACCAACTTTTGAAATCTGGAAATATTCTCCCTTTGTTCAGCATTTTATAATAACTGTGTATACCCGTGCATATTGATAAATTACAAATAAATCCCACCGGAATTTGCCAATGAAGAGGCAACGACTGACTGACTAACACCCCTTCGAATGTTCACCGTCACATGACTTTGATTTGCCCTACCTCGGGATTTGAAGACTGGTTTATCACTTACTCCATCCTGGTTTGGTGCAGATACTGACTCATTGCTTGAGTCCTTTTTGTTTTCCTTCTTCTTTTTGCCTGCATAGATTATTAATTCATTAGTTTCATACTAGAGCGTGCGGTGTTGTACATACCTATGTTTATACCACCGGTGTTTGCTAGGGTCCCAGACACAACCGAAGCCTCGACTTCGCCTTCAATTCTCACCTCATTAGTCCATGATGGGCTGGGAACTTGTACGCCCTGCAAATCAAGACATGTATTAGCAATTTGAGTCTTAAGTGAATTTAAAGGAAAGAAGGAAATCCACACCCGACTTTCGCCATATGTAGCACGCATCTCAGTAGGGGTCCACTGCTCCAAGAACGCTTTCAAGCATGCAGCAGCAGTCATAGCGGCGTAGCCCTGCCATATCTTATTTTTGTGACTATCAGAGTAGTCACAGACACCTTTTATAAGTAGGCAGGGCAGAATATCCCAAACAACCGCGCCTTCCATTTCATAAGCAATAACATTTTCGTGGGCTGCGATCGCATCACGATCAAAGCTGGATTTCATCACCGTGTCTCCGGAAGCGATTAAACCGAAGTGTGTGACAGGCTGATGATTTATTTCGACTTCAACTTTCTTGCTGGTAGCGAGTAGAGGAAGGAGTCTCCGCCGGGGGACTAGCATCATTTCATCGCAACCCAGCTCTTGACACGATAAAGCTAGTGCGTTATTGCAAATGTGACCGTCCATAGACGAGCAGATTCCACATTCTCTCTCATCATGGTGCTTATGATGATAAGTAGATTCGTATAGCTTATCCTCTGCCGGACCCGGGTATGTGGCTTGCAAGCGCAAACTGCTGCTGAATGGTGAATTCACCATACCTACAAGCGAAAAATATTTTGCAGACCGGCTAGATAAATATTCTTGAAGCACTTTAGTCTTGAGTTTAGCAATCAAAGAATGGATTTCGAGGTCCGGCCGTTGCAAGCTATGAATCAACGTATCTCTGCGAATGAATTTTATCCGGATATTGCTTGCTAAAATCATATTGAACGCTTCCATCACTAATAATAACGTCCCTAGCAGTATCTCTTCACCACCTGGCCTGTATGGTACCGCGCCACATACTCCTACCACCAAGGCGAGCTTCACTTGTGGATAACTTGATCGTAGGTCACCTGCTACACCAGCAGCGGCTCCTTTGCCCATGCCAGGCACAAATGCCATAACCACATTATGATGACCTATTCTACCCGTAACGTATGCATTGGTATCTCCGGCGGCTTTGGTATATCCGCCATCTTTATCCCAATACTCGTCGGACATGGCCCCCACCGCGTCGGCCTCTGCGGGTAATGTGCATATGATTGCTGTTTGGAAATCATTTCTGGACCTAGGAGGGCGATGAAGGGACATCGATTAAACGGATGGCTGCCCGAAATCTTGTAGTATCTTAAGAGTTTTAGTCTTAGCCGCTCAGTTCGGTAGCACACAATGGACCTCGGCGGGGAAAGTGAGAATAGATAATCGTTATATGGCTATAGTCTCTTGTCTGGAGAAATTTTCTTACCAAAAAGTTAAAAAAAAAGATAAAACAAGAGAAAGAAATTATTTGACTCGCTATGCTTCTACGCTCTCGCTGGTTATAATTATGTAGATTATCTTTTTGCAGATGGTGCCCAATCGGCTTTGGCTCCCTCTCAGGCATCCGTGTACTTTCCACACGATGTTGCAAGTCAAGATATCCCACTCATTTAAAGTCCCAGGCGCACAAGCCATAGTAATCAGATTGCGGCTTTCAAACAGGGTATAGAGACCCAGCCATACCAAGCCATAATTGAAAGTAAGAGTACATGCTAATAGAAGGAGTTGCCTGACCTGACTAATGACAGGCCTTTGAGATTGTCTTATTGGGTTGGGACTATATTTCCACTTAAATATCTCTATGTGAAGAGTGCTATTCTTTTTCCAATTTTATCAGCACAATTGCAGAGCTTTTGATTTATTCAAAGTGTTCATTTTAGCTCTTCAGCTTCATGGTGATAAGCAACACAATCCGCCGTGCACTTCTTTTCCGCTCCAATGATTGGCTCTATATGCATGAATTTTGTGCTGTATTGATGGAAATAATAGCCATAATCCCTGCAGACTGCTCGAATAATCCAGTAAATTATTAGTCTTCTCACTCAGCTACAGTATAGGTAGCTGCAAGTAGTTGAAAGAATATTCAAATTTGACAGAGATCGATCGCTGCCTAGTAAAATTCAGGGTATATCGTTTTGTAACAACCAGGTTTCTTTGATCTTTACTATGTATGTAATAAAGAATTTCTAAACTCGTCTATTATTCTTTGTACTTTTACTTATTACATCAGCCAGAGCAATTGCATTCTTAGACACTGATCACTGAACGTCAAAGAATTTGTGGTGAGAAGTTCGAAGATATACCTAGGCACAAAAGATTATCTTTGGGGTATAATAATCCAGGTGAATACTGGCAATAAATCGTCGTCCTTATTCGTCGGGAAACAGTTGCACTCCTTGCTTTGTATTTAAAATTTTATGTGCATCAGAATGAGCCACTTGTGGTGACTAGTCAACAACGGTTTCAACGATCAGATGCTGGAAATCAACAGCCAGGTCATCGGTGTCAGGAGAAGAGTAAGGCTTTGCTGCATAGGCCCCAATCCAACATTCGGCTGTCTTTTCTTCCTCAAACGCCCAGGTAACCTCCCGCAACGGAAAACGCGAACTACCATCCACGAGATACACCCACAACGTATTTTCCTGTTCTTCTTCTCTCACAATCTCAATCGTCGCTGTGTTGCCGCCAGACGGCACAGGAGTCAGACTCCAGTCAGACCAGCGGTCTGTGGCAACCACGCTGATATGTGGTTTGCCCGCCGTGAATTCGATCCCCGTCTTGATCCATTTTCTAGTTTGTTGTTGTTCGTTGTCTCCGTCCTTTTGATATATCACCAGTATCAGCCCGCCTTGATCGTAGAGATTCTTCCACTCAGCAGCGACCGATACCCGTGCGCGTTTAAATGTCTTCAGTGGCAATACTCGGTGTAGTATGGGCGCGTTGAAGCTGTGCGTGGCAGGTGGTTTGTCCCAGACATCCGTTGAAGGAGCTGCTTTGATTGAAAAGCTGATGGGAATGTCTATTGCATCTGGGACTGGCTGAGAGGAGTTGGCAAATTGAAAGGCAGTCATCATCAATTCTGCTCTTTATGTAGATATCTATCTTCTAGAATTATTGAACAAATAACAATTTGATTGCCTGTTGAGTTGAGTTCGGGGTTGCGGGGTAGGTAGAGAGACTTTCCGTGCCCTAGCCCTAGCCCTCGTTGAATGAAGTTAATCCATCCACGAATACAGGTTGTATATACTCTAACTATTTCATCTTCCATGACCCGTGCAGTAGGTCCTTCTATATTATGACGCCTCTGGAACAATCATTTTCCTACTTTTCTCAAAACCCGACGCTACCTGTCTGAGGAGTCAATCTGTAGATTACGTTGAATATTGGACAGCTTACTCGTGGGTGGAGACAGATAACGGGATCAGAGTTTATGGTAGTAGTTAATATATAAACTCCTTCTAGGTTTCTATTTGAGCAAGAATTAGGCCTGCGATTTTACATATAACCCTTTTGGGACAGTCACGTGGGCACGCGTCCGATCTTGCCGCTTTGATGCCTAAGCTTATCTCCGAGATTTCCTTCATTCCAAGTTCAAGGGAAAGTCGTCTTGTGCCGTGTCAGTTCTTTCAGGCCTGGCATACGGATTGAATCAAACTACCTGCCCATTACCTTCACGATACAAAACGATCTTATTGCCGCTTAAACCTGCCGAGGTCTTGCAGGCTGTGCCTGGCGAGCTGTTTGGTTCCTTCAAATTCGCCTCCAGAGCGGAACCAGGCAGATTACAAAGCTAATTTCTAGAGCCATCCATAGATACCATTCTACACGACAGATCATGGGATCTCCTTATATTGAGTGAGCTCGACCTCGCGTTTGCAACCGTGCGGAGAACTCAGGTATACCCTTGCTTTTAGCAAACATGCGTGAGGTCGATCCGCTCGTTCTCGAATATCAACATGAAAATCGCCGGCCACGAGAAGCGGAAGCGCTTCAAATACTACGAAAAGTGGCATCCCTCGTAAAACCCATCATGAGGCAACGAAGCTGGAGAGTTGGCACGTTGTGTGAATTCTATCCGCACCAGCGAAATTTACTTGGCCTCAATGTTAATGCTGGTCAGAAGATCTGTTTGCGACTACGATATCCAACAGATGAGCGCCAGTTTTTGCCTCTTGAGCAGGTTGTTGATACCATGTTACATGAGTAAGCCAGACGTTCTTCATATCTGCTGTTGCATACATTGTCTCTAATGATCGTGTACTATTAGGTTATGTCATATTGTGCATGGACCTCATAATCGCGAATTCCACGCTCTTTGGAACCAGCTCCGTGACGAACACGAAGAACTTATCAGGAAGGGTTACACCGGAGAGGGTTTCCTCTCGGAAGGGAAACGCCTTGGAGGTCGTAGAATCCCCCTTGACGAAGCTCGGCGGCTGGCTCGTCTTGCTGCAGAGAGACGGCGAACACTCTCAGCTGGTTCTGGACAGAAGCTAGGGGGTGCACCGTTGCTCAGAGGATCAGATGTGCGCAAAGTTATTGCGGACGCCGCACAAAGACGTATTGATGTGACCAACGGATGCGCCTCGGGTTCTGGCGAGAGTGAAAAGTTGGCTGAAGAAGCATCTAGAAATGGTTTCCGTACTAAGGCTGAGGAGGACGATGCGAATGAAAGAGCTATCATGCAGGCATATATTGAAATGATTCAAGAAGATGAGAGGGAGAAATACGGATCGTCATATGTCCCCCCTAGCCAGCAGAACCCAGCCGGGCCTCGGAGCAATGTCTACCCGAAGTCAATACGACCACCTCCAGTTCCAATGAATACGAAACCTTTGAAGCGATTTTCTAGTTCGGGGACACTATCTGGCATAGCTAGTGGTTTCGAACAGCCTGTCAACCATAAAGACGGGAAAGAGGATGATGCTTGGAGTTGCCAAATCTGCACCCTCGAAAATCCACCAACATACCTTTGTTGCGATGCTTGTGGTACTGAACGTCCAGCTCCCTCACTAACAGCCCAGTCTCGACTTGTAGCAGACCCCAAGAAGGCTTCCACGGGGAGAAAAGTATCCAAGCCTCGGAGCCGTCTAGCCTCAGAGGTCGTGACCGATAGGGATGCTAGTCGAGTGCTCTCTTTGAAGAGTAACACTTCGGAAAGAATTGCTAGCCTGGAGAGATCTCAGGTCAAGAAACCGCTTGGCTGGCTTTGTCATGTATGTGGAGCCTTTATGGAGACTGAATGGTGGACATGCTCGGCTTGCGGGACAATGAAAACTACTTCATGATGTTACTAATGCAAACCCTTTTGCTGTAAGACAAGAATCTGGATAAAAAAAGCTATACCCAAGCAAATTATCACCGCTATTGTCTCTAAAGAGACAATCAGAGATCGATATTAGTCTACTTGATATCCCACATAATTTCACAATATAAGTCAATTTTACGACATGATATCCCAACCATTAAGAAATAATATGCCCTGAACTTAGGATGCATGCTTGATATAAGAAGTTTGAGGACCAAGACTAGCTCTGAGGTGCTCCAAGCATCAATATCAACCTATGCGAGAAAGTTCTGGGCGGATGTGATAGGCATATTTGATCATTCCCTGACTCGGGTACATACCAACCCTGACTTCTAACTAGATTTTGGTTTAACCTTCTGCACGTAGCGCGGATATGGAGTGATCCACTACCCGGCGCCCCATGATCTGCTAGAGCGGGTCCAAGCTAAGAGGTTACAATGACTGAATCTTAGAATTTAAATACAAAAATTTTGATTACGAATTGAAAAGTGCAAGAGAACAAGTGCTGAGTCCTGGGAAGAGGCTACGGAAACACTAATCTCTATGCCGGCGGCGCAGTCTGCGTGCATGCATACTTCGTGAGCGTTTCGAGTGCAATACTATGCTTATGCATGGATAGGTGGGGTGTCAGAACTACCTCCGTGTCCATACTTTGTAGCAGCTTTTAAAGACGGCTCCATATCCATGACAAAGAGAGGAGACGATCTCCTAAAATGCGGGTCATTTTATCTATCATGCGAGACCATGTCTTGCTAGTCATAGAAAGATCAAATACGCGGGTCATGTTTTACACGCCGTGGATATCAAAAGTGCCTAAATTACATAGCCAGTGCTGCATATAATGCTGGGTCAAAATAGGTTGGCTCGATCTTGCAAAGACACTTATATTGAATTTGCGCCATTTTTCTCTTCCTGCTTTGGACATATTATCTAAACAACAATATAACGACGTAAGGCCGAATGCTTTATACGCAAGATGCAGTTTGATCATCACACCGGTCGTAAACCAACTAGCAACGCCGGTCCCATTCTCATCCTTGGACAAAATTGGTTCAAGTATATTTGAATCAGGTGCGCCACGCGGCCCCACGGAAAGATTTACGCCCCGTCCTGCTCTGCGGTTAGATTTGACGATAGACCAGTGAACATCTCCGTATAAGCACCGTAGATTAGATCATGCAGCCTTGGGGCTTTTAGTTAAAGAAAAGGATAATCATTTATCAATGAAAAGTACCTGCAAAGGGCAAACACATACAGCCATGATGTTGAAGAGTGAGCCTTTATGGCGCTGAAGCCCAGAGCGCAGATTTCCTGGATTAACTGAATAGTATCTGTCAGAGTCTATGCTTCGATAGGTTGAGGGAAACTCCAGAAGGCATAAATCCACTCACTCGATGCATAACTCCGGTCTTTGTTCGTTTGGCATATTCCGAACCTGGAAGTATATTTCCCGCCTTTCTTTGATTGTAAATCACAGTTTCCGACCCTTAACCCTCTTTGGTGTAATTAATAGTATCAAAGTTGATGATTCCCTTTGGAGGCGTCAGTTCCGCATAGAGTGATCCCAGCACACTCGAACCAAATCAGGAGGCGCCGAAGCAGCCGTTCGATCGAGAACTGGATGCAAAAGCTTGGTGAGTAAAATTGGTGCTACTGTGTTGGATCCGAGCTGCATTTCAAACCCCTGCATGGTGGTTGACCCGACTGGCTGGAACATGACGCCGGCATTGTTCCAGAGCACGTCTAATCTGTTTTCAGAACTGAGGAATTCTTCCACAGCGGGCTTTACTGTTGTCAAGTCGTTGAGGTCGACGAAGAGGAAGATCGGTTTTCCAGTTAATGTTTGAAATCGTGATAAAATGTCATCAATTGCCGCTTTTGCCTTAGACTCGGACCGGCCAGCGACGTAGATAGTCGCGTTCTTTTGATACAGAATCTTGACCAACTCAAGGCCGACTCCGGAATATCCGCCTGTAACGATGAAAACCTAGAAACATGGAAATCCTAGCTAGTATATATTATGACTGCTCCATTAATAAACTGATATAATTTCTACCCTTTCCGGTTTGGTCCGGACAGTTCTTTTCATTGAATATTGGGGTTGGAGGGCACAACTGGCCCATAGTCTGCCACAAGGACATGATGAAAGTTTCCAATTTGGCGTTGAGAGTTAAGTTTCTTTTGTTCCTCTGAGGAGGAGTCAACCAAGGATCCCAAACTAAGTTATATATTCTAATACTACCACCCCTACAATCAAATTGACGTACTAAAAGTAGGAAAAATAAAGTTGATCAAATCGGCCGCAGTGGGGACCTTACCGGCCGCGGAGTGGGTCCGATTATACATTTAGGGCTACTTAGCGCAATTTCCTCTGCTCATCACACTACATTCTCGAGTCCGCAGCTGAATATGCGGCATTATATCGCAGTACGCTCTTGGTTTTCGTGAATCGGCTGCTAAAATCTGCTCCGCTCAATGACGGATATTGAGCTAGCCCCGTGGGCCTGCCTTGCATGTCGAAAGGGTAAGCGGGGCTGTGACGAGGGCTTAACCAGTTGCTCCTGGGCATGAGGTAGGCCATTTATCCAGATGATCATGAAGCCGGAACGGTATGCCAATTTAGCAAATAAACAAATAAAGGACAGGTCGGGTGTGTCAGTACTCCGAATCAGCATCGCCCGAAGACGAGGTCACTCAACTCTATGCCAGGATCCGCGAGTTTGAAGGGCAAGTTTCGCTATTGTCCTCGCAGTCAAGTACTTAATTATTCCACTCAGAATTGATGATAACATTGAAAATCAGCCACGAGTGATACATATCACCAGTTAACCTTTTTGAATACGGAGATTCTCGGGCATAGGACTTTCCTCCCTGGCCCATTCGATCTGCCCATTCCCCCGGCTGCTTCTCAGATGCTTGGAGATACCCATGATACCCACATGCTCAAAACGGAACATTACAGATTTATTCAACCGTGGATGCCCATTATCAGCAGGCGCACATCTGAGGCAAATTAGGCCGGCCACTAAACTCTGCCGCAGCTGCCTTAATGCTACTGTCCATGGAGCTGGTTCTCGAATCCCCCTCAGGGTCACGTACGAGGAAGTCACCTCTCTATACTAAAACAAAACAATACTCTTTTATCTTAGACTGTGTGGGCGTCTTTTTAATGCTGAAACTTCAGGCGAAGCTTTTAATCGCTGTGTACGAGCTGGTCTATGGAATGCTTCCTGCAGCCTATCTCACTATCGCTGACTGTGCACGGTAAGTCATCGCAATGGGACTTCACGATAATGCCGCACCAAAGCCTTTTGCAACGAACCCCGCGAAATTGAGTTGACCGGCAAGAGAGACGACGAGTGTGATGGCTCATATTTATGCTCGACAGGTGTGTTTCTCTCTTTTATCTTCGAGAACCGTTTTTAGGTATGCCTTACTTGGGAGCACCCGCTGACCACTTTGTACGGAGGAACAAACAAAGGATACATGTATTCCATGTAATGACCAAACGTGGGACAGCGGAGTACGCTTTCCCCATTTCCCCCTTTTGCTGTTTTGCTGTTTTCTCATTTTTTCATTGTTCTCCCCCTTCTTCTTTCGTCTATCTTATTAAGTTTGCTATTTAGGAAATGGTCCCTCCCCAGAAAGTTTACCTCTCCTCCCTGCCAGTGAGCTCACTAACCCTTCTGCACGACCAACACAAGCATCTCATTTACTTGGTCGGGTCGTTAGACATGTTGATGATGACACCGTCAGGCCAGAAGATACCCTAAATGAGATTAGGCTTCTCTCTGACGCGCTTATTTTGCTCCTGAGTTTAGTAAGGGCGAACCGCACTGTCGCGGATGGATACTGGACAGCGCAGTCTGTTTATTTTAGGTGGTTTTATCTCTTTCACATCTCTGCTTATGAGTATACGCTGATGAACAGGTCTTCTACAGCGCTCTCCTAAAGCTCAGTGAAGCACATAGCTGTGGCCTTTTTTGAGGATGAGAGAGTAGTTGAAATCAAGTTCTGCGCAGATATTCAAACAGTGCAATGAGCTAAATCTCCGAATTATGAAATAAGTGTTCTTTGAGGCCATCTACATGGTACAAGCCATGGATAGATATAGTCAGGTCAAGGGGAAGATCACTTTACACCCTTGGAGCTCCATGCAGTCTGTCTTGCTGCTGCCTTATGGCTTACATGGGACAGAATTTGTCCCGGGAAGAATACACAACCGGGAAAGCAATATTCATGAGGTGATTGGAAGCTATGAATGGGAGATGAAGGGTCGCTGGTGAGGTTTTATTCTTCTCTTCGCCTATAAACAAGCACGACAAATGTCAGCGCTCGGTTTTACGGTCCTACTTTGAAGCCGTGATTTGTTAGAAGCAAATATCAGCCGGCTTGAAATCTAGATTCGAAAGAGTCATGAATAACCAATGATTGGTTTCACAATTCTACCGTTACATGTCACTGTACTATTATCACATAGCAGTCATTCCGCTACGCAATTGCATCTGTCATGGACATTGATACCCAAACAAAGGATTTTCAATTCTTTTTCATTATCATGAAATAGAATTATATCTGCGTCTTAGGATGGATCATGCATCATTTGGCGAACGACAAAGTAACATGTTCGTGGATGAAATCGAGAGCTTCAAGGACCTGATCTCCTACTTAGCTTGTGGACGCACATAATACTATTAGCAACATCTTAAGACATACCTTTTCATCTTCATATGGGCGCCCGATAAGCTGAAGAGAAACAGGAACATCACGATATAATTCAGGTTCATCTATATTGACGTCTTGGAGTTAGCGATTGTGACAATTTTTAGGATGGGTTACACCACTGACAAAGCTTGTAGTTGAATTCATCCTTGCTGTTCCTTGGCTCGTAACCCTCATCAACCCTGTCGAGGTCTGGCTGTACTTTCGTTACGGGAAAGACCGCTGCAGGGTAATCAAGCAGATTCCACTGAGAGGTATAACCCCAATACCTGGCCTGATTCAAAGGAGGAGCAGCACCTGGACCTGTTGGAGAAAGAATCACATCAACCATCCCCGTAGGAAATCCACTTTCATCCACCCCAGTGGCCGTGCTGTTCCACTGCGCAGCGTATTCTTTCCTATACTCCGCATTCTTCTCCATTAGCTCCCAGATCTCTTCGATCTGTAGTCTCTTGCGATGTTCATTTTCTGTCATGATGAAATGAGTCAGCGGCAACATAGGCTCTCCACCTTCAGCAAAGATTTCGAAATTATGAGCTGCGCCGTCAGCATAGTAAAGCGATGCTATCCTCTCCCAAGCATAGTCGTGCTTATACGGTTTCCAATCCACGATTTCAACTCCAGGAACATCACGAAGCTTATTCACAACCTCATTCAGCGCCCGGGTAACGGGAGGGTGTGGCTTCACAACTCCATCGTCCCACAGAACGCCAATCTTGATTTTTTTGCCTGGTGCAAAGTGGCTCACATCATCACGCCATGGAAACGGCAAAAGCGATGGTTCGGTCAACCACGGCTTTGAGTCTATGACTGTTTTCATGATGAGCCGCAATCCACCCCGAGAAGCGCTCAAGGGACCAGCAACGCACGGGATTGCCATCGGTCCATACCCAGCAGCAGCCTTATCATATGGAAATCTGCTACTCGTGGGACGGAGGCCGTATATTCCATTATTTGCAGCGGGACTGCGAATACTTCCGCCAATATCAGTACCGATTCCCACCACACTGCCGTTTAGGGCTATCAGCGCGCCTTCTCCGCCCGAGCTACCTCCACTAGTTAGATTTCGATTGTAAGGACAGACAGTTTCACCGTATAGATTACTCGAGGTTGCAAGATGCATCAAAGATTGTGGTTGCGTAGTCCGGGCGTATAGCACCGCGCCTGCTTTGTACAATGCCTCTGTTCCGCTAAAAGTGACATCTGAAATGCGTCCCCACCATGCGACATATCCGCAGTCTATAGTACGGCCTTTCATGGGAAGATGTTCTTTGATGCTGACTGGCAGTCCGTGGAGAGGGCCAATAGGCTTTCCGTATTTGGCTAGATAGTCGTCCAGGTATTTTGCTCGTTCGAGGGCTTCATCGGGGATGAGTTCCGTAATGCAATTGACCTCGATAGAAGTTAGATATTTGTGTATCTGAAGATCATCGATATATATATCCATGAATAATAAGGCACACCAGTTTTTGGGCTAACCCTGCACGGCGCAGAAATGTAGTTGCGACCTCCACGCTCGTCCATGCCCCCGATGCAAGCTTGATGACGAGCTCCTCCGGTGGAGTTTCGGTGATCTCAACCTCTCTGGCAGTCAACAGCTTCTTAGGCACCTCCACCACATTCAGGGGCAGCTCGGCTGGCACATCAGGAACTGGTGGTTGGACTAATGCGATGGTCTTGTCGCGAGCATCCTGTGCTCTTTGGGCGATGTCTTGCCATGGAGTGCGACCCATTTTGTGTCTGTTGTTCACAAGAGCAGAACTATCTATATAGGAGATGGAAACAGATGAGGACAACTCAGCGGATGAGAGTGATGCTACTTTGGTATTAGGTAGGTGAGGTGGTGCTGTCTGTTGTTGCTCTTATCACCAACCCCGCCTTTTTCCTGATCGGGAAGGGCTGATAAGATGCACTCGTACTACGTACGCATTAAGCACCACTGCCTATCTTGGTAAATTGACATCAAATTATCGACTGCGGCGACAAGACAAGGACACCTGCACGGTTCATGCGCTGGTAAAGTCTAATTTATACCGTGTATTCATTCCAGAAGTCAGTCTCTATAGCCAGAGATCTTTCTGTTCAAATACCCATTCTTGGCTTACTACTGCTGACTAATCCTTTCGAAGAGGAAGTTGTCGTTCTTACTCTATATTATGCAAGAGACTAAAAGAGCAGATTCAACCCAAGATTATCCCGTATAGTGTCTGGTCCAGTGCTCCCAGGGCCAGTACGGATAGATCTCCGGCCCCTGGCAGCCAATATTGGATCGCTACCATTTCAGCTAGATCTAGATTGAAGGCTAATGAAGTATCAGATATTCCGGTGTCAGGTGCTGTATTGTCATTCATAGAATCCGGAATAATGTGGATACGCCAGACTCGTTTCTCCTCATTGCACTTTCAGAATCAGGAAGACGGCTATTATCTGCCGTTCTGTGCTATTCCTGGTGATCAACTGGCCTGGTCTCGCCAACCTGTTCGTATATTCCTGGGAAAAAGTCGGGGATATAGCATATAGTGCTGATAGTAAAGGTCTTTTTAGAAAGTACTGCACCAGAATGTCTACGGAAGAATAGATATAACCAAGAATGGACAGAAAACTCATGCTCACTGCTATAGGACTTTGGGGGTATACTAGCCAGCGACATATGCATCTTTGACGGTAAACGAGATGCAATATCATTCTAGAGTCAAAGGGAAGCCGATAAAGATATCCCAATTAGTTCCTTTTCATCGGCCATATAACCCAGAGAGCCGTGAAATGCACATGATGGAGCGGTGTTTGCTTTTGATATTGGGAGAGCCCTCCGTTTGACTTCCTAGTAAGTTCCTAGCTCACGTCTAGTTAGGTTGAGACATGAATAAGAAATATGATAACTCAGAGCTTCTACGATGTAGCCGCCCGTACCTCTTGCTATTCTAGATATATCGTTGACCTTGGCTGAAGTCTTTGACGAAAATCGACAGAGATGGGCTAGAATCCTTGACTGGCAATAAATACACGGCCATTCAGGGCTACACTTTGCGACGTTAGCACTAGATGTTCTAAGACTTAATACTTTTGATGGTATTCTGACCATGTGTTTCCGGCGTTGACATGCAGTGCAAGACGTGGATGCTTTCCTCTTCAGCCCATTTTCCTCATTTATCACCATTTCCCTTTCTTTTCCAGATGCAATGTCGTCTCTGAATATTCCAAGCCGTGATTGATATTCTTGAAGCAGGTTTGTCGAGAGAAGAAAGCATTTCCATTGCGGGCTGGTGTCATGTGATTGACCCGGCGATAGGGCCTTATCTATCGCCGAGTTGAAAAGAACTTCCCTCTCTTCTCACTCATCGTCACACTATCGCTTTCCATGAATGTACAATCGCGAAACCAAAATGACGAGCGACGACCAGTTCTTTTTTGACTTCGTGAGTGGCATCTCCAACAGACTCTACAATTGCCCAGTACAAAACTGACACGCGACAATAATTCCAGCTCGCCTCCGTCCCGCATGACGTAAAGCGATATTCTGCGGAGGTCGCAGAATCCATCGATCGCAATGTCGACTACGCAGCAACCGTCATCAAAGATGCATTGACTGTGTATTTCCCTCATGTTATATCGTTCGGGTCGCGCGATCTCCCTGCTCTCCGACGGCCGCCGCCGCGGTCGGTCTCTGAACGTGCGTACGACTGGGTGATGCGACACAGAGCGTGGACAGCTGCCATCGCGGCATTCTTTGGAACAGGCGCTGTTTTATATCTGGGAAGTCGATCGTTCAATAACCGGAAGAGAAGAGCTCGGCGTGCTGGAAACGGTGCGCGGAAGGAAATAGTCGGTGCGTTTGACGAGACAAACAACATTCTATTAAATACTGACTAATCCATTTCCAAGTCATTGCTGGGTCGCCGCATGAACCCATGACAAGAGCAATAGCGGAGGACCTCGAGCGTCGCGGCTTTATTGTCTATGTCGTGGTCCAATCGGTAGAGGAAGAGCATACAATCCAGATGCAAAATCGGTCTGACATTCGGGCTCTGCATCTGGACTTGACAACAGTAAGCGGAAATCATACATTGTTTGTTTACCAAGCTGACAAAATATAAAAGGCACCTCCCACGCCGTCAGAAATCCACCCTGCGCTGCATGGCATATACTCGTTGATATCGCAACCGCAGTCTCCAGCACCTGGCATCCAGCCTCATACATGCCAACTGAGTGGACTCATTATACTCCCCTCTTTGAACTACCCAACCGGCCCTGTGCCGACAATCACAGCATCTAACTGGGCCGATACAATCAATACACGACTTCTATCACCGATATTAATCACACAATTATTCATCCCTCTCCTCACACACCGAAATCAGAGTAATTCCATTGTGTTCCTTTATCCGTCAATCTCAGCGTCTTTATCAGCACCATATGCCGGCCCCGAAGTCGCCGTAACGCGAGCTCTATCTGGGTTTGCAACTTCGCTTCGCCAGGAGCTTCGGCTGTTGCAATTCAGCAACGGCGCCTCATGCAACACGGACATTGTTGAAATGAAATTGGGGAATATAGACTTGGGCCCGCACTTCCGGGTTCCTCAAGTGGCTGGCACAGAGGTCCTTGCGTGGAGCCATCACCATCGATCCCTGTACGGACCTTCTTATCTGTCCAGCGTTGAACAGCGGCCTGTAGCCTCCACGGGGCCCAATGCGGTCCGAGGATCGCCTGCGCGGGTCTTGCACAACGCCGTATTTGATAGTATAGCGCCGTCTCGGAAGTCAGTGTTTGGCAGGAAGACAAGGAGGAAGGCTGTGGTTTATGTTGGCCGCGGTTCTCGGTCATACGGAATAATTGGCGAATGGATCCCGACCAGTCTTGTAGGATGGATGTTGGGACAGGGGAATCTGCCTCAGTCCTCATCGGAGAGCGGAAATAGTAGTGAGACTGGGTGGGAAAGACTATAATTCAGTCTTTATTTTATATTCTACTTTAAAAGTATAAACTCCAATCTATTTAGTTCCACTCTTCTATACCTAGGTAGTATCAAGCACGAAATCATAACATCATCCATTATTTCATAATATGTGTGTGTGTGTGTGTGTGAAGGACAACGTAATCCAACTAGGTATCACAACAGAACGGGCATCAGTCATTTAACCAAGAAGATATTGATATAGAATTTTCGGCCAACACATTAAAATTCATTCGGCCCCTTTGTTATAAAGTCCGGCTGCGCATTATAATTGCCATTATTATTACTTGAGTAAATCAACGTCCGATCACGCCTCGCCCTCTTGATTCTCCCGCCAGTCAGTCTCTGACGCAGCCAGATGCACACCCAGGTGACAAGGAATATCACTATGATGGCCGCCAAAATGGTAAAGCAGTATGCGGCCACCTTGCCACTGTGCTGACCGTGAGTTCCAGGATCAAGGAAGGAATAAGCATAGAACCCCTCGGTTTTATGGGTCAGATAAGCAAGGGATAAGTAGAGGGCAAGGATGAGGATGAGGAATGCTAGATTGATCAATGGATGGGTTGGGGTGGTGGCTAGGAAGAGTTCTAGAAGGGCGTAGAGGCCAATAAGGCCGTGTTCAGAGACCTATACAGTCAGTCATGGAGTAGCTCTCGTTGCGAAGAAAGAGAAGGACTAACATTACTCCATGCTTCGAACCACGTTTTAAACCACGTGCCAGGATACAAAACCCCCCAGTACACAATCAGCACCAGAAACGGGAACGTGGTGATGCACGAGTAAAAGAGGGCATGCAAGCCCCGGAAAACACGCGGCAGCTTCTCAAACATCACCGAGCGTCCAGTGGCGGCATATGCAAAGCTGTGAAATGCAGCAACGGCGAAGTAAAACGCCATGCCCCAGAAATTCAGATAAGTGAAGTAGCTGAAGGTCTGGCCGATGAGGTAGTGGTCGCCATCGTGCGTGCCGTAGTAGCAGAAGATGTAGATAAGGCAGAAGAAGACGTAGACGGCGATGATGGCTCGGAGTGCGCCGAGCAGCACTGGAGGGAGCAGCCAAGAGGTCTCGTAGGGATGCAGATGGTCCAGTGCAGGATCCGCGCCGAACAGAGCCAGGAACGGGCGACGGGCCATTTTTCGACAGGAGAGAGATAGTTTGAAGGTTGTTGATGTCGCCCTCGTGGGGCTGTGAGCGATGTCTCTTTATGTCAGCCCATGTCGCACCGTCATGGTCGCACCGTGAACGGATCTCGTGATCTGCCTGCGTTCCGTGGTACAGCCGCCAATGAAGGGATTCATCTTGAGTGGTCGGAGATATTGCGGGGTATGGAGTACTCCGTATGGAGATGGGATTGCTCCTAGACTATCACATTAGTAGGTCGTTTACAACTTCAGTCAGCGATTGCCATGGCGAATGAACGTATGGAGCAGTTTCTCCTTGCGCTGACTTCATTTTGTCTGCAGCCAGGTAACCCAGTACGGTACGTAATTATGTACCCGGGTGCAGCTTGTGATTGGCGGGCACAGCAACTTGCGCGCGCGGCGGGGCAGTTCCACCAATGAAAGCGCAGGGGCTCGTACGAGCGTGGTATTGCCATGGTAAAATTCATGACATTCTTAGTACAAAAAGAAGGGGAGACGGAAGAAGAGCCGCCAAGATGCCAAGCCTTGCGGAGACAGTCTCGACTGCCCCTGAATAAATCTCTCGTCGTGCTGCTTGCTGCTCCGTGCAAGCAGATGCAAGGCACCAGAGCATGTTGTGTGTCTGCTAGTCGGCGCCAACAATCCTTCGAGACAATGTGCATTTGTATGTCCTGCACGACTGTTTACTCCGTACCGGCCAGTGTTTACTGACTACTATTATCCAATTAGCTATATTTAGCCTGGACTCTTGACTAAGGGCGGGCCCTGCAGCGGGGCCTCTGATTGGCTGACCTTGCTCTTTCCTCCCCCCCTTGGGCGGGTGCCTGACTGCCTGGACAGCAACAGCGTCTTTTCCCTCAAACACCTCTTCATCAACCGCCATCGCCTGCCAAGCATCATCTTGTTGTCTCTCTGCTCGGCTATGCTAGAGCTGTCCGTTCCTTACTTGCCACCCACCAGCCAGCTACTTCGTTTAGATTCAAGCTGGTTTGAGGCCGCCGCTCCTTCGCCATCTCCGTGTCTCACCCCAAAACCCTAGACTAATCAGTCGCCTTCGACCGCGGCGCCTCAATTAGTCTGCGCCTACCTCTACTTGTCGCACTCACCAATGCTGAGCATCGCTGTCGCTGTACTGCCTTCGGACCAGCATCACCGTCGTCCTCATATCCAGCACCACAGTGGTGCTCCGTCATCGTCGATTGCTGCGCCAATCACTACCCTACCCACCCCCGAATTTCCGCCCGGGTAGGATCATCGCAACTACATTTACTGGGCCAGGTTAATTTCACCATGTCGTCGAACCTGGATTTACTTGACCTGCGCCCCCAAGCGGACTCCAGCTCGATGAGAGGGAGTCCGTCCCCCCGACTACCATCACCGCGCATCGAGCATTTCGATGGCGAGGTGCCGCCTGCCCTGTCTCCTCTCGACGCATTTGCAGCTCAAGGTCGTCTGCTCTCGCGGCAACTGGGGGAGTCGATGCGAAGAGACCGGCGAATGAGTAGACTGCCTCCCCAAAGCGTTGCGCGATCACTCTCGCAACCCCGCCCTGGGTATTTCCGTTCGAAGGGTTCGGACAACTCTCAAACCTCGCAAGGAACGGCCCCAAGCGCGGACTCGCCTGCGCGTCTTGCATATGAGGAACCCCAGTTCCGGCCGCAGTCTCAACATCCACGAATCAGTGGCCTGTCAATTCCAGCGATTGGGGGGTCAAGCAACCAACTCTCGGGCGAATACCTCAGGCAACTGAGGGCAGAATCACCCGACGAAAACCCCTCATTGCTACCAAGCGACCTGGGAGCAGGCGGTAGCAATGCTTCGACATCCAACTTGAGCAAGTCGCCTTCCATCTCTCGCGAGTCGTCTTACGACTCTAATCCACCTACCGTTTCAACTACTTTGGCATCTCCTGTATCGCCCATGCCTCCGTCTCTGTATTATTCGAAATACGGACAACCAGAAAGTTCGGACGACGACTACACTAGTTCTAACGCCGGCTCAACGTTTTCTAAACCACGCAAGCTATCTTCAGGCAGCGGCATATCCATGCCACATTCGCCTATGTCCCCGTTCGTTCGATCACACCCGAGGTCGCCATCTGTCAGCTCAGAAGCTTCGAACTATCTGCCGCGTCCCTCTTTTAATTTCTCACGACCTCTTAGTCGCTCGAGCACTAGTCTAAGCCTATCCGCCCCATCCCCCATTATTCCTGGCGAAACACCGCCCTCTGGCCAGGTAGGCTCTAATACTTCCACGCCTGCTTTGGACAGCCATCATCCATCAAGCGGTATCCGCAGAGACCATAAACCAGCACCGATTGTTCTGGGGAATGATCTTATGTTGGCTAAACACAATGGCGAGGAACCGCCGTCCTCAGCAGTGTCTTCGTACGTGTATGCCAAGTATTCTCTTCCTCGTGGGCGCATGGTCTCGAGGAATTCCTTGGTGTTCGAAGGCCTCCAGACACCACATTTTGAATGGAAAGAACCTCTTTTTGAACATTCACCCCGCTCAGAGCGCAACCGATCGTCATCTCCAGAAATGAAATCCCATGAAGCGGCAGAGGATTCCTCTGGCGCCCCGACGCCCAAGCCAGGAAATCCTTCTGAGATTCCTACGCGAGTTGATCCACTTGACACTGTTCCTGTAGCTACAGTGCGCCAATCTCATGAAATAATTCGAGAAACGGAACCCGCTTATCAGGACATACGCCCTGCCTTGCAACGCTCTTACAGTGAGCGTCTCGATGACACTCACTCATTATCAACAGATTCGGCCAGCACAATCCGGCCAGTGACTTCGCGAGCTGCAGCTACAGTGATTGAGCAAACAGCGGAGGAACATGTTGAAAAAGGCGTTGAGTGCCATGAAAAGGGCGCGTTGCAGGAGTCTACATACCATCTGCGCATCGCCGCGAAGCAGAACCACCCGACTGGTATGCTTTTGTATGCGTTGGCTTGCAGACACGGTTGGGGCATGCGGCCGAATCAGCGTGAGGGCGTTCAATGGCTTCGAAAGGCCGTTGATTCAGCTGGTTTGGACATAGATGAGGGTGAGGAAGCGCCTGTTGGGGGCAAGGATGCGGCAGCCCGTAAGGCGCGACAGGCGCAGTTCGCCCTGGGCATTTACGAACTTGGCGTCAGCCATCTGAATGGATGGGGCATTGAACAAGATAAGGCTCTGGCTCTTCGGTGCTTTGAAATTGCGGCACGATGGGGCGATGCGGATGCGCTTGCGGAAGCCGGATTCTGCTATGCAGAGGGGATTGGTTGCAAAAAGAACCTGAAGAAGGCGGCGCATTATTATCGGATGGCGGAGGCTAAGGGGATGAGCATGGTGGGCAATAGCTGGTAAGACCACTCCGAGGATTGTTCAACTAGGCACGAAGGCTGACTGCTTTTTCCAGGATTTACAAGGACAAGTACATGTCTGATGAGGAAGACTCGAGACAGTCAAGACAGTCGCGGGGGCGCCAGTCTGGGCCATCGGACAAGGAGAAGAAGCCGCGCAGCAAGTCTCGCACACGCAGCATTTTTGCGCGGAAAAAGTCGACTATATAGATTTACGCTCTACGATGCATTTACTTTCTCGCTATTCATTTCCGCACGATCGCCGTATATACTGTTTGTGCGCTGTTTCTTCTATTATCTGACAAGAGTTGGGTTCACTATTTTTCTCCTGAAGGACACATTTTCTACCATTCTTTATGCTTTTCAATTCACTCTCCTAAATTTCTGTCTGGCATGGTCCTGTTCTATTTTCATTGATACCCTTTATTTACCTTTACCCTGGATTGTCCCAGGATACTTTTATTTGGCTGGTCAAATCTTCGTCGTCACGATAATTTCATTTCTTTCTTTGCTGTCCTTTCATGCTGGTGCTCGTCAGAGAATGAACACAAGCTATTTATTTATTGATGTCAGTCTTGCATGCAATACATTCAATTGAACCTGAATAAGTCGACATGAAAAAAACATACTATCCCGTGAAACCCACGTAGCCTCGGCTAGCCAACTCCTTTTCAGCAATCGATTAATAATTAATTGGCATCTGCATGGACAGTGGCGTCGGCCAAGTGTCGACATCGCCATGGATGCCAGTCAGATATTAGATTAATCTTACTAGCCGTCATCTAAAGTCATGGATTACGGAGTGAAATTTGCGGGGATGTTTGGTCTAAATCAACTTCTCCGGATTTTCATGTATCCGCTAGTACGGGAGCTGCCTAGTTGAGACTAGCATGGTATTGAGCATCGACTTTTGTCATCTCAGCGACGTCTTCAACCCTAACTACCACCGATGCGACGCTATGATGCAGGCCGCGCGCGCGCCCCCCC